AAACTTTCCTTTTTTATTTATCAAGATTTAAATGATTTTATTTATGAATTAAACTAAACAGAAAAACCAATTTTCGAATTTTGCCAGATAAAAAAAATGTTTAATCATGATATTACAAATAAATAATATCCTTGTTCATAATTTGGATAAATTCAGGGTAGATTTTGAATATTTTAATTCTTTATAAAACTCTTAAATATAAAATAAATTTTCAAATTTTAAAGTTTGGCTTAATTTTTTAATTTTTTTAAACTTTTTATTAAATAAATAATAAAAAAATATTTGGAAAGAAAAAATAATAAGATTATTTATATATTTGAAATTGATGATTGAATATTATTTAAATAATTAATCTTAGGAATTATATGATAATCTTAATGAAATACTGGATCTATTTAAATAATTTAAAGCAGAAACTGTATAATAATAATCATAAGTGTTTAAATATGAATAATTTATTAGTTAAATAAAAAATAAGTTATTATTAATAGATAGATATATAGTAATAAATACTAGATTTAGATTGTAGAGAAGTGATATGGAGAAATAGTATGAATGAAGTAAAAAAGAGGTTTTAAAGTTGATAATGAAACCTTTAATAAAAAAGTAAAATATAAATATAAATTAAAAAATAAATTATGAAAGAATATATTGAATACTTATAAAGTGTTCTAAAGTAAAATAAGATAGAGTTTTAGTAAGAAGAGGAATTCTTATAAAATAAAGTTAATCAAATAAGCAATGAATTTGGTTATGATCACATAAACAGATATAAAAGATAAATGATTTTATCAGAAATAGGATTGATAGGTTAGAAGCAAATTCATTAGGCAAAGGTATTAATTGTTGGAGCTGGAGGTATTGGTGCACCTGCAATATATTATTTAGCAGGTGCAGGAGTTGGAACTATAGGATTAGTTGATGGTGATAGTGTAGATGTTTCTAATTTACATCGTCAAATAATCCATAATAATGATAGACAAGGAATGAATAAAGTATTTAATTATAGTATTATTTATAGTGTGAATCAGCTAAATTATAAATAAAATAGTTTAATCCTTTAGTGAATGTTATTACACATAATCATAATTTATCATCTACAAATGCAATTGAAATATTTAAGAATTATGATGTGATATTAGATGCAACAGATAATCCTGCTACAAGATATTTAATTAATGATACAGCTATTTATTTAAATAAACCTTTAGTTTCTGGTTCTTCAGTTGGTTGGGAAGGACAAATAACAGTTTATGGTATGTCAGGACCTTGTTATAGATGTTTATTTCCTTAATGTCCTAAAACTGTTTAGAATTGTAATGAGGCTGGAGTATTTGGAGTTATGCCTGGCTTAATAGGACTTATAGATGCTTTATAGGCTATTAAAATTATTATTGGTCAGTAAAATTTATCGTAGAAAATGATATTGATAGATGGATTAAGAGATATATACAAAGTTGTTAAACTCAGAGGATAATAAAAGTATTTATTCTAATTATCAATTAGAGATTGTATTGCATGTTAAAAGTTAATTAATATAAATGAATATGATTATTCTACCTTTGCAAAAACTATATGCAGCTCTTCTGTTCCTTATAGAGGAGGATATAAAGAAATCGAATGGAAAGATTTTCTATAGATTTAAAGAAATGATCAAGTTGTTTTACTAGATGTTAGACCAAGTTCATAATACAATATTATTAAATTGGATGGATTCATAAATCTTCCATATTCATAAATTGATTTATTTTAAATTGAACAAAATAAGGATAAAGTTATTTATGTAATGTGTAGAAGAGGTAATAACTCTAGGTTGGCTTGTGAATTTTTAAAAGACAAAATACACAATATATATAATATTATAGGTGGAATAGATTTATATGCTAAATTATATGATCCCAAAATGCCTTTATTATGATTTACATTTCAGTATATAAATTTATCTGTTGATCTAATTAATTTTTATTCAATAAGGAGCACTAAATCCTGGAGGAGGCAATCCAGTATTTGGATCAGTATTCTTAGCTCTTCTAAAAAGAAGAATATGAGGTTCAGGTCTATGTGTTTCATAGTGAGACCATCCTCTTGATTATTATACTCCTAATGCTCTCCATTCCATCTCATTTAATAATTTACCTAGTATTTTCAAATTCAAATAATACCTTTTGTAATTTTTTTGAAAATATGTTTAGGAAGAATAACATGTCTGTATTCATAGTAGTCATCAAAGTATTTATCCGAATATTCAATTTCTTCAGGATAATGAGGCATTGATTTTATTCAAAAATTAAAATTAAAATACTTAACTCATATATTTTATAGAATCTCTTTTATGTTATAATTATTACATGAAAACTTTATTTATTCAATTTTCTGATGATTCTTACTTTACAATCATATTTTCAATTTTCTGTTTATAACATTATAATTCAACTTCAAATGATATTAATACTTTGTTATCTAATAAAAAATAGAAATTCAATATGATATCTATTTTTCTGATATAAAAATGTGATACCAGCTTTAATTAATAAGATGAGATACGAATAATTTAATATTTTAGTGAAAAGTTTAGATAATCGTTATAATATGCATATTTCGATAATTCTAGATTATTAAAAAATAATAAAAATTAAGTATTTTTTGGAAGTGGAAATATTGTTTTAAAGTTAGAGTTAAATATTCATTCTCAAGATTGTATAAATTTATAAAAAAGATTTAGGTTTGAATAGGAAAATTTTAAAATTATCTAGAAAATTAAATGAAAGTATAAAGAAAAATTAATTTGTGATATATAATGTGGAAATTTTTTAATTTTTATCTTAATTTTTCATATGATAAAGAGTAGAATGAATTATAATATTAAAAAGATCTAAAATGGATAGTATAATAATAAAAAATTAAAAGGTAGAAGATTAATGATATTGCATTGTAAGTAATTTAAATTTCAAGAAATTTGAACAAAATTTATTTTTAATAATTATCAATCAAACTTTATTGATATATGATGCAAAAAAAACATTCGAATAAAGAGAATGATTCATAAAATAATAAACATTAATCTGAGTAACAAATCATAAGAGATTATAAATTAGGTTTGAACTTATATAAATTTAAGTTTAAAGTTTGGGAGTTGGCACATTTGGTGTAGTGGTATTAAGTTTAAATAAAATAACTGGAGAGAAAGTAGCCATCAAAATTTTAGAGAGAGAATAATAGAGGTAACAGAAATTAAAGATTTTTACGAGAAATACATTTATAAAAATTGATCAGACATGTATTATTATATGAGGTACATTTAGTAATGGAATTTTTTGATAATAATGAGCTATTTTATTACAATATAAAGAATTAAAGTTAAATAGATTAAGATAATTTATTAGATTGGATGAACTTGAAGCTTATATTAAAACTAAAAATTAAAAGTCTTCAATTTAAAATTTCGATGATTGCTCTATCCTTGAAACCTTACACAAAACTTTAATAAACAATTTATTAACTTTGGTTACAAATAAATAATAGAAAAGAATTAAGAGATGAAAGTAAAGAAGATTAAAAAAACTAGAAAATCTAATATTTCTAAAAATCTAATAATCTTAATTAAAGTTTCAACTTTGATTTCGGGATTTATATCTTCCCCTATATGGTTAATGTTCTCCCTTTGGTTTACCTTCTATATATTCACCAATTTTCAATCCCCATCATCATAAACATCTTTTCCATCTCTTCTATCATTTTTAGCCTTATCTTAATATAAATTAGTATATTTATTACCATTTGCAAACTTATATTAATCTTTTCTATTGAAAAGTTAATTATTAAATTCACCCTCATATCAATCACCATTTGCAAATTTCTTTTTTCCTTTACGTTCAATTTTATTATTAGCAAAATCTCAAATGTATCTTAAATTTAATGATAAGAATACACGTTTCCATTTGCAAATTTATATCTTTCTTATCCTTCTCTTTTATCATTTATTAAATAGCCTTTATAAAATTCACCATTAACTTATTCATATTTTCATTTTCATCTCTTTGACCATCCTTAAATTCTCCTTAATTTATGCTTATCTTCGTTTGCAAATTTAAATTCACCTTATCCATGTATTATATTATTTTTGATTATTTTTGAATTCTCTTTAATATATATTTACATTATCATATTTTTGTAATCCTTTTCCTTTTATGTCTGTCTTCATTAATAACATCTCTATTATTTTTAAATCATCCTCATATCTAAATCAATATAATACTAATATAAATATTTCAAAAACTAAATTTATAAGTACCTCTTCTTTAGATTCTACTTCTTCTAAATTATCCTTAAAGTGTATCACCATTAAGTGCTATACTCCTTCCAACTTATCATTCTTAAAACATTCATACATAATTTTTTTTCTATCCATTTTCCTCAAATGTATATTAACCCCAAAGAATATGATTATAATTCTAATAACCTTACCAAATAACTAAAATTTTATTATAAGACTTCTCCATTAAATTTATCAACTTCTTTACTTCTTAAGGATAGATGCTCAACTGATGATTTATGTATTAATTTTTGTAAGAATAATTATTCCATATTTGATCACGAACATGTGCTTCTAACGTTAAATTGAATATTATATAATAGTCCCAAGCCTGTTTCTTTTATTTATAATAGATTCTATCTTTATTCTAAAATATTAATTGTTTCATTTAGTTTTTATGATAAAAAAATAGTTGTAGTTGTTCATTTAGTATTTTGAATCCTCTATTATATAATGTATTGTATGATTTCTGGGATTTTTTCAACTAAATCATCTTTTTATTCGAGAAATGTAATTAAACTCAATCTTACATTGTACTCACTTAGAGATGAGAGGAATGATTATTGAATATCATCAAATTCTGTATTAAGTTCCACCGTTGATTAATCGATTTGATTATAAACAAATATAATGAATTACTAGAATGAAAAATTCAAATAAATTTTACTTGTGAACAATATATTATATTATATTATATTAAAATTAAATATAAATAAAAATGACTCAATAAAATATGCATTATTTCAATTTTATCTATTCACTGTTAAATCTTTTCTAAATCCTATAGAATATATGATGATGATGGAATCTTTAATTTTACAAGATTATTAGATACAATTACATATTAATTCAATGAGAAAATATGAATTAACAGTTGTAGAATTGAATTATAGAATAAACTGAAGCTCTAAAAAAATGAATATGATATTGTGTAAAATATGAATATCTGCTCAATCTCAAGCTAACAATAGAATGAGGGCAAACACTATTTATAAAAGCAATCCATAACATTGTGTGCAGGATCCATCACTTGCATTTGAAGAAGACCAATGATAAGCACCATTTGTATTGGTTAGGCATGAAGTTGATGTTAAATTTTTGAGATCTGTTAAATCAACACAAGTAGAATTATTCCAAAAGCATAGGCTTGATTATTTCTCAGATAAATAAATTGTGTTGCAAGCTGCTTGATCAGTAATATTTGAACATGTAAGTGATTCACATTTTGTTGCATTTGTATTGTACAAGCATGGATATTTAATACAAGTGGCTGAATCATTAAAGGAACCGCAATTAGAAAATGATGAACATGTAGAACCAGATAATACACAAAAAGGTGCAATACAATATTGAGTATTGTTATTGCCATAAAGACTGCATGATTAAGTGGCACATTTATCTCCTGATTACCAAGAGCATCCCATATTTTAAGCTGTACAATTATCAATTGAATTTCCTGTCAAACTACTGCATGATGAAAATGTTGTGCAAGTATTATTTACCCAAGCACATAATTAATTTGTTTTTGAACAAACATCTTAACCCAAAGCTGTACAATTAGGCTTTTAACAAGCACCTGCACTCCAATTACATCCTAATTACCCTTTACATTCACTTTCGATATGTAAATCATTGCAAGTACAAGAGCCTGTTGTGTCTATTGTTAATCCAAATGTCAAAGCAATTAAGCAGGAAACAATGATGAATTTATTCATAATGTATATTTTAAATAATGATTTTAATTGAATAAATGATTTGCTTTTGAATCCAAATTAGCTCAATATAATCCATAATATCCAATATATAAAAATATATAATATGTAAATATTACGCACTATTTTTATTTTTTAATTCTAAAATCTTTCTCTCTCTCATAGTCCTTATTCATTTTCTTTAGAATCCTTCTTTAATATCACTTCATTTTCTTAGATTCTAAATAATATGGAATAATCAATTATTTGAGAGATTATATAAATCATTATTTCTAAACTATTATAGAACTTTATTTAGTTTCTTTTAAGCATCATTTTATTTTTATTTCTCTTCTTGAGCTAAATTCACTCATTTAATTCCCTCATGCAAATGAGTGTATTTATTTATTTTAACCTTCTCGTTAAAACTGCATCAATACTATTGATTTTAAGTCATGGTAATTAATCATATTATGAAAAATAATATGAAATGAAAAGAAAATCACAATATACATCATATGATAATTATTATTTAAATAATAGCAATTATTCACTTATAATATAGTATACAATGAAATAAGCTTCCGTTGATTCCTCTTAATATTCAAGGATATATCAACGAAGTAGAAATCTATAGTTCATTAAAATTTATATGGTCTCTAAAATTTCTTGTATATCTTTAAAATAATGATTAATAGAATGTGATTGTACTTAGTTTAAAGTATGAAAGTTTATTACTTAAGAGAGTAGTGAACTAAAATTTAATTTCTAAAAATAAATGTGTGATTATTAATTTATATATTTTATGATAAAAAATATTTATAAAAAGTAATAAAGATTATTATTCTAATATACTGATAAAAAAAGGAACATATATTGCTCATTTTTCAACTTTTCCAAGCCATAAAGCCAAAAGAGACTTTCCTTTAACTGCAATAATCTTAAATCTGACTCCTGGAATATCTCCTACTGCATGTCCTTTTCTACCAAATCCAGCTACTGTAACTTCATCATTTTCATTTAAAAAGTTTAAGCAACCGTCTTTTGGAACAAAAGCCGATATTTTTTTACCATTCTTTTTTAATAAAACTCTAACACATTTTCTGACAGCAGAGTTTGGTTATTTAGATTCACTAAATGGAAATTATAAAAGTATATTTACACTCCAATTTTTTCAACAACCAAACCTTTAGCATGTGATGCACCCATAAATGGATTCTTATATCTTGATCCAATCATAGCTTTATTATATTCTTTATCAGCCCATCTATTAACTCTTCTGTGATCTTTGAGCTTTCTTCCTGCTCTCATACCTCTGGGTTTACCAACTCCCATGATTAAAAAATTTTAATTTAATTTTTTAAATTAATTACAATCTTCTTTTGATTAAATAAAAATATATTAAACTTAACTTTCATAATGTCATCCTTCTTTTTTTAGATTCTTGGTTATAATTATTTTTGTTATTATTTCTATCTTCTTTATTCATTACATTCTGTAGTGAAATCATTATGAATTTTTACATTAATTAAGAAGATATTAAATTAAATTTTACTCTTATTTATTTTATTTAAATATAATTATTTTAATCCAATAGATTGTTTGTATTATAATTATTATTTCCTCTTAATTTATAACTTGGATTTTTAAAATTCTGAACTCACAGGACCAATTACAATTGATGGAAAGTTTTAAAAAAAAGTTATTTTAAAATTTTTCTAACATCTATCCTATTTCTTAACTCATTTAATAAAATCGAATTTTGATTATTCTAATTGAAATATTAATTTTTTTTGCATAATTAAATTATAGGAACTCTTTCTTCATATTCTTTTATTTTATTATTTCTCTAACCATTATTAGTTGAATTTTCCTTCAGAATATTATTACAGATCATAAAATTTTAATTCTCGAATAAAGTCTGTATTATCTAATAGTTGTATTAACATTTGATTATGATTGTCATCATCCTTTTTTTTATATCCCACTATTCCATTTTAAATATTGAATTATTCTTTTCATATAATTAGATTAATATTAAAATATTATTTATTGCGTAAATTTTGGATTATTAAGCCTTTCTAGAAATAGTAAAAGAACTTAATATATAAATATCAATATATTAAATGTAATCAATCTCTATATGTCACAATTGAATAAGTAGGATATACCCTACTTTTTCTTTTGATTTTAGGATTTATAGAGTGTGATCTTAACTTTGGTAATTTGAGTAAATCTTACTTAATAGATTCTTAATCAAGGAAACTTTGATTTGTAGGTGAAACTTATTGAGTTTAATTTGTATTATTTTATGCTACTTTAATATAACTATCACAATCCAACTATTATAAATATCCTACTAACTTTAAATTATTAAGTTTAACAACATTAGTTTATTTTTTAGGTATTTTTGATGAAACTGAGCTAAGTTCATGTTATTTAGAATATTAAGATTATAATCTCACAGATAATTCTTATGTTTGAATAGGTTTAAGACTAAGCCTAACTCCAGGCTATAATTTAATATCTTAAACCTATTATTCTTCAAATTCCATTATAGTTTCAATATTTTCGACCTGCTTTCTCTTTGATTTGACCTATTCTATTAATTTTGGTTAAGAAATTATAGAATTATTATCAGTTAATGGAATTTCATAAGGTAGAGCTGTAATAACATTTTTTTTAACTTAATTATTGGATCTAGCTAGTGGATTACAATTAAAATCATAAGTATATTCTTTAGAACCTATCTTCATTATAAGTTAAGAATGTAATTCTTTAACTTATCTCTTTTCTCTTGATTATTCTCTTAACTTTGATTCTTTATATTGTTTTTCTATGCATTTTTATTCCATAATTCTTCTTTCATTAGGATACTCTTCAATGTATTCTTAAGTTTTCTATCTAATTAATTATGGCTCATAATCTTCCCATAATTAAGTTGGCATCATAAAAATATGTTTTGGAGGTAATTCAACTCTAGGAGTCTCTTAACCTTTAAAGGATTAAATTTATTTGAGATTATAAGCTCTATGTCTTTCTTTTATAGTACTTTATGGTTCTCCATCTTCTGAATCATAATAATTTTAAGAAGATGGATCAAACCTTACTTATTTAATCATTTTAAATGCTAAATCTAATGAATAAGATGCACTTGAAGTAATCTCTAAATTTAAAAGAATCTTATCTTCAACTCCTATCAAAATTTTGTTTATTACATAAGGAATAATAGTTTCAATAATTTCTAAATATTCCATTTTAATTATGTTTGTAACAGTACCAGCTAAGATAATAATTTTAGGTAACCATTCTGGTATATATGGATATCAACCAATAATAAATATACTAAATTAAAAATCTATCAAATACATCTAATACAAATTAGATAAGATGGTAAAATGATTGACATGAAATTGTAGATCTAAATTAAAGGATTCAAAATCATGCTTCACTTAATTAAGCTAATCTTCTAAATATTAAATCATCATTGTACAAATAGACCCTGGAGAGTATCTAGTAGTTCTGGATTTACAATCATCTGCATCTTTTACTGTTGCATTATCTAAAGATATCAATGCTTCTATTCAATAGACAATAATAAATATAAGTGTTATAAAGATATTAGTGACCAATCATGGTAGTATATAATTATTCAGATTGGTAAATCTATTCAGTAGATTGATCTTCCTATTTAAAAATATAATTAATTGATTCTCAAAATAGTAAAGTAAAAGGTATTTAGAAATCTATTGCAAAAGTTCAAAATTATGATAAATTTAAAGATGGAAAATAATTTTAAATATAGAATATTAGAAACAACTGAAATATTAATTAAACAAGATCCTGTTATACGTTGATTTATGAAAATCATGACCTTTTAGATAGATTAGACATTTGTACTCATATAACTTAGGTAATATTTAAAATTCATTTTTATAATTAATTATATTAAATAATATATTTTTTTTACTTAATTTTACAATCTCTAAATCTCTTTCTTATTCAATGTAGAATAAATGATATAATTGAAAATATTTAATTAACCAGAAAATTTGGAAAATTCAAAATATTCCTTCAAAAATGACAACTGGAGATAGGGATTTCAAAAAGATTAATAATAATCCAATTATATAATGTAAAAACTTCCGAATTATATAATTCTTAAAACAAATATAAATTAAGAAAATGCAAATTAATTTGAGTATTAATACATTATTTTTCAATATTGCTCCTTTTTATATGTTCAAATAATTTTATCCCTCTAAAAATAAGTGTTTTTATATATCACATTAAATTCTCTTGATTTATAATATTTGTTAAGTTTGAGAAATAGATTAAATCAATATTAATGAACAGAGGCGATGTAAGGATATAAAATATATAAAATTTCATGTTTTAATTACATACCTACATTTATTAATTATATTAATAAAATTAAAATGCAGATAAATATTAAAAATGATGTTCTGCAGCCTATACCTATAAAGAGAAAGATAATAGGTTTGCCATAAAAAAATACAGAATTCAATGATCCTTTAAATTTAATTTGGAAAGCCGCATCTGCTCCAGCTACCCTAGAGTAGATTGAAACAATCAAAAAAGTAAGCAAGGGGCGGTAGTTTTGTAAAAACCCTTTTGTGTTAATTGACTAGACAATTTCTGAAAATTCTAAACCTATTCAGGAATTACTAGATGAAATTGAATGACACCCATTTATATATATATATATATTGTCACACAACATTTGCAGTTTATCTATTTATCATTGATTTTAGAGGTCCTACTTAAGAATGTCATTAATATTAAATTAAAAGTCTCTTAAAAACGGGTGTTGCAAACATTGGCTAGCGGTTATACGTTCAGCTGGATCAAATTCTAGTAACTTCTTTAGTAAATCTACGAAGTCTTCCATAGTGGCCATCTCTAATTATAAGTTTCTTACCAATTTGAACCTTGGATTGTTCTTAAACTTGATTTATTGAATTCCAAATACAACTCTTAAATTTTAGTTATATTTTATATTCCCGGCTCAGGTAAATTTAGATTAAATTCGTTCTAGTACATTTTCAAATTTTTGAGAACATAATTTTAGTTTATGTTCATAAAATATTCATGACATTTTGGACTATTTGAAATTAGCTCTTAATTAGTACTAATTTTAGTGATAAATTATAAATTACATAGAAATTAATCCTAGAATTTTTTAAAGTTAATCAAATGAGGAAGTTCCTTAAAATAAAGGATATCCTAAATATAACTGAGCTGCTACACATCCTACTGACCACATATCTATTGCACATGTTTTTTTATAACCTATAATAATCTAATTACAATAATTTATAGATATACTTCAGGTGCTCTATAATACAAACTTTAAATGTAATAATATAAATTGACATTTACTTCAGAAGCAGATCCAAAATCAATTATTTAAATTTATTTTGCTTTAAAACTTATATAATTATTAATAGTTACTCAGTGAATAAAATATTTTCTGGTTTGATATCACAATGCACCCAATTTAATGAATGCAGAAATTCTAATCCTGATATTAATTATTTTAAAATATTTTTAATCATGTATAATGAAAGTCCTTAATATTTAGTTTCTGATAATAATTCTTCTAAATTAAATCCTAATAATGGAAAAACTATGCAAACATGATTTTTAAAAAGAAAATAATCAATTATTTTAATTATGCATTCATGATCCATTTTTTTGTTAAGCAATCTAATCAATTTAATTTCTTTCATAGCTTGTAAATTGTATGCATTTATATTTTTTATAATTTTTATTGCGAAACTTGAATTATTATTAACACATCTATAAACACTTCCAAATGTGCCAACACCTAATAATTCTTTAGCAATATATTTATTTTCTGCCTTTTGATTTATAATAATATCATTCAATCTTACAATTAAATCATAATTTTCATTATCTAATCCATCATTATAAACAGCTACGTTTAACACATTTAGATACCTTTATTTGGCTAAGTTAGAGTTCTAGGAATCACAGAAATCATTTCAGTGAACTATAACAATTATCTAATTTTTATTGTGACAAGATGAATTGGTTATTTATCTCTTTACAATTGTTTTGATTTTAGACTTTCATTTTAACAATCATATAATTAAAAGTGAGTCTTTTAAATACCAAATTAAGAAAAGCTGAGGGTAAGGTTATACATAAAAATCTTTATAATTTTATTAATTCAGAAAGATGTTGTGGATTATAAATGATTAATTTTTATCTCCTTAATTTAATTCTTTAAGTTATAATATAATAAATTAGAAGTAGAATTACATTCTAATTTTAATTTTCTAATAATGCTCAGAAATAGTTTAATTTACTTTTATTATAGTCAATAGTTTTATTCTATCTATTGATTAAAAATATTTGTGTTTATAATTAGTATTTAATACTCTCATATTTACTTGAGGTCCTTTAAATATTGATTATAAAAAATAATTAATGTTTATTTTTTTCTTAGTTTATGTTTAAGCATAATTTTCTTCTAAATTACACTTTCATTATCCTAATGCTGATGAATCAATTGCAGAATTTACAATAATTAATAAACATGAAATTGATTTCACTAAGACTACATAACCATTTTCATTATTTCCTAGATCATTTTTAGAAAATTTGCATATAGAAGGAAAGGTTAGAGAATTATATATCAGTTCAACTCAAGGTATGATGCCTGAACTAAATGCACCTTAACATGGAGTTTTAATAATTACAAATGAAGATGCTGATTAATAAATTGCTATAAACCAAATTTCTGAAATATTTAGAATTTCAAAATACAATATGATTCATGATAAAGCTTATTATTATAAATTTAATGGAAATTAGTCATACCTTTCTTTTATGGGATTTGATAATGATACAATTTAAGTAAGTAAAGTACTTTTAGCACAAGACCCTACTGATAACATTTGTATTGATGGAATAGAATCAATTTTAAAATATTTTGGATGTAATGGTAAAAAAGGATTAGGTTAGATAATTGATCCTAACACAATTTTTAGATCAGAATACTTATCTCTTTAAGCTAAATTTTAATATGATGAAAATACAAAAATAGCATATTAAAAAATAGTACTTTTAGTGAAATATGAAACTTAATCTATAACTAAGATTTTTAATTTAGATCCTAATCTTTCATATCATTCATGTACTGAATTTGATTCTGAAATTATCTTACATTCTACTAGGGAAATAACTTATAATTTAAAATCAGCTGGATAATTTAGGATGGGATAATTAAGTAAAATATAAGATGATACAAATATGATCAAATATTAACCTAAAGGTATTTAATTTAATTTATATAATTAAGTAACTCTTACAAAATTCTGTGCTGGACCTTGGTTTGCTTTTGATTCTTATATCCATTAATAAGTAACTGCCAATGAAGATGGAATTGTTAGTCTATTACTCTATTTTCCACATGAATTTACTCCAATTTATCATACATTAGAAACAAATTTATAAAGTTAGAAATAATTTATTTGGGATGAAGAAACTAAAAAAATAATTATTACTGCTAAAATGAAGCAAAATGAAACTTTTTTAGTTAAAATTAAGTTTAGCAAAAAACTTAAAAGTTTTGAAGAATATCCTCATGATCCAGAAAGAGGATAAGATATTGTAAAATAATTATATAATATAGATTACTACTCCTGTTATTTACAATGGAGAATTATATTTAACTTCCCATTAAGTGACAAGATAACCATATCCAGACTTTTCTATGCCATTCAATATTTTAACATTCTCATCTTTAGCTATGGGATATTTTTTCCTATAGATTTTAGGGATGGCAGTTGATAAATTCATTCTTAATAAACCAGAAAAAGGATCTTTGGCTTAAAGGTTATTAAGAAAAATCTTTTCATTAATTTCATTTTGAGGTTTATATTGAGACATTTTAAATATTTATTATTTACAAGTTCAATTCATTTCTATCTAATCAATAACTTTTGATTCATATATCAATATATGATGAAAATATTTTTAAATTAAAAATTATTAAAAGTGCCAAAAGAGAAAACAATAAATTAAAATGATATATGATATTTTTCAAGTGTTTGCATAAACTAAAATACTATTAAAAAATCACAAATCATCATGATACATAGAACTTATTGATTATTGTTATTATTCTAATTCTAATTTTTATTAATCTCTTTTGGCTGCATACTCTTTGAATTCAATAATTTTATCTAAGTAACAATAAGATTATTATCATATACCTCCATTAGAATCATAATCTAAGAAGAATTAAGCAACAAAATCGGCTGTGTTATATGGATTCTAAGAAGGGAATTGAGCTCTTAATTCATCATATTTTAGCACTTAATCCCCATCTTAATCAAACATCAAGAAATCAGCTTCATACTGTTGTAATCCTAGAACAATTCCTAATAATAATAACACAATCACACGTCTCACCATTTAATTTAATTATTAATAGTATTCGTTATTCCAAGTACTGATTTCTTTTCAATTATTTAAAAAAAAATATGAATTAATGAACATCTTTTGAACAATATCACTCTTTTGTTTCAAATAATAAATAATCAATCAATATGTAATTGTACTTGGATCCCAACAGGTGTGATAATTTTGATTAAGATTATCGATTATTTTGATATCCTCTTCAGAGATTTAAATATCAAAAATCTCAATATTTTCTTTTATGTACTTAGGGGTTTTTGATTTTGGTAATACAATATATCCTTTTTATAAAGCCCACCTAAGACTTATTTAAGCGACTGTTTTATTATATTTTTTAGAAAGTTCTATCATATTTTTATTCTAGATTAATTTAGGATCATTTCTTGCAATAGGAGAATAGGCCTCTATTAAAATGTCTAGAGGAATATGACGAAAAATTACTTTATTGTTAACAAAATTAAATAGTAGGTTAATCCCAACATAAGGGATGTACTTCAATTTGATTAATAGCAGGTTTAATTCTACAATATTACAAGAGATGTTCAAGATGATGTTTTAAAAAATTACTCACTCCAATATTTTTAATTAATCCTTCTTGAAACAACTATTCTAAAGCTTTATAAGTTTAAAGTCTAATAGTGGCATTATCAGGACTATTTGGTTTACAACCTAATGCACCTGGCCAATGAATCAATAGTAAATCAAGATATTTGGTATCCAAATCTTAAAGTATTTTTTTGCAAGCTTATATAGTATTCTCATATCCTTATTCTTATGGAGCTATTTTGGAAGTAATGAAAAAGTCTTCTCTTTAAGGAACTCTAATATCTTAGCCATTTTTATAATATGAGGCAGAATCTATATGAGTATATCCACTAAAAAATATTGTTATGAATTTGATTACACTTGTATAGCATATTTGATTCCCTCTTTTAATTCTTTTCCTTTACACTGATAAGTACCATAACCTATTTATGGTATTTTATTGCCATTATTTAGAGTTAAAAGAGGAACAATATTTTTGTACATTTAATAAAATAATTCAAATTCTCAAGCTATCAAAAAAAGTATGAGTCATAACTTCAGCTGCAGTAGTCTTGATTTATGATTATAAATTAACAACTTTCTAATCAGATTATAAGGCTACTTTTTTAAATAAATAAAATCCTCTGTATTTATAAATATTTTAAAGGCTTTTGGAGTGTCTTAAACATAAATAAATAATTTACCAAATTTTTCTTAATATTTAAGAAGATCTTCAATGCCAAAAGTAGCAACAGTTTTATCTAACTCATAATAATTATTATTTCCCTTTAGGAAAAAATATTTCTGAAGCATCATACTTGTTAATTAATTTAGAAATTCTATTTAATATTTAATTAAAATCTTATGATAACGAGTTCCAACTCTAGTATTATGTCTTTTTGTTGAATTATTAAACTATCCCAAGCATAAATCAATTAAATAAAGTCGAAATCTTCCTTTATTATAATATTAGGCATCTTGACATCTATGTACTTAATTTAAAGCCTTTTATTTAAATACTTTTAGCAATTAGTACTTGTATCATTTTATCTTTCGTAAATTAAGCTTTCCAATAAATGTAATAAATTCGAACTAATTAGATATTTATAATAAATTTTACATTATATTTCTTATTCTAATTTGAAATAGCATCTATCAATTATAATGTATTTTAGTTCCTTTTATAGCTTTTAATACTTGAATCCCTCTATTGATTTCCTAATAATTGATTGGTTATAGTTCTTACATTACTAAAATCTCTTCATCTCCTTGAAATCCAAGAAAAAACTAAGAAAATGCTCTTTGTACTATTTTATCAAATTAAGTATAACTTTTCAAGTCTTTCTTATTGCAATACAAATATCATGGGTCCATATCTTTTATTTAACGGGTATTTTAATATACTTTTGAAACATATTGATTATTATACTTTGTCGTATTCTTCATCATAATAAAATGTATTTCGAAATAATTTTGGTGTTGTTTTGTGCTTAGCCTCCAATACACTAATATTGCTAATAAAATTAATATTAGATGCATTATAAAACAATTATTAATATTATCATATTAATGTCTTATTAATTTGGAGGAAGTTAATTGCAATAATAAAATGTACCTAATGCCAAATATAAAACCATGCTATGTCGTCATTATTAAGGTAATATTTTAAAATTATTAAGCTACTAAATAATGTGCTATTGGAACCAAATGCCAATTTGCACATGGAAGTTAAGAATAAAGATAAATTAATGGTATTAGATAATTATATCTTTATTAGATCCTTTACCTGCTTCTGCTTTATCAGTTATGGCTTCTGTTATTGAATAACCAATAAATAAACCTTAATCTCAAACATTTTAGAGTATTACTTAAATTAATAATATTAAGTTCCTTGCAAATACCACGCTTAAAACTATTGTAAAAATGGCTAAAATTGTCAATATATCCATGGTATTAAATTTGATATTTTAGACTCTGATTCAAATTCATAATAGCCAATTCAATTTATACAATAACCTTTGATCTCTCCTCCTCCTTAAGTGAAGTAAGAAGATGCAATGCAATCAGTTTTCTCGTATATTTTATTTGAGATGCAATAAATATTTTCTTAAGATGTGAGATATACAAATAAAATATAGGATATAATATAAAAATTAAAAATAGCCTAGGAATAGGCAAGGGTTGGTAATCTTATCACTGTGGCCGAATGTATTAAAAATATCATTCATGCTCCAGAACGTACTTAAGAAGAAATACTTAAATATACAAATCTCTATAACTAGGCAGTAACGTATTTTAATCAGATCTCATAAGTGAATTGATTCTAATATTAAAAATAATTATTATCGTCTACAAGTAATTTATTCAAAATCCTGACTGGATCTCAGAAACAATCTAAACCTAAATTTATAATTTCTTTTAAGAAAACTATTAAATTAAGTCCAATATAAATAATTTAAATGACTTCCCACTTATTAAATCTTTTTTAAAATCTAACATGAATTTTAAAAATTAATTGATAATTTTGAAGAATAAAATTATTCTATTTTGGATTGTGATATATGAATATTAAATAAAATGATGGGTAAAAGTATTTATTTTGGTTTTAATTAAATATTCATGATATATAAGATTAATTAATATGCTAAATATATAAGTTTGTTGAATGAGAAAATAGAATACATTAAAGATAATATAATAAAAATTTCAAAAATAACTATTCAGAGAATAATTTATGATATTTAGTTTAATTTATAGAAAATTATGAAGAATGGATAAAATTAGAGTCAATGATTAAGTATTTAGAAATAAGTAATGAGTTTGGATAATTTGTTAGCAAGAGAATTGAAATTTTGAATTTTAATATTAAAAATGTCAATTTTAAGTGAACATACAATTTAAATAAAAAATGAAGGAATAACAATGATGTCTGTTTCACATAGTGCTATAAGTCCATCAATAGCAATATGTACAATATCTCGAGTGATGTTGTATAATGATTAAGGTGAGAAATTTGATTATGAATTGGCTCGTAATTAGAAACCGACTGCAATAGCATGGCATCCTTTTCAACCACAATTAGCAATAGGTTGGTAAAATGGTAGATATAAGAATATAAATTCTAGGTACAATAACTATATGGTCTGAAGAAACGCGTACAGCAAAGGAAGAATCAGCAGTACATAAAGAAGAAATTAATTTAATACAATATAATACAAATGGATCTAGAATGGTTAGCGCAGATATATCTGGTCTGGTAGTAGTATGGAGAGGAATAACACCAATGAGTTAATATTAAAAAGAAGGAATTATGACAATTTGCATTTTTGCTGATTTAAATAATATCATCAAGGCTTAAAATTTATTCTTTTTTGGCGGAAAATCAGGATTAGTTTGTTTGGCAGATGATAGTAAACATTGTTCAGAAGTATGCAAAGTAGTTGGTAGTATCAAATGTTTAATGATTTATGAAAAATATAATTCAGTGATCATTATCACAAGCGGTCTACTTTTAGTTTAATTTAAAATAAGTACAAGTGAAAAGACATAGCCAGATAAAAAAGTCAAATTATCTATTGCAGGAGAACCAGAATCACTTTAATCTGTTTGGATTGGTTAATGTTTAATTGCTATTTCATCAAATGAAAATATGATAAGAATGTTTTAATTAGAAGCTGATGAAAATTATGTTATCACACTACATGAATTTTAAGAAATGTATCCTTAAGATAAGATACTAAATGATAAAATTACATGTGTTTAATATAGCAAGAAATCTAAGAATTTAGTTGCAGGGACTAAAGATGGTAGATTGGTATTTTGGAAAAACTTTGCTTTAACTGATGAATCTCCTGTTGAGAGTGAATAATGGAAAGCATTAAAAATTATTAATCATAATAAAACAATTAATGAAATTGCTATAGGTAAAAACAGTGGAGTGATTGCAGCAAGATCAGTAGATTCTGTTAGAATAGTTTAAGAATCATTAGTTCATGGTAAAGTACAGGAAAATGTTAGGGTTTTGTAGGTAGAACATAACAAAATTTTAATATATTTTAAAAATGATTCTTAAAATCAAGATAAAGAAAAAGGACCTTGGTCAATGTTTTTGTGGGATAGCAAATTTCCGATAAAATCAATTGATTGCACTTAATAATATCTTATGATTTAAAGTGCAAATAAGATTGAGATTAGTGAATTTACAAGTAAAAATTAAATTAAATTTAAATAGATAATTCTTAAATTATCGCAAAATCTTAGTTTGACAGAAAATGTGTGAAAGCTGCTCTATTTTAAGAAGATATAATATTATTTTATGAATATAAATTTGAAGTAACAAACTTTAAAGGAGTTTAAAAATATTTTGTAGATTTTTCAGAAAGCGATGGTATAATAGCAAATTATGAATTCAATAACAAAACAATGGTTATATGGACACATAATAATTATTTTAGATTATATGATTTTAGTAGAAGAGAAGCTTAATTATAAGGATTTAATTGCAAATTTGAGAATGACAAAGGTCCATTAGGTACAATAAAATAATGTGCTGTGAATTGTGATGGATCAAATGTAGCTATTATAGCAGATAATCATGGAAATTAAAATGATTTATTTTTTGTTTACAACCCTGAGAACAATAATTTTTAATCATTTGAATTGCCTAAATATAGAAAAGCTATGAAGATTATGTGGGATTATTCAGATCCAAGATTTTTTGGAGTTACTACAATATGCACAAAGATAAAAACAAATAGTGAAAATGATGTTGAAGAGGAATAAGCTGATTTTAGAGCCTAGAAGTTTTTCACTTTCTTTTTTAATCCATAGACAGGAATTAAAGAATAAGATTGTTATGTACTTGAAGAGAAATAAGAGGGAGTATTATCTATTCGTATTCCTCATATAAATGTAATTTAGAAAAAAGAATAATCATATAGAATATAAGATATATTAATGAATGATTTTACTGGTTTGGAGAGAGCAGATGAACCAACAAAAAGAGCGGTTATAAATTTCTCTTATCATTTATCTTGTGGAAATTTAGATGAAGCTTATAAATCTGTAAAAGCAATTTAAAATCCTACAGTATGGGAAAAGATGGCTTAAATGAGTGTTAAAACAAAAAGATTAGATGTTGCTGAAATTTGTATTGGAAATATGAGATTTGCAAGAGGTGCTAAAGCTATTAGAGAAACAAAGAAAGAACCTGAATTTGAAGCTTAATTAGCTATGGTTGCAATTCAATTGAATATGATATAAGAAGCAGAGAAATTATATTACTAATGCAAAAGATATGATTTACTTAATAAATTGTATTAAGCATAAGGATAATGGGAAAAGGCATTAGAAATAGCAGAGAAACATGATAGAATAAATCTTTTATCAACTTATTATAAATTGGCTAAATAATATGAAATTTCTAAAGAATGGGATAAGGCTATCTAATATTATGAGAAATCAGGAAATGCTCAAAAAGAAATACCAAGAATGTTTTATGAAGCTGATGAATTACAAAATTTAGAAAGTTATGTATTATAAAAGAAGGATCCAATTCTTTATAAATGGTGGGCTAATCATTTAGAATCTTAAGAGTCATATGATGAAGCAATTAAGTTTTATAGAGATGCTAATGATGCCTTAGGAATCGTTAGAGTATTATTACACTAAGACAATATAAGACATGCAAAAGAAACCTGTAATGATAAGAATGATCCAGCCGCTCATTATTTCTTAGCTAAATATTTAGAAGCAAAGAATATTATTCCAGAAGCTATATAATATTATGCTAAAGCTTAATATTTTAGTGAAGCTATAAGATTAGCTAAATAAGCCAATTCTATTTCTGATGTTACTGCAATTTCATTATAAGCACCTAAATTAATTATGATTTAATCTGCTATATATTTTGAATAAAAGAAAATTATTGATAAAGCTGTTTTACTATATATGAGAGGTGGATAATTATAAAAAGCTTTATATCTAGCTTAAAGAGAAAAATTAACTGATTATGTTAAAAAAATTAATTAAGAAATCTCACTTCAAAAATAAGAAACAGTTGATTTGACATTTACTAATACTGGTTCATTAAAAGAAAATCCATCATAATAAAAAATAACCAATTCATAAAAAGAATAATAATAACCTAATTAACAAAAAGATAAAGCACCACCTCCTGGATCATTGTAAGATTTAATTAATAAAAAATAATTTGAAAAAGTCTTAGAAACTTGTGATAATTAAGGTTTACAAATTACTGATGATTTAGTTAAATAGATGTTAGATGGGCTTGATGATAAAAAAAAAAAAGAAGTTTAATTATTGATAGCTGAAAAATCAAAAAAGATTGGAAATTTTGAATAAGCTTCTAAAATGTATATTTAAATGGGAGAAAGAGTTAAAGCTATGAAAGCTCTATGTAAATTAGGAGATGTTGAAAAAATTATAGCTTTTGCGAATAATGCTAGAATGGCTGAAATTTACATTCTTGCTGGGAATTACCTTTAAACAGGTGATTGGCATAAAACACCTGAACTTATGAAACATATTATTTAATTTTACAATAAAGCCAAAGCATTTGATCATTTAGCTAATTTCTTTGAAGCATGCTCTTCAGTTGAAATAGATGAATATAGAGATTATGAAAAGGCTTGTGCTGCATTAAAAGAAGCTATTAAATATTCAGATAAATCAACTAATCAATAAAAAACATCATAATTACAGTAGAAATTAAAATTGATCTCAGATTTTGTTCAAGCAAAATAGAAATCACCACAAGAGATGTTATAAATATACTATAAATTATTAAATGATGTATAAATATTGCAATTTATTTAAATTAGGGTAACATTGAGTATGCAGTTAGATAAGGGGATATTTTTGCTGAATTAATAGAATATTATTATGCTTAAGGACAATTTGAAAAAGCATATGATGAAATGTAAAAAATGCAAAAGAAATCAATAGTACTCAATCCCTATTTAGATTAAGAATTAGTATTATTTCTAAATATTTTTAGATTTAAAAAGTTATGAATTATATGAAATAAAAGGTCGGTGGTCAATAGTAATAGTAATAAAAATAAAATAAGAATAATCCATATGGAAAATAATAACAACCAAAAGATGATGATGATTTTTAGGAAGAGGATGTTATAGATGATGGAATATGAATCATATAAAGATATTAATAATTAGTTATTCAAAACCAATTTTAACTTAATTACTTATTTTTTATTTATTAAAATATGCCTTATTAATATGTAATAAGTACTTTTTGCAAAGTAGGCTTTTTCTTTAGATAGATTACCAGATACACTTTTCAAACGACTTAAACCAAAATGAAAGGTATTCATTTATTTTTTTAATACATTTTATTAAATTTGAGAGATCAAATATATAATTAAGAATAATTATCATTAAAAAAATTCCTGCTTAAATTAAAAAACTTAAATAATTCTACTATTCAAATTAGAATTGTTACAATCTAAATTAAAATCGTTATTAAAAAAAATGTTAAATTTTGGTTATTTAAATAAAAATCGTAGAATAATTAAGTATTAATATATTGTTTAACAAAAATACTCAGAAATTATTGGATGAGAATATTAATAGAGAAAGGAATATAGGAAAAATAAATTGAAGAATTAGAAGTTCTATACTTGTACTTAAAAATTAAATATCATAAGTTTGCACTTATAGCTAAATTAAGTCAAAAGCTATACTTAAAGAGGAAACTAGATTAAAATAAAATAAAGATATGAATTAAGAAGTTTAGATCAAATATTAAATATAACTTACAATTATAAAATTTCTGCTTCATTAACTGTTCATTTTTAAGATAATCAATTTTTATAAATTAAAAAATATATTATAAATATATTTAGAGCATTCTCTTTACCTAATAGTATATTATAATGCCTATGATCCTAAAGGATTTTATACTTTCTTATTTATATTCTAAAAATTAAAAGTTTTCATAATTCTTATCTGCCCCCAACAAAATCTTGTGTTAAAAATGAATTCAACTAAAACAAAAATTCATTATCTAAAAAGGGCCAATCATATATTAATATAACAATAATAATTATCAATTTATATACATTTATATTACTCATAAATCCTCTTATCTTTTTTGATGTAAATATTTCCTTTTTAAGTCGTTTTCCCATTTTTAAAATGCTAAGCTTTGTTATTCTACTTTTTTCCTCTCTTCTTTATTCATTTTCATATATTTGGATTTTTAAAATTCTAGCTTTTGTTTTCTAATTTTATACAATTAAATGTCGCTCTCTTATGTAATATCTAAAGAGGATATAATTTTAAGTACAATTAGGTACACGGATTAAACTTAAATCAATTTCTTCAGCTGCAATGCTCTTTATTGAGAGAAGCAAGACTACAATAATCAATAGATTCTTCGACATTAAAAAAAATTAATTAATTTTAATGTTTTTGTATGTTAGTAATTTATATTTATGATTGATTGATTTTATTCAGATCAATAAATGATGATGATACTTCTTTCGTTCTAATTTTTTAATTAATAAGATAAATATTAATTGATTATTTGATTTTAGATTGAGAAAGAAAAGATCAATAAATCAATTTATAAAGATTGATTAAAAATTTACACATCAGCTGTTATATTACTAATAAATTTTTAACAAAACATATATTCGGTAACATTATGGTTATTATAATAAAAAAGAATAATATCCGTAAAAATTAATAAATCAGAAGTAAAATGAAATAATCACAATAATTAACTAGAAATTAGAAATATAGATAAAGATTAGTTCATTCTTTGCATCGAAAATTGAATATAAGTTTGATTACGAGGAATTGTTCTGGATATGTTGTTTGCAAGGTAGAATAAAATAAAAGATATTAACGTAATAAGCAATAGAGACGTATAAGAAAATTTGGTATAGTTTGTTTTTATAATAAATTAAGTATGTCTCTTGAAGATTAATCGATGTGTTCAATAAATTCTAAATTTAATAGAAACAAATGATATTGATAATGTTTTAAATTTGTAATGTTTCATCTTTTAATATTTAATTCAAATTGTTTTTTTTCTCATGAATTAATTAAATAATATTAGATGAATTAAATCTGTTTTCTAAAGTAATTAAAGCCTCATACGATTACTTGAATAGATTTTTCAGGTAGATCATGTACAGATTATTAATGAAACATAGTGAAATATTAAAGAGAATCTCTGCTATACAGCCTTAGATCCTAAAGAAGAAGAAAAAGCACAAAAAGAAAATAATTTTAAAATGAATATTTTTTGAACTTATTGGATTAGAGATTACCGAAATTCATTAATTGTCCTATATTGACATTTATAGTATCATTGTTCTGTCTGATACTTGTAATGAAATTAAAACTATTTTTTTTGATCAATATAATGGAAAAAATAAAAATATAATCTGAACAGCTACCAAATTCAGAAAATAGTTAAAAAGTTCCGTAAAGTCAAAAATCGTTTACTAATTAAATGATTTAATATATGTATGCTGTTCCCTGAATAAGGGTTAAATAATAATAATAATAGTCAATATAATTGTTTAATTATATTATATTTAGAAATAAAAACTTATAATACTAATCCGAAATTACTAAACCATAAAATAGTTTGAGTAGAAAAATAGTGGGTATAAAAAATATCAATATAACTAAAGAATGAAACTGACTCTCTATCTTAACTTCAAAAAGATTTAGAGTATGTTTTTAATAATTCGTAATTAAAATTTCAAATCCAGTTTTTTGGTAAAATAAATATTTTCTTAATTATATGCGCTAGAAGAAAATAGATTTTGATTGACTTCAGAAGTTTAGAATTTTTGGTTTAAAAGGTTTATCTTATTATTTGTAAATATTTGCAGTATATTTGAGATTGATTAAAAAAATCCTTTTAGAATTTGATACTCAAATATTTAATTATGGTTTTGTGTTCTATTTGCGGAAGAAAAAAGGAAGAGAAATTATATACAATTTTGTTGGATAGATATAGAAAAACCTACCTTGAATTAAAGAGAGTTGAAGAGAAAAGATAATTTTTAAAGAAAAATTATAAAGAATATTGTCATTTAGGATGTATTGTTTTTTTTCTACAGAATGTTTAAATAATATAAGAGAAATATTATCTAGCAAGAGATAAATGTGTTACAGATTATATATTTTTTGGATTAGATTAAATACATAAAAGCAAATAGTTAATAGATTGTTCAATTTGTGATTAAGGGTTAAATAATGTTTAAGCACCTCAAAAGAAAGCCTCAATAAATTGTTCTAATCATAAATGTAAAATGCTCTATCATATTGATTGTATCATTTAGGTAAAAAAGAGGATAACATGCACTAAAGCTAGAATTAATTTTTATTGTAATCAACATTTTGATAAAAATGAATAATAGGCTGATTGGAATTAGTGGGAATCAATATCATCTAATCTTGTATAAGAAAATATACACATTAAATAAGAAGAACCTTATAGAGGAGATAGTAAGTTTTTAATAGTATCAGTGGATGATCCAATTTAGACCATAGGAGAAAAATTAGATTCAAATTCCTTTAAAAGATTAGATGAGGATTTAACTAAAAAATTAAAAGTTTAAAAAAAAGAAACTAAAGTTGAATAAGAAAAAAAGAGATAAAAATTTTGGGATATAAGCAAAGATTTTAAATCACAGTATGAATTTGGTCCTAGACCTATGTTTTAAATTGATTATTAAGCTAAAAAAAAGGAAGAAATGGTAGTAAATGGAGATGAAGAAGAGTAATAATAATAAATTACTCTAAAAAAAACAATTTTAGAAGAAATTATTATAACTGATGATGGCATTGAAATTAATAAAATAGAAAAACCAAAAAAAAAAATAAAACCTGTTTAAAATGTTAAAGAATAAAATAATAAAGTGAATAATACATTTTCAAAAATTAAAGCAGAATAAATAGAAATAGATAAGGAAGAATAAAAATCATATTAATAAACATAAGAAAATGGTGGTGTATCTCTTGATTAATTGTTAAGTTTTGTAAGAGAAAAAAAAAATAGTATTCCAACATTTCCAAATTATCTTTAATAAAGAAATTAATATAGAGAATAAGTAGAAAAACAAAAAATGAATAAGGAACAGTAAGAATAAATTGAAATGAAAGAATTGACAGAAATGCAATAAAAACTTAAAAAAAAAATGGATTTATTTAATAAAAAGGAGTAAATGTTTGGTGAAAATAATTAATAATTTCCTAATTAAAATTTCTCTAATGCTAATAAAATACATAAAAATATTGATAATTGTTTGAGCAACTCGGGTGTTAAGGATGATATAAATTATAATTGCAATAATAATTTAATCATTAACAATTAGAATAATATTATCAATAATTGTATTGATTCAATTCGGTAAGGTAAAGCTAATAAAAAAAATGGAAATGAGGAAATTAATGATCTGGACTAATAAGGAAAAAAAATACTATCTTAATAAAAAGAGCCTTAATCTGAGAAACAAATACCGAATTCTGATATGATTGAAAATGATCATCAAAAAATTAAGTAAACAAAGATTGATGACTATTCAAGTATGTCCGCAACAGAGCTTTTAAATTTTTTATTAAAAAACCAACAAAAAAAAAATAGAACAAGAAATAGAATAAAAAATGAAACAACAAGAGCTCTATAAACTTAACACGAAATTATTTATTATCCATAACCAGACGAGGCATGGGAAGAAAACTTAGAAGGTTGGTGGAATAAAGTTGAAGAAACATATTTTAACTCTAAATAAGATATTTATACGACCATAGAAAAATTTAAAAAAATTAAAGACACTGATAAATAATTTTAAGAGTACTTGAAAGTACTGTTTGAAATAAGAAATGGAAACATTGTTTATGCAGAATATAGTTTATAAGATGATGACAGTTATGAACCTAAATTTTAAGAAGAACAAGAATACAATTTAAAATTTTAAATATTTAAGAATAAATTTTATAGTTAAGAAACTAATGAAGATATTTTTGATAGATATACATAAAAATTAGTTTTAGAAAACGTAACAGTCATTGAATAATTGAAAAACTCAGATAGTTCTGTATATAACGAGTTTATGAAAAATAAAGATAGTTAAGTATATTTGGATTATTATTTTGAAAAGTATTATGAAAATGAATTGGAAAAATTGAAAATTTAAAATTAAATTGATATTAATTATTTGAATTAATAATCAATCAAAGAGAGAGCTAAAATATCTATAAGTAGACAAGGACATGTTCAATTGGATAAATTACGATATCATTAACTATTAAAAAACACAAAGTTAGGAATGAAATATATTACAGATTAAGAACATAATTTGATAATAAAAAAAAAGATAGATTTATTAAGTAGTATTAGAACAGATAATTTTTTTGGGAAATGCAACCCCTCATAATTAAAACAAGGCTAAAAAGATGAATTAGCAAAAGAAACCTGCTGCAAAGTTTGCTTTAACTATTAATTAATTTAATTGGATAGTAATAATGATTTATCCTATTGTGGAACTTGTTTTGCAACATTTCATAAACATTGTTATAACATTACCGATTTATTTGAAACTTGTGATTAATGCAAAATTTAAAATACTTAGTAAATTTGTTATATCTGCCAAAAGAATTATCCTGGCATACCCCTTAGAGAAATTGATCAATATTGGGTTCATATAACTTGTGCATTATTATGTGGGTTATTAGAATTTAATTAAACATAATTTAAACTCAAAAAAGGTATAATTTAACAATAGTAAACTCCTTGTTTGATATGTGAGGAAAAAGTAGGAGTTTAATTGTCTTGTTAAGATTGCAAGAATTAAATGCATCTCTTTTGCGCATTTTTATGGGGATTTTAAATAACAATTTAAACCGAACCAGACTGTCTTGATCCGTATATAACAACAAATTTCTTGTGCCATAAGCATTTTGAATATAATGAAAAAGATATTCTTAAACAAATTTATTACAGATGGCATGGAATTAATTTTAATTAGGCTGGTTGCTTTGAAACATTAGAGAATTTTGTGAAATGCAAATTGATTGCACATCAAAAAGTTATAAGTAAAATTGAGAATTTTTTAAAAAAATGAAAAATATAGATATATATATTTTAATTTTATATTATTTTCTAGTTTTTATATTTGATACGTCAAAATTTAGAACAAATAAAACATTTCACAAATTTCTAGAATCTTTATTTATTAATCTTTTTATTTTTAAAATGAATATTAAATGACATTTTTCAAATATATTTTTTTAGAAAAATAAATATTTGTAAATTTATTATCGACAATTATTATATTGACCTAATATCTGTTAATTTTTAATAAAAATTATTTTATTTATATTGTATGTTTAGTTAGATTTATTATTTTATAATATTCGAATAATCTTGAAACTTTAATCCTGAAAAAATTTAAATTGCGAATTACTATTTCTATTAAAATTAATTGTCTATAGTTCAATTCAATCTAATGAATTTATTATTAAACTTTTGAAATATTAAATTTATGATCTTTAGAGTTATTTGAACTAAAAAAATATTCTATTATCTATAATAAATTATTCTATAAAATATAATTTAAAAAAAATGAAATTTTTAATAAGTTAACAAATTTTTATCAAATTAATTGGCAACATTTACAAAATAATTTTTTTGTTTTTTACGACTTTTTTTCTTAAACGGTGTTTTATTATTAATAATTATCTTCTTTTAGATCAGTTTAATACTATTCTTGATGAACTTGCAAATTCGTTTAATGTATTTAAATTTCTTCGATTTTCGAATCTTATTAAGTTAAATTATATTATTCACTTTGTTAGTCATTGATTTAATTGAGATTTTGAATTAATAAATCAGTTTTATCATCTTAAAAATACTAAGTTTGATCAATCACATCTTATGTTTAATTCTAATCTTATATATCGTTGTATTTTTTGAGTCTGTTACTACTTTTTTCAGATTAGTAATCTTCCTATTCATTATTTCTTGGATAATTATTTTGAACTATGTTGACATTCTATATTTTATTTGTGTGTTCTAATTCCTAATTTTTATTTTGCTATGAATCTCGACCTAATTCATGAGGATTTTCATCATTTAATTAGTTAAATTAATCATTTTGATATTTTATCTATTTCTTATTTACCATATTAGAATTATCATCCAACCCAAGATCCAATGGAAATACCTCTGAATTTCTTTTATTTGATAATAAATCATTATCATTTTCTAATTACTTTTTTTCCAAATTTGCTATCCAATTAGCTGTTGAGTTGGACTGGTACCTAGTGAAATTTGATGATGAGTTATTAAATTAATCATTATTAGATTATAAATCTTAATAAGTATTTATTTAATTTTAACCGTTTTAAAATTGTTCATACAAAAATTAATTTGAACTTATTTCTTAAAAATTTTAAATTTTTTAAATTTTATCTTATGTTATATTCTATTTATCAGTTTAATTTTAATTTATAAGTGCTGTGTCTGTGTTGTTTTATGATTCCTTAAAAATATTTTCTTTTTTACTTTTCTACATTTCATCATTGTTTACATTTTGTTAATTAAAATCTTATATATGCTAATTTTGTTAATTTTGCTATTAATCCGACTATTATATCGAGGTTTTATAAATTTTTTTATCTTCACTGAATTAAATTTTAACGAATTCTCTTTCAAATTATGGTTTTTTTTCTTGATTTTCTATTTAATCTTATTTTGGACTTTCTTAATCAATTTATTAAAATTTTTATATTTTATTTTATACTTGATCTTAAGCTAAATAATTTTATGCTTCTTCCAATATTATTTATTAGCTGAAAAAAACATTATTGAGTTTTGTTTCAATTTCTTAATTAATGATTAATGGATTTTGTTCATCAATATTGTTTGATAAAAAATTTTATACTTCTATTTTATCTGTTTATTAAATATTTCCATTTTTTTTTTCATCGTTATCGTTGTAATTTGTAATTTAAAAATTTAGGAATTGTATATTTTTGGTTTGTAAATTTTCTTCTACTGATGATTAAATTTGGGAATCATTACTTTCTTCTATTTAATTGTTTTTAATGATAATGGATATATTTTTTTATTTAGGATCATTTCTTTATAAATTTTCATTGTTTGCATTAAAATTATTAACATATTTTTGATGAATAAAGGTTGTTTGTAAATATTCTTCTTTATTTTCATTGTTTTCTTTTATAATTTAAACGTATTCATGTTTAGAATTAATTGTCTCTGTTTAATACTTTTTTATTTATTCATTTTATTAATCATATTCTTTTTAAGTTTCTTTGTTTTCATTTTAATTTACAATTTATGCTGATTATTATACAAAATTGTTTAATTATGTATTTTCTTTTACTTATTTTTAATTGATTTCATTGTTGTTTTCCTTTTTCTTCTCTATAATTTAAATATATTATTATTCATTTTAGTTTGTATATGTAGTTTTTTATACTTTTAATTCATTTTATTAATCAATTTCGATTTTATTTTCACTATTATCTGGTAAAATTTAATAATATTCTTTTTAATTGTAGTTAATTTGTGTAATTTCTTATACTTATTATTCATCTTATTAATTTTTTATATTATTTTGAATGTTCAATTATATAATTTAAACATTTTCTTATTTATTATTTATTGTGTATGTATTTTCTTAATCAGATTTTTTCTTTGATTAATCATTTTCAATTCCATTTTATTTGTTCTTTTCTATAATTTAAACAAATTCTTATTAATCAATATTTGTTAAAGTATATTCTTTTTTTTATTATTAATTTTATTAATCATTGTCCATTTATATTTCAAAATTTTCTTTTTAAATTTATAAATTTTCTTATATATTATAATTTGGTTTTGTAATGGTTTCTTCTTATAATTCAATATTAAAATCTTGAATTTTATTTTGATTGTTATCTTCTAGAATTTGAATATTTTGTAATTCAGTATTATATGCATATGTATTTTCTTCTTCTTATTATTCACTTTATTAATTTTCAATTTCATTTTCATTATTCTCTTCTACTATGTAAACATATTCTTATGCATTATTATTTGTTTATAAATTTACTTATTCTTTTACTTCACCTTATTAATTTTCAAAAATATTTTCATTACTTTCTTCTACTATTTAAACATATTCTTATTCATTATTATTTGCTTCTAAATTTACTTATTCTTTTAATTCACCGTCTTAATTTTCAAATATATTTTAATTATTTTCTTCTACTATTTAAACATATTCTTATTCATTATTATTTGCTTCTAAATTTACTTATTCTTTTAATTCACCGTCTTAATTTTCAAATATATTTTAATTATTTTCTTCTACTATTTAAACATATTCTTATTCATTATTATTTGCTTCTAAATTTGTTTATTCTTCTTTATCCCTTTATTAATTTTCAATTATATTTTCATGACTTTCTTCTACTATTTAAACATATTCTTATTCATTCTTATTTGCTTCTAAATTTACTTATTCTTCTTTATCCTTTTATTAATTTTCAATTATATTTTCATTACTTTCTTCTACTATTTAAACATATTCTTATTCATTCTTATTTGCTTCTAAATTTACTTATTCTTTTAATTCACCGTCTTAATTTTCAAATATATTTTAATTATTTTCTTCTACTATTTAAACATATTCTTATTCATTATTATTTGCTTCTAAATTTGTTTATTCTTCTTTATCCCTTTATTAATTTTCAATTATATTTTCATGACTTTCTTCTACTATTTAAACATATTCTTATTCATTCTTATTTGCTTCTAAATTTACTTATTCTTCTTTATCCTTTTATTAATTTTCAATTATATTTTCATTACTTTCTTCTACTATTTAAACATATTCTTATTCATTATTATTTGCTTCTAAATTTGTTTATTCTTCTTTATCACTTTATTAATTTTCAATTATATTTTCATTATTTTCTTCTACTATTTAAACATATTCTTATTCATTATTATTTGCTTCTAAATTTGTTTATTCTTCTTTATCCTTTTATTAATTTTCAAATATATTTTCATTACTTTCTTCTAATATTTAAACATATTCTTATGCATTATTATTTGCTTCTAAATTTGTTTATTCTTCTTTTTCACTTTATTAATTTTCAATTATATTTTCATTAAATTCACCATCTTAATTTTCAAATATATTTTCATTATTTTCTTCTACTATTTAAACATATTCTTATTCATTATTATTTGCTTCTAAATTTGTTTATTCTTCTTCATCACTTTATTAATGTTAAATTATATTTTCATTACTTTCTTCTATTATTTCAACATATTCTTATTCATTCTTATTTGCTTCTAAATTTACATATTCTTTTACTTCACCTTATTAATTTTCAAATATATTTTCATTATTTTCTTCAACTATTTACACATATTCTTATTCATTATTATTTGCTTCTAAATTTGTTTATTCTTCTTTATCACTTTATTAATTTTCAATTATATTTTCATTACTTTCTTCTACTATTTACACATATTCTTAATGATTATTATTTGTTTATAAATTTACTTATTCTTCTTTATCACTTTATTAATTTTCAATTATATTTTCATTACTTTCTTTTACTATTTACACATATTCTTATTCATTATTATTTGCTTTTAAATTTGTTTATTCTTCTTCATCAGTTTATTAAATTTTAATTATTTTTTCATTATTTTCTTCTACTATTTAAACATATTCTTATTGATTATTATTTGCTTTTAAATTTGTTTATTCTTCTTTATCACTTTATTAAATTTTCATTATATTTTCTTTATTTTTTTCTACTATTTAAACATATTCTTATTGATTATTATTTGCTTTTAAATTTGTTTATTCTTCTTTATCACTTTATTAATTTTCAATTATATTTTCATTACTTTCTTCTACTATTTACACATATTCTTAATGATTATTATTTGTTTATAAATTTACTTATTCTTTTACTTCACCTTATTAATTTTCAAATATATTTTCTTTATTTTCTTCAACTATTTACACATATTCTTATTGATTATTATTTGCTTCTAAATTTGTTTATTCTTCTTTATCACTTTATTAATTTTCAATTATATTTTCATTACTTTCTTCTACTATTTACACATATTCTTATTGATTATTATTTGCTTTTAAATTTGTTTATTCTTCTTTATCAGTTTATTAAATTTTAATAATTTTTTCATTATTTTCTTCTACTATTTAAACATATTCTTATTCATTATTATTTGCTTCTAAATTTGTTTATTCTTCTTTATCACTTTATTAATTTTCAATTATATTTTCATTATTTTCTTCTACTATTTAAACATATTCTTATTCATTATTATTTGCTTCTAAATTTGTTTATTCTTCTTTATCACTTTATTAATTTTCAATTATATTTTCATTATTTTCTTCTACTATTTAAACATATTCTTATTCATTATTATTTGCTTCTAAATTTGTTTATTCTTCTTTATCACTTTATTAATTTTCAATTATATTTTCATTATTTTCTTCTACTATTTAAACATATTCTTATTCATTATTATTTGCTTCTAAATTTGTTTATTCTTCTTTATCACTTTATTAATTTTCAATTATATTTTCATTATTTTCTTCTACTATTTAAACATATTCTTATTCATTATTATTTGCTTCTAAATTTGTTTATTCTTCTTTATCACTTTATTAATTTTCAATTATATTTTCATTATTTTCTTCTACTATTTAAACATATTCTTATTCATTATTATTTGCTTCTAAATTTGTTTATTCTTCTTTATCACTTTATTAATTTTCAATTATATTTTCATTATTTTCTTCTACTATTTAAACATATTCTTATTCATTATTATTTGCTTCTAAATTTGTTTATTCTTCTTTATCACTTTATTAATTTTCAATTATATTTTCATTATTTTCTTCTACTATTTAAACATATTCTTATTCATTATTATTTGCTTCTAAATTTGTTTATTCTTCTTTATCACTTTATTAATTTTCAATTATATTTTCATTATTTTCTTCTACTATTTAAACATATTCTTATTCATTATTATTTGCTTCTAAATTTGTTTATTCTTCTTTATCACTTTATTAATTTTCAATTATATTTTCATTATTTTCTTCTACTATTTAAACATATTCTTATTCATTATTATTTGCTTCTAAATTTGTTTATTCTTCTTTATCACTTTATTAATTTTCAATTATATTTTCATTATTTTCTTCTACTATTTAAACATATTCTTATTCATTATTATTTGCTTCTAAATTTGTTTATTCTTCTTTATCACTTTATTAATTTTCAATTATATTTTCATTATTTTCTTCTACTATTTAAACATATTCTTATTCATTATTATTTGCTTCTAAATTTGTTTATTCTTCTTTATCACTTTATTAATTTTCAATTATATTTTCATTATTTTCTTCTACTATTTAAACATATTCTTATTCATTATTATTTGCTTCTAAATTTGTTTATTCTTCTTTATCACTTTATTAATTTTCAATTATATTTTCATTATTTTCTTCTACTATTTAAACATATTCTTATTCATTATTATTTGCTTCTAAATTTGTTTATTCTTCTTTATCACTTTATTAATTTTCAATTATATTTTCATTATTTTCTTCTACTATTTAAACATATTCTTATTCATTATTATTTGCTTCTAAATTTGTTTATTCTTCTTTATCACTTTATTAATTTTCAATTATATTTTCATTATTTTCTTCTACTATTTAAACATATTCTTATTCATTATTATTTGCTTCTAAATTTGTTTATTCTTCTTTATCACTTTATTAATTTTCAATTATATTTTCATTATTTTCTTCTACTATTTAAACATATTCTTATTCATTATTATTTGCTTCTAAATTTGTTTATTCTTCTTTATCACTTTATTAATTTTCAATTATATTTTCATTATTTTCTTCTACTATTTAAACATATTCTTATTCATTATTATTTGCTTCTAAATTTGTTTATTCTTCCTTATCACTTTATTAATTTTCAAATATATTTTCATTAGTTTCTTCTACTATTTAGACATATTCTTATTTATTATTATTTGCTTTTTAATTTACTTATTCTTTTACTTCACCTTATTAATTTTCAAATATATTTTCATAATTTTCTTCTACTATTTACACATATTCTTATTGATTATTATTTGTTTATAAATTTACTTATTCTTTTACTTCACCTTATTAATTTTCAAATATATTTTCATTATTTTCTTCAACTATTTAAACATATTCTTATTCATTCTTATTTGCTTCGAAATTTACTTATTCTTTTAATTCACCGTCTTAATTTTCAAATATATTTTCATTATTTTCTTCTACTATTTAAACATATTCTTATTCATTATAATTTGCTTCTAAATTTGTTTATTCTTCCTTATCACTTTATTAATTTTCAATTATATTTTCATAATTTTCTTCTACTATTTACACATATTCTTATTGATTATTATTTGTTTATAAATTTACTTATTCTTTTACTTCACCTTATTAATTTTCAAATATATTTTCATTATTTTCTTCTACTATTTAAACATATTCTTATTGATTATTATTATTTTATAAATTTACTAATTCTTTCACTTCTCCTTATTAATTTACAAATATATTTTCATTATTTTATTCTACTATTTAAACATATTCTTATTCATTATTATTTGCTTCTAAATTTGTTTATTCTTCTTTATCACTTTATTAATTTTAAATTATATTTTCATTATTTTCTTCTACTCTTTACACATATTCTTAATGATTATTATTTGTTTATAAATTTACTAATTCTTCTTCTTCACCTTATTATCTTTATATTTAATTTTCATTATTCTCTTTCACAATTTAAACATTATTTTATTCATTATTATATTCTTATATATTTTCTTCTCTTTTTTATTCATTTTATTGATCCATTTAATTTAATTGTTTTTCATCACTATTATTTAATTTTTCGTTTTCTTGTTGATCATTTATATAATTATTGTTTTAATTTTAGCCTACAACATACCTTTTTTCCTATTCAACTTAAATCTAAAAACTTTAATTAATGTTTAAATCTATTATTTCCTCATATTCAATAACATTTACTTCTTAATAATTATTTTAAGACATATCTAATTAGTCAGCTTCTTAATAAGACATTTTCATTTTGCTATCTTAATTTGGATTAATTGTTTCATTTATGTTTTCACTATTGGGAACATTTATTAATAATAAATCTTCAAATTATTCTTAATTAAATTTTATTTCCTTACATTGAAAGCTTTCTTAATTATTATTATCTGCAATTATTTCTTTATCTTATATTGAATTTGTATTTTCTTCTGTTTTTTCAAATTAATTTTATATTTATGGTTTTGTACCATTTTTTTTTTAATCTTGATTTTTAGGGAAAGTTTTATCTTTTTATTATTCTTATTTTTATTTATCTTCTAATTTTCCTGATTTTAGACTTTACTGTTTTTAATTTTTATTAACAAAAGAAGTTTGCTTTATTGTTAGTTCAGATGCATTTTTAGGCCTTCCATCATCTATTTTTGATGTGATTTATCTGGTTGTTGATCTAGTAATGCTTGTTTATTTGACATTTTGAACTTGTTCAATAGTTTTGTCAATTATTGAATCTGTATTGACACTTTTTTTTAAAGGAGGTTCATTAACTTTTTACACTTATGATGGTCTTAAATTAAATCATAATTTACGGTTGCTTCTTTTGAGTTAGGTTTGCAAGCTTTGTCGTGGATTAATTTTGGCTTTCCTTTTTGATTTTAGTGGGTGCGATATTCTTATTAGAAGTATTTGACATGAGAAATTAATTTATAATATGCTTATTTTCTATTAAAATCAAATTCAAAAATAAAAGAAATGATGTCACACATACAAAAATTGAATAAAATAAGACTTAAAATTCAAAATTAATCTATAAAAGAAATTGATTACTTCCTTAACTCAAATTGGATTAGTGGGTTTGGTGTAATTGAATGATAAATTACTGAATAACTATTGATATAATATTATGAGTAAATTAACTTAAGGGAATTCATTATAGTTAAAAATTCCTAATATAAAACTAACTTAAGAAGAGTAAAGAAAAATCCTTAAGAACATGAGGTATTTATAAATTTAACTTCGATAATGATCAATAATAATAAATTTTTTAAACATTTTCAGAATCTCTAATTAGTTTAAATAAGGAGAAGCAACTTTTCCTTATAATCAGTATATGGGAACGAAGACTAGATGAAATAAAAAATAATAAAACAGTTTTCAATCTAGTTTAGTGCTTATTACATTTTACTTATGAAAAACTTCAGCAAAAGTGAATTATTAAAAATTGAGCGCAAATTGGAAAAACTCGCCTGAAATTATTCCTATTTCTTAAAATGCAAATAAATGATTAATTAAATAATAAAAATAGAGCATATTAAAATTGATGTGATGGAAAATCGAATTTTGGTAGAATATTTATCAAAATTAATAATTTAAAATTTACTCTTCCCATCTTGTTTGTTTTCCAATTCACCATTTTTCTGTTTTTCTATTTCTCCAACAATTTTCCCATCCTCTTTCATATCTTTTACTATCACTCCATTCAAATATATATTATATTACTATTTTCACTGAATACAGTTCTACATTTTTTAATCATTTAAATAATGGTCCAAGTAATTCTTCTATTTGATAAAATGTGTATCTTCTCTTGCTATTTTTGAAATTAATTTATAAAAATCAATCATAATTAATAAACTATCATCAAAAATCAATTTTCATGCTCAAAAATTAATAATATTTAAATAGGTTCTTGTGGTCTTTTCATTTTATTTTCTTTACTTTACTTCCTTTTATAAAAATTTAAAAATAATGCATCCATTACACTTACAAACTCTCAATCCTTTACACGATACTATTAAATAACAATATTTTTAATTATTAATTTGTCTAACTTAATGATTACAATCAATAATGACAATAATGATGAGAAGATATTAATATAGAAATCTAGTGCGACTCCTTAACAAACAGATAACACTAATTAAACAGAAAATAAATTTCATTAAGTACTTGAGATTGTCAATTCAAACAACTCTAATTACTTTAAATATCCCCCTGATTTAAATTTAGCTTAATTACATAAATAAGCTTATTTAATTTGCCCAAATAAAGAAATAATAAACAAATTCTAATTTGATGCCTGTCCATGCTGCAAGTATTTTATTTAAAATTTTCCTTTTTTAGCAAAGCAATAAATAAAAAATAATTCAACTGGCTCTGTTCTGATTTTTATGAATAATTAGCTGATGAATATGGTATTGCTGTTCCACTATACTTTACAATTCTCAAAATTTAATTAATAATTTTAGTAATAGTCTTTTGTATGTATGGAATCATTTTTATGAAAACAGTTCATAAAATATGCGACCCATTAAAAGAATATTAATGTGAGGAAGATTGTATTTGTGAATTTAGCAGCAATTATCATTTTACTGATTTAGTAAATATTTAATACCATTTTTCAAATATTGCTGACAACGGAGAAAAAAATTATTTTGAATTTGCTGCATTTTTTGTGTTTTTCATCAACCTCCATATGCCCTTTCTTTATGATTTATTTATATCTTATATAGAAATCAAATATTGGAATAAAGAACCTTGTTTTCGACAAAAAGAAACTAAGCATTCTATTTATGTTAGGCATTTATAAAATAAAATGAAACCAGAGGAAATATTTGCTTTAATCAAAAGAAGTGTTGAAAAACATCCTAATTTAGATATTTCCTCATAATCTAAGTAATGATAAATTTTATGTAGTTTATTGATGGATCCATTGTTTAAAGAAATAATTTATATTTATAATGTTGAATAGTTACAGAAATTTGTATCGATTAGAGAGGCAGTTTTGATTGAAATAATTTAAAATTTATCTAATTATTCAAAATACTGTTTACAAAAAGATCTTGCTTAATAAAATAACTGCTCAAATAAATTAGAAAATAATCTAACATTGCTCGAAGATATTAACAATAAAATTTAAAAAGAGATTGGAAATATTGAATTTAATTCATTAACAAACGATCAATTACAAACAATAGAATCAATATAATTTAGTAAAAAGGCTATTATTAATTTTACGGATGAAAAGGTTTTTAAATTAATCCATTAGAATTTTAAAAGAACCTTTTTACAGGATTTAAAAATTAAATTGAATTTTATCATTCATCCTAAAATAACTGATAAAATTGCAGTTAAAAAGTCATTTCGAATTAATGGACTCTTTTGGAATAATATAGGAACAAAAAGTTTGGACAGAGTAATTTAGAAGTGCAAATCAATTATTGTGATGTTTTTTGCTTGTGCTATTTTAATGGTTGCCTATGAATTTATATATCTTTATGTAAATGATCCGGAATTTAAAACTAAAAAGCATTCTGGTTTATTGAGTTCAGAAGAAAAAGTAGCAACAAATATTTTCACGATACTTGTTCCAATTATAACAACTAGCGCTATACTTATTGTGATTATTAATTAAAAAAAAGCTAAAAAAAACACATTTGCTCATGAAGAGAGAGGATTTATGCATTTTTTAATTGTTGTCAATTATTTGTTAGTCACATTTATTCCATATTTATTTACTTTTGAGCTTTGGAATGGTAAAGAAAAACCACCAGCTATTTATAATTTAGTATCCTTAACTTAAAATAAATTAATTACCAAACATTTGTTTCATACATTTCATATTAGATTTATATCATCTTTAATAAAATCAAGAAAAGGACTAAAAAATTATTTGTAATATTTTTAAGGATAATTAAATAAAATTATTACTCCCCCTTTTTTTCCATAGAGAAGTAGAAATTGCAACGCTCTTTATAGTTTAACTATTGGATTATGCTTAATCTATGTATGTCCTCTAATAACTTTAATTTGTTTTTTTTTTAACGTTTATATTTACATTTTTGACAGATATGCAATAACTCATTTTTATGCTATAGATTCAAGATTTACAATCATTTTAATGAGACATTAAATTAAAGTATATTCTATTGCATTCTATCCAATAAAAATATATTTATTTATGAAATTGTTTTGGGATTATGAATGGCTCATTTAAATTGGTTTACCTGTTTGTTTAATTGTTAGCTTATTCAATATTATTTTTAGAAAATAGATAATCAAATTCATTTTATTTTAAATATTTAATTTGAAAAAGTTGGATTCAAATTAAAACGATTAAAAAACATATAGTGAAAGCTATATTAATTATCTTAAAAGTACTTATTTAATTATATTAAAAAAGATTTCAAAATAGATGAAACTAATCAGATTACTTGGCAAATTTTGAATTTATATAAAAAAGTTTGAAATTTTATATATTTAATTAATATAAGGGTTTTTTACATCATAAAAATCTAAATATTTTAAATAATTTAACTTAATTGATTTCTAGTTCAATTTTACTTAACATGCTGGAAGTTCATTTTAAAATTATTTAGAGAAATCTCGATTATCATTTTTATATTGTTATTTCAGACTAAAATTGATGTATTGCATCCCAATGAATTGTTAAAGTAATAGTTTTACATAAACCAATACAGAAATAATTCAATTGATTAATTCATCATCATCAAAATTTATATTAAACTATCTTGTATTAAAATTAAATGTAGTGCACTTTTTTAATAAAATTCATTGATGTTAATTTTTATTTGCTGATGTAAAGCTATATACTTATTTTCCATTATGGTTATAAGTTTTTTATTATTTTTTATGTAAAAATTATCAAACAAATTTAATATATTAAATAATAATTTGAAATTTTGTAATAAAAACTAAAAGAAGTGTTATGACTGTTATATTCATTAATTATAAAGATCAAATTTTATTTTTGTTTGATTTTTGAAATCTTATTTATATGTATGTGAATCTATATTTTGATTGAAATTCTCTTTATTTTAATAGTAATTAAGCTCTGATTCTAAAAATATTATTCTATCTTTTTGACTTTAAATTATTTTTTCCTAATCTTAAATTAGTTTTTATTTTTATTCTAATTAATCCTAAATAATTCCTAAATCAAAGCTTTTACATTCTTATTATAGTGTATATTATAAATCAGTTTAAGATTTAATTTTTTAATTTTTGAAAATGGTTTCCATTTATAATAATTTTTACTTAAGGTGATCATTTTCTTTAATGATTTGTTCATAATTAATTGGTCTTTCTTAAATTTTACTAATGCTTACAACAAAATTAGCACCACAATCCAAAGTTTTAATTTATTTATTTTTCAATTATTTAATATGTTAAATATCTGTTCTGGGAATGTAGTCTTTTTGAGCCAATTCACCTGAAGAATTTTTACCCCAAGTATAGATTTATCCTTCTTCATCTAATATGCAACCAAAACCAATTCCAAGTTTAATTTTTTTAATATAATTTGAAAATTCAATTTTAGTAGGTGTATGAAATTCTCCAAATATGCCAGACTTATTAATATAAATAGATTACTCCCCATAAATATAATTCATTTTTATTGGTTATGGCTGCAGAAAAATTAGAAGCATAGATTTTATTAACATTTATCATTTTCAAAGGTTTTAATTGATTATGTGTATTAGTTAATTTTCCATTTCCTAATTCTCCATTCTTGTTAGATCCAAAGGAATAGACTAGACCATTGTTTAAAACTAATGTATGAGTTAAACCACATTTGACTTTATCATATTTTTCTAAAGTTAGAACTTATTAAGGCACAAACTAAAAAGTTTCTATATTTTCTTACACTTTCATAACAATTCAAACCTAATTAACCATAATCATTAGATCCACACATAAATAATTAACAATTAAAATCAATTAAACCCATATGATTTTCACCACATGAAAATTGATTGATCTTCTTTATTTTAAGTAATTATGGTTAATTTGTATGAATGTTGAATGCTTAGTTTTATCCCCATGTATAAAGTTCACCTGTATCTCTTTAACCGACAGTATAATTAGCAGCAGCTTTTATTCTTATAAATGGGCCTTTTAATGCAATTAACTGAGGAGTTGAGATGAACGAAAGTTGACTATATTCAAATTTAAATTCATTACGTATTTAAACCTAATTACCCTTATTCATTCAAGCCCATTGTATATAAATTCCCATTATTAATTAATAAGCATGAATGTTAAAAACCACAAGCTATTTTAACCACTATAATTTTGTAAGAACAACATTTTGGATTATTTACATTCTATTTAATGTATTCGTCTCCTAACCCTAATTAACCATACTAACAGTCTTATTTTTAATTTATATATATTACTTCCCCAAACATAAAGTTCTATTAATACAAATTTATTTTACCTGTTTATTTTCGAAATTGAGACATATTATTAAATTTAATTATTAAATTTTTTGAAGCATTGAAAAAAAAAATCAATATCATTATGCAACAATCAGATTATCATTTTTATTAAGAAAAATATATTTAAATTTATTGCACTTTATTTGTTAATATATTATTAAAAGTGTAATTAAAATTTATGAAAAATAATTAGCTTGATGTTGAGTTATCTATGTGTAAAATTTAATATTTTGCAGATCAAAAAGAATTCTTAAAGTTGAAGGGAAGTTTTAGGAATATCCCACCAAATAGTAAAAGGGAATAATTTTTAATATAGGTAGAATATTTTATCATTAACAGATTTAAATCTAAGAAATAGGAAAAAGCAGCAATAGATTCAATTTTAATGATACAAATAAATAGTGGATTCAAGCTAAAAAAAAAAAAACAAAAAACGATCCATACAATAACAATTAAAATTAAGTGTAAAGGCTCATCGTAACATGGGAAATTCCTATAGACCATAATTTTTTTTCATGCCATTTTACAAGATAGAACCTTGAGTTTTCGAATAAAATAACATTATTATTAAAATAGAAAGTTAGTGAAGAAATTAAAATGAACTCCTATGAAATCGAAATGAAAAAAATTTATTTTGCATAGAAAAACATTGCAGATAATATATATAATTAGAATATTGAACATTATTTAACTTTGGAGAGACCAAAAAAAATTCCAATTAAAATATGCTTTTTCTAAACTCTGTTTAAGTAGAATTAATCAATCGAATTTAGATTAGAAGGAAATTTTTCTGGTTCTCCACTCCCATAATTTACAGCAATTTTAACTTAAAAAATTCTTTTCAAAGGTATAAATTTAGGAGAAACTACCTTAATTTAAAATTTTAAGGTTGACCGGAAAAAAAATGATGAGAGAAATAATTTCATAATCTGTTTTTAAGAAAAAATCCCTAATGATAATCAAATTGCACCTTTATTTTTAGGATCACAGATTTAATGCTATCATCTAATTATGATTCAGATTACATTTTAAAAAACAAGTTGCTTAGATTGGAACCAAAGAGTTTTTTATATTAAGATACCAATAGAAATAATAACTTAAGATCAAGAAGTTCCTATACAGTAAGAAAATTAAAATGATTACATAGAATAATTTAATATAAAAGATCAACAAAAAGAAAAATAAATTGTATTAGAAGGGGGGAAAATTAAAGGATTTTTTTACCCTCAATATACAGATTGCTACAGAAAATATCTAAAAGTTGAAATAGTCAAAAACAATTGATAAACAATCTTATATTAAATTTTAATTTTATTAATTTTTATTTTAACTATAATTAAATAAGATTTTCTAGTTAAAATAATCATTTGATACTTAATTTAAATGGTAAAATATAAATATTAGGAATATTTTTAAGATGTATAATTATAAAAATGAAACACTTTAATTCATTATTATATTTAATAAAATTGAATACAATAATTAAAGATAGAGAAAAGAAAATATATTATTTCATATAGGTGTTTGAATGCTTTCTTAACTTTTTATAGTCCAACCACTAATTTATCTAATAAGTTTGATTTCTTTTTCTAATAGTTAATTTTTAATTTTGTTGAAAATCTTAGTTTTATCGCATTAATAAGAAGTCTAATTTAATCTTTTAAAAGAAGGGCTATTTATTTCGGAATGAATGAACTAATTCGTTAAGATACAACCTTATGATTTTTAATTTTGAACATGATAACCTTTCAAATGAATTAGATCTTTATTTTTGACTATGAATGATCTTCTGTCAGTTAAATTAGAAGGTGCATTTTTTCGTATTCTTAATGGTGAAATTTATTCTGAATGGATTTCAGGTTTTTTAATTGAAGGTTCAACAATTCTCTCTATAAAATTATATTGAGCAGGAGTAATTTCAGTTTTATTTCGTGTAATTTTATTAAGCTTAATAAGTTTAGCTGTTATAGAATGATTAGAATCTCTATGTTCTGGATTTTGAGAAGTGATAACAATAAGTGGTACTTAAGTATTCTCTTCTTTTTTGTCTTAACATATTGTTTTTAATTATCTACTTTCACTTTCATTTCTATCTTTGGATCTGAAAATAGCAAATATTTATCTAATATTAACACTTTAAGTTTAAATGGGTTTACGAGTAAGATGATCAATTTATTTTTACCTTTTGTTTAAGTACTCTCGAGCTTTTCTCAAATTTTCTTAATAATACATTAAATTTATTTGATATATTTAATGAGTTTAATGGAACAAGTAATAAATAATAATGAATATTAAATAATTAGCAACAAATTTCGATGTTCTATATAGAAGGGTAAATGATAGAAGCAAAGTAACAGAAGTAATGTTGGGATAGCTTTTTGAGAGATCAGAAGCTGAAGAGAAGTATCATAAGGCTTTGGAAAAAATAAGTGGATAAATGTAAAATGGTGGAGGAGACATTGACGATTTAGTTAGAGGAGTGAAAGTAGATCTAAATTAGAGAGCCCAATACTATAAGGTATATGGGTATTTGTAACTAAGCAATTTAATTAATCGTATAAGCATGATGTAGAGTAAGCAATCAATGAGTTAAGATAAATCCAAAGTTAATTCAAGCCACTTATTCAAGATGTATTGAAAATGGATAAAGAAATCAAAATTACATGTGATAAGTATGATCGTCAAAAAGAAAAGACTGTTAGAGCAACAAAAGATTATGAAGAATCAGCAATTACATTAGAAGCAATGTTTTGGAATAAAGAATGCAATATAGAATAGAGATCAAAAGCTTAACACAGATTAAATTCATAATTATAATATAAGTAAGAGAATGAATCCGCATTAAGATAAGCAGCTTCAATTTATAATTAAGCTGTCTCATCTTATTGTTCTGCTTTATAAAATGGAATATAAGTATTAACTAAATAATACAATCAAATATTTGCTATTGCTAAAGTATTTCAATATTTAATTAGGATATTGTTATGAAGATATTAGTTTATGAAATTTCCAAAACTAGAAATCTATAATATGATAGCGAGCAATTCTTTAAATAGGCTGAAATATATTTAGATCCATAAAATGATCCTATTGCTCCAGGACCTTCAAGCTAAATTGGAATTTCTAAAGAAAATTATTTAAAAGTTAATCTTCAAACTAATTCTTCATTTTTAAGAAATATTGCGGATTAAATCTCACTTGGTCGTGGGTTAAACATTAAAAGAGAAACTAATCCATCTTCTGCTTAAATTGAAAATTTAGAATCTTTTGATATTTATTTAATCAATTATGAATTTATTGATGATTTAAAAGGAGTAACTATTAAATTAATTGGAAAAGTTAATAATAAAAATAAACCTAAAAATGCAGATGAATAATCTGCTGGTGTTCAATAAATGGTAAATAAATATAAAAATCAATATGGCGAATAGCAACTTGTTAATATTTATAGCTTTATTAAATATGTTATATAATTAACTTAAGAATAATAAATTAAAGGTTGGAAGAACATCCCTGAATTATAAAAATCTAATTTAGATGACTTCTTTGATTAAAAATTCTTTAGAGAATTAGGATGTATCATTTTAGAATCTTTTCGACAAGCTGGGTATATTATAATATTATTTTTAGATGCTCCAATTTAAATTAATATGGATTTAAAAATATTCATATATTCACTCAAAAATTATTGGAGACTTCTTAAAAAGAAGGTGAATTAATTTTAGTCAAAAGAATTATCACTATGATATCAACAATCTATACTATAGACGAAAATGAAAAACGATTTTTCTTGTAAGATAGCTTAATCTCTTTACAGATATGGAGATAAATTGATTTATGGGAAGGATTAATTTTTACAACAATAGAAGCTGAAATTGATAAATCTCCAATTAAAGATACATCTCAATTTACAAATGAATAAATATTTAAGGATAAAAATGTAATATATTCTAATTTATTGACTTTAACCTTGAATATGATTAATTTTAAGTACAATATAATATTAAACTTATAGAGTTGATAAATAAGAAATTAAAAATGTTTTAATTAAATATGCAAGAGTATTTTAACTTTTTGACCTCCAATCTTAGGAATTAATTAAATTTGCTGAAAACGACGGTAAAATTGAACCAAATCAAAAGGTTAATTCTTTATCTGTTTTACAATCATTATATTAATAGCCATAAAATACTTAAATATAATAAGGAAGTCTGGTTTAGAAAAAAGTAGTTATATTTGATAAAAAAAACCCATTATCTGCTAACCCTAACATTAATGTTTAAAAGCCAAGCAGTAATTAAGTTTACTTTGGTTCTGAAACTCCTACAAGAGAAGTAGTTTAATCTCAATCATCAATTTAACCAACCATTATATAATAATAAACATCCTCATAATAATAGATAATTATTTAATAAACCTAAAAAGAACAATTATAACAATAATAATAGTAATAAAATTAATAATAAATTTAACAATAATAATAGTAATAATTACAATAGTAATAATAATAATTACACTAATAATAATAATAATAATAATAATAATAATAATAATAATAATAATAATAATAATAATAATAATAATAATAATAATAATAATAATAATAATAATAATAATAATAATAATAATAATAATAACAATAAAAGACATCTTAAAACTCCCCAACAACTTAATAATAACAGCCAACATCTCCATAAATTTTTTAACAATAATCAACTCAATAGGAATAGGATTAACCGAAAATTAGATATAATCAGCATCCTTTAGAAGTACCTAAAGCTAATTTTTTAAAAAAGTTGCCGTGATATTTTTTAGATACCAAAATAATAAATCAACACATTTTTTTATCTTTGTAAAATATACATTTTTATTAATATTTACTATTCTTCAAATTGAAAGAAAGTGATAATTGTATAATGTAAGAATTAAGTTCATCTATTTATTGAAATTGCAGAATCTAAGTGTAATTGCTCAACTTGTTTCAACATCTTATAAATATTGAGCAGTGTTATATTGATAATTAATTAAATTTCTATGGACTCGATAACTTTAGGATTCAAATAAGGAGACTTAAAATATTTTGATGATTCAATTGACTTACAATCCTTAGTCCCTTATAAAATTCACACTGTAAAAATCTTTTTCACGAATCAATGGATCTTGGGCATCCAAAATTATTATTATTCATTTAGTTCTCAATCAGTAATAAAATGCAAAGAACACAAGTAATTGTTAAAAAATATAAGAATAGGTCATCAAAACTCTTTGGAGTAAATGAACAAAAACTAGTTTTAGATAATAGCGAATATATTATTTAATTGACATGGTATTAGAATGAAATTGGAATAAATAGAGTAGAAATATAAACAAATAAGCAATAAATTTAAGTTGGACAGAAGGATGGAGAAAAGAAAGATTTTAAAGTGGAATAAAATTATTAATTAGGGGCAATAGCAGGAGGCTTCAAATAATAATTATAATTTTTAGAGTGGCAAATAATTCCATTGGTTGAGCAATAGGCCCAATATTAATCTTAATTATATCAATTATACTTGTCTTAAAATGAAGGTAATTAAAAAAACAGTAAGTTTGAATATGTTGGTAAGTAATATAGAGTATGTGATCCATAAATTATATAATAAGGACTCACGAATAAATTTGTTCAATTTCGAATAGTGGATAATACAGAGCAAGAAGTCATTAGAAGATTTTAAGATGTACTTTAATTAAGATCAATATTGCAGTTAAGATGGTATAATAAGCAGAATAATAAAAGTTTAGGCCTGGAGTATATATTCCACCATTAATGAATAAATCAACCTTTGAAGATTATTCAAATGAACATATAGAGAATATGAGAAAAGCTATTGAATACTTTTTGATGAAGCTATCCAAGATAACTTATTTTGCATAATCAATTGAATTCAATGTCTTTATAACTAAAACAAATAAAGACAGCAATTAAGAAATGGATTATGTTCAAAATAAATTGAAAGAGATGACTCAACAGACAAACATAGAGTAGATTGATTTAAGGTATAAATAAAATTTTGAAGAATTTGAAACAAAAGAATCAGTGAATGAATAATAGAGATAAAAGTGTAACAATTTTTCACTTTTGATGTAGAAATTAGAATTGCTAAAAATAAATGATTTTTCAGATATCAAAAAGTTATTTGAATAGCATTCTAAAAATGTAAATTACCTTTCTAAATATATTCTTCCAGAATTGCATTTAATTCATCTTAATTTATAGTCTGAAGAAATAGTTTAGAGAAGGAAATCAAACTCAATTGATAGAGGCTTGTAAATGTAGATAGATACTATGAATGATGTATACGATTACTTTGTGACGGAATAGAGAGAAGCAAGTGCAATGTCTTAATGCATGAATTATATAAAAGATGTTGAATTATAGAAAAATAAATTGGAATAGAAGATTATGAGTTAAAAACTTAAGTAAGAGGATTTAAATGTTGCTAAGAGTTAATTTTAGTCAATTTCATCGATTTGGAGTATACTAGTAAAATGTTATGCAAATTATTACATAGATAAGTATAAATAAGTTATATATCTTTTTAGTTATTTTAAAGAAAGATATTAATTGTATCTACTGATGATAAATAGATTAGCTTAAATATAAATAAACAATTTAAAATTAAGATAAAATTTTTGGCAGTCCATTTGATTTAATATATTTATATATTTTAATGAATATGAATATAAACAGATGTTAAGATTGCGGAAATATCCATCCAAGATAACCTTGTGCAGCTTAACCAGTGAAATTTATCTGGTATAATAGTTAGTATTCAATAGGCCTTATGAAGGTAAAGAAGTTTTAATATTTGGATCATGGAATCTCTTCTAAGTTGGAACAAAATTAATTGGAAAAAAATGTACTTTAAATTTGGCAGTTGGATAATATGAATATAAGTTCTTAGTAGATAATCATTGGAGATATTTGTAGAATGAGGAGATTGTTCATGACAATCATGGATCACACAATAATATAGTAAAATTTATAATGATTACAGATTTAAGTGCTACCTAAGAGAGCATATTAGATCTTTGAATCGAATGCCAAACCTTTGATAAGGCTGTTTGAAATGGCTGATGAAGTAATAGGATCATGGGATAATTGGAGTTAACCTATAAAATTGTAAAAGAGATACAATCAATTTAAATTATGTGATGAATATTATACTTATATTGATTTGCAAGAAGGACGTTATGAATTCATATTTAAAAGAGGAAAGGAATACTTTCATGATAGTTGCTAACCAACTATATCAAATGCATTTGGAAAGAAAAATAACATCGTGGTTGTTTTAATAAACAAAACAGAAACATAAGAACTGGATTTCAATAATATTTATTGGACAAAACATGACTTATTGTATCATACATTCGATCATATATATGGGCATTCAATGACAAGCATTGGAAATTAATTTTATATATTTGGTGGAGCTCCAAGTCGAAATGAAATTTATAAATTATCATTTGGAGATCATTAATTAAATTTAGAAGAAACAGAAGGAGAGATGCCTAGACCTAGAGCTTATCATAATGCAATAGCATATGGAGATAAGATTTTATTTTTTGGAGGTGTTGATGAGCATTCTATATTGAATGATCATTTTGTTTATGTGACTTCAGCTAAAACTTGGTACTTGGCAAAGACAGATAAGAAATGGACTGAGAGAGAAAGAGCTAGTTTAACTTTTTATGCATAGGAAGAATTAGTAATATTATTTGGTGGATACTATTTATCACCAGATCTTGAAGTTGAGTTGATTTACAATGATGTTTATTATATGAACATTTAAAATATGCAATGGGTGAAATTGAATATAAATAATTAACCATAGCCAAGATATGGTCATACAGCAATTTAAGTTAATGAAAAGATGTATATATTTTGTGGAAAGAATTAAGATGAATATTTTAATGATATTTGGATGTTAAACTTTGAAACAGTTTAATGGCAATAAATTTAAACTTTAGGAGTTGCTCCAGAACCTAGATATGGTCATACTACTAATTTGATTAAATCTAAAATTTGTATTTTTGGAGGTAGAAATAGCAAATCTAATCGATTAAATGATTTACATTTATTTGATTTCACTACTAATACATGGATTACTCCTACTTAGTATGGTTAAATGCCATCTCCAAGATATTTTCATGCTGCTGATATTTATAATGAAGAATAATTATGGATTTTGGGTGGTAATATTGGTCTAAAGTAATTATTAATTAATTTTTTAGACGTAATGAACATTTCTATATCATGAACTTTGGAAAGTAGGAAGAAACAACATAAGTATAATAATAAATACAACAATAACAATAATAATAATAATAATAATAACAAAAACAACAACTTATTTGATAAATGCAACAAATCCAAGAGCTTTTTAAATAAAACACAAAAATATATTATAAATATATCATTCTTATTACTATTGCAATTCAGCTTCCCTTCTTTCCTATTCTCTTCTTCTTTCATCATCACTATCTGGTTCTAATTCATCTGGTTATTCTCTTGGATTAGGTTCAGGATATTCATCTATATCTTCAGGATCATCTTAAACGTCTTTAGGAGACAATGGATTAAAAGAGTTCTATTGATTTTTCAATCCATATCCAAAATATACACTTATGTATTCATTTTACTTTAATATTATTGATTATATTAATACGTTGCTCACAGTTAATGCACCAGGCCATAAATAATTTCTTAATAAAACTACTTAATAGCTCATTGCTTATTCTTCTTAATTTGTATATTACTAACTTTCTCCAAATACCTTAATCAACCAATTTCCTTCATTCTATTCAAATGCTACACATAGTGATCAAACTTTTACGTTTATCGTCTTTTATAGATTTCAATCTTTCTTATTCAGGATCTTACTCTTTCATCAAATTCAATTCCTCTTCCTTTAAAGATGGATCTTCATAAAATGTTATTCTTCCTTATTTTAAAATATATGCTGGCAAATGAACCCAAGCATCCATTGTTATTAATTCAGCTGATTCAGGCATCTTAAATTCATCTTCAAAGCCTATTGTTTTTGTTTCATCCTCATATTTATACAACCCTCTTGGAGCCAATAAATTAGCATGTGTTATTCTTAATATTTGAGCTTTTAATAAATGCTTCTCCTTTCCTTCAAAATATGGATATTAAATTATTTCTTTATTTAAGTTTCCACTAAATAAGTAAGTTATATAACGACTAGCTTCCATTTACTTCCTGGTTATTTATGGTAATAAAGCCCAATCTTCAAGTACTAATTTATATATTTATAGGTCTTACAATCTTAAGTTACATAATGTACATATTCATTAAGTTTCTCATCACAATCAGCAGGTTAAGGTTCTTTTATTTATTTATCCATTGTAACTTCTATTACAAAATAGTCTTTATTTTGTGCTAATATCTTTCCCCAAAAACGTACACTTTAAATATTTGAATCTCTTTAAGCAATTTGTTTTAGACATTACTAAATTACATATGCATCATCATCATTTACTCCATAACCAACTATGTTTAATAAGTTATTCAATTTTAAAAAATTCTAAATATTGGCATTAACTGATTTGATTTTCTATTGAATAAGTTACATTAATTTATCACAATATTCTTACCATGGAAAAACTTTATCTTGTAAATTATTAACTTCATCAGCTGATTTTAGTGGTATATGATAAAATCTGTTCTCTTTAATAAAATTACTCAAATCTTCAAAATCTGCTAAATCTAATTAAATTAATAGAAGAATATACTTTGAGCTTTATAATATTTATTCTCTTGCATCTGATAATACAATTCACAAAAATGATTGTAGAGAGTTTTGTTTTTGTAAATGGAATTGAATATTTATTATAATTGTTGTTCCATTATCCCAATCTGAATAATAATAATTAAATTTAAATATTATAAATATGTAATACTTAGACAATTATCTCTAATTCAAAGGTGGTTACGATTACACGAATGTAAAAAGGTAATAGATGATCTTATTGGTTAAGAAATGAATTAATGAAAGCATAAGGATTTAAAGAAATGCCTTTTACAAAAACAGGAACAACAATCGTAGGTGTTTTATTTGATGGTGGAGTTGTGATGGCTGCAGATACAAGAGCAACAGCAGGAGCAACAGTGGCTGATAAGAATTGTGAGAAATTACATGTTCTAGCCCCAAACATTTGGGCTGCTGGGGCTGGTACAGCTGCTGATTTACATCATTAATGTGCGCATTTTAATGCCAAACTCAAACTCTAAAGACTTAATTTAAATAGATAAAGTAGAGTGAATGAAGTCATTACTAAACTTACTTCTAAACTTTTTCCATATAGAGGACATATTGGAGTTGCTCTAATTATTGGAGGAATAGATTCGAATGGACCTTAATTAGCTTCAGTTTCTCCTTATGGAAAGTAAATAATAAATATACAATTAGTTATGTTTATCATCCTTTTTAATCAATGGGAAGTGGATCTCTTGCTGCTTTGGGCATATTGGAAGCTAAGTTTTAGGATGGACTTACTAAACAATAAGCTATTGATCTTGCTATTGAAGCTATCGAAGCTGGTATTTTCCATGATATGGGGTAATTCATGCATCTAATAGTTTTATAGATCTGGAAGTAATGTTGATGTTGTTGCCATTACTAAAGATGGTGCTGATTACAAAAGAAATATTAGATCATATAATGCTAAATCATACTAAAAATAAATTCCTTATCATTTTCCTGTCAATAATACACGTATTATATAATATATTTTTATAGCGGCTTTGAAAAAATATTAGTTTGATATTGAAAAATAAGAATTAACTGAAGTTGGCTAAGAAATGGAAATTATAGAATGATATAAAAATATTATGTTTAATTATGTGCATTCATAAATCCAATAAATTCATTTCCTTAGATTTTACATCCTTTTATTATTATGGTTATGATTAGATAGTAAATGTTTATGCCTACATATTATATTATTAAAAAGGCTATTATTATTATTATTATTATTATTATTATTATTATTATTATTATTATTATTTTTATTATTATTATTATTATTATTGTTATCCAAATCCAAATTATTATTAAGTGGGTACTTATTAGAAAGCATTCTACTATTATTATTATTATGCAATTGGTTGATTCCAAGAGTTGAAATCAAAATTACCCCAACTATTTTAAACAGATTAAGTCTATTATTATTGTTATTATTGAATTGGCTATGAAAATTAACCAAAATCACCTGAATCAGGAGGAGGTGCAAATTTAAATTCGGATAAATTGGTTGATCCTTTCTGCTAAGTTTATTTCTTTTATTAATTTCCTTCTCCAAAAGATATTTATAATTTTTATCCTTATTTCAAACTAAAATCTTATTAAGGTTGAAATTCATTTTTAAATTTCTCTGGATTTCTTTCCATTTCTCTATCTGAAATGAATTTTAAAATCTTTTCATTGAAATCAAAAGCATCATTCCTATCTCTAAAAACACATCCAACCCATTGATGACCTCCTGTTGGTGTTACTAATCTAATTGCATATCCTCTAAATTAATTATTCATTTTCTCTACCTTTAACTATCAACTGTTTTCTCTATTGCTTAGTATGGATTATCTGGAAAATTTACAAAGGTCTAAACTGCTGAAGTATTTTTGTCAATAAAATATAAAGTCAATTGACCACCTTTTTCTGTTAATTTGATTCCCCCTTTTAATTATGATCTTTATCTTACCTTCCCAAAACATTTCTTTCCAGTCATCTAAATAATAACCTTTGCTACTGCTAACTGGTGGAATTTTAAACAAACAAACCTATTATTGTTTCACCAAAAGCACGTATTCAATCGACATTTTAATTTATTAAAAGATAAATTAAAGACCATTTTTAAAATATAAATACTTGTCTCAAAAACACATAAATAAATATTCAAAATCATATATTTATTCAACCGAAAAAAATTTGTTTATGAATTATATAAAAAATCAACACTTATTAATATTATTAATAATATTGTTTAAAATTAAGAATTTTTATTCCCATATTTATTACTGCTTATGAATATAATATAATCGGCTTTTTGATTCTAATAAAATTTAGACACTAATTAATACATTAATAAAATAAATTAAAAGTTATACACAGCTAATCTAAATCTCAGCATTTAGATTATGAGAATATTTTCAGTTTATGTATTTTTAGTATTATATGTAATTGTAATTCTATTAACTATTTCATAAAATTTAACTAGGTTATAAAACTGTTATGACATTCTTTAAAAATAAGTTTTTTATTAATTAAATGGATTTCGAATAATTATTTTCATTATTTATTTATTTTTATGTAAAAAACCTAAACAAATAGATTGAATAAAGAATTGCAGGATTTTAATGAAAGATAAAAAAAAGTAATATTTAACAATCATATATCTAAGGGAGAAGATTCTGGAATTTCAATTTTGCTAATTGATAATAATATCACTCATTGGAAGGGTTTTATAAATGGACCATCTGATACCCCTTATGCTAATGGTTACTTTCAAGTAGACATTGTGATTCCTCCTGAATATCCATATAAACCTCCAAAAATGAAGTTTGACACACGTATATGGCATCCTAATATCTCTTCGTAATTTTAATCACTAAATCTAGTTAAACAGGAGCTATTTGTTTGGATATATTAAAAGATGAGTGGTCACCTGCACTTTCAATTCGTACAGCTTTACTGTCCTTATAGGCATTATTGTGTGATCCATAACCAGGTAATGAATTTTCTAAAACTTTAATTAGATTCTCCTTAGGATGCTGTTGTAGCCAATCAATATAAAACCTAAAAAGATTTATTTGTCAAAACAGCAAAGTATAAATATCAATAATATAATAAAGAGAGTGGACATAAAATTATGCTTCAAAAAATAAGTAAGAGGAGAAAGTTTAAAATTTAGTCAATTTAGGTTTTGAAGTAGGCGTAGTTAGGGTAATTAATTTTAATTAATTGATTTAGGAAGCTCTCCTCAGATTTGGATATGATGAAGAATAAGCAGCAAACTTTCTTTTGGGAGGTTGATTAATGTTTAATACAAATAATAAATATTAAGTTTTTTTATAATTCAGTCTTAAATAAACAAGAAGCATCTTAAAATATAGAAGTAAATTTATAAAGGACTTAATGTAAATATTTTTATAAAAATGCCAAAATTTGAAATTGTTGTTTAATTCTTTACTTTAATTAACTAAATAATTAATGTAATTAGATAGTGAAGCTATCTTCTATTTTTAAATTTCTTCAATAAAAATAATTGAATTTATTTTCTTAAATTATTAATTATAAAAGTAATCTTACTATAATTAAAATATTTAAAAATTAGAGCATTGATTATGTTCCTAAGAATAATAAAAATAGAATAGCTAAGATTTTAAAAAATAACTATATGTAATAGTAATATATTTTATAATTAAAATTACATAAAATAATGATTTTGTCTCTAATCAAGCATTTAATACTCTTGAAGTAAGGTTTCAATTAATGATAGGTTAATCTCTGCATATTGCACATTTTATGATAATGATAAATATTGGTATTAAGTATTGGAATGGGAAGTAGATTGGATAGCTATCGACATTTCAATGTTTTCATTTGTAGAAAAATTTGGAATGGGGTTTTGGTTTAATTATATGCCAAATTCTGAATCTTTTAGTAAGAATTAAAATTCAATATCTAGCACCTTAAACATTAGTTAATAACTAATTAAATTTTTTATTATATATTGTCGAGAATGCTTCAGCTACTGATTACTCAATTATATTTTATTTAGAAATAAATGGTGACTTAGAAACAATTAAATTAAAAGGCTAGATTTAATAGGAATCATAATCTTAAAATATCGAATATCAATTTGATACTTAGAATTTTGAGGGTGAATGGCATCTATTATATTATTATGTTGATACAACAACTTAATAAATAAAAATTTATGTTTTAAATTATAGGACAAAAGATTTATTTTCTTAATAAATAAGTGGATTAATTAACTATGGAAATAGAATATTCTAAAGAAATTTTGGTGTCTTTTAGATTTCGTAAGGATCTGAAATAGTTAAATTAAAATATTTTACGGGAAACTTAGGAATTGTTTTTGTTACCTTTTTTCAGAATATATTTGATAATTTTGATTAATTTTATTTAGAATGTCCAATTTACTATTCTTGCACTTCACAGATAACTAATCTAGTGAAATATAATTAAGAATTAAAAAAGAATCAAATTATTTAAAAGTCAGTAGCAAATTCAATAAAAAAATCAGGATATGTAATATAAGGATGGGTAAAATTAAATAAAATTGAATCAATTTAATAATTAGATACAGTACTGTTAAGAGTAACAACTCGTTTATAATATTTTAATGATAAACTATATGGAGATAGATTGTTATATATAGTATATCACTAAAACATAATTTAAGATGAGAATGGTTTAACAATATCGACAAATAGTTATAGTTTTCCAATAGTAGAAGAATCATATAAGAGTGATGTATTAGATAAGATTACTATTATGGGAAAGTAATATAGTGAAGCAATAATATCGTGGCATTATATTTAATATGAAATTGGAACATTAAATAATGATGGTTAGCCATTATTTACAGTGTTTTTTGCATTTTTAAATTTGAAACAATAATGGAAATGGAGTAAAGAAATTCATCATTTTACAAATAGTAGATTTTACATTTTGATTGGAGGTGATGATTTTGTTTCTAATTTATTTTCTGGATTTTTAAGTGATTGGAGTTTCTCATTATATTGTGATTAAAGAGATGTTTAATTTAAAATAAAATGTCACTATTCTTGTAGAACTTGTAATGGTATATTGTCTTCGAGTTGTTTAAGTTGTAATAATGATAGTCATAGATTATATTCAAAAGAATAATAGAGATGTTAATGTGCTTATGGCTACATAGAAGAAATAAATGAAGAAGATTGTTTAAGTAATTTAATCTAATAAATTAAGCATTGGAAGATTATATGGGAAACTTAGTAGTAGATGAATATGAAAGAANTAGGAATCATAATCTTAAAATATCGAATATCAATTTGATACTTAGAATTTTGAGGGTGAATGGCATCTATTATATTATTATGTTGATACAACAACTTAATAAATAAAAATTTATGTTTTAAATTATAGGACAAAAGATTTATTTTCTTAATAAATAAGTGGATTAATTAACTATGGAAATAGAATATTCTAAAGAAATTTTGGTGTCTTTTAGATTTCGTAAGGATCTGAAATAGTTAAATTAAAATATTTTACGGGAAACTTAGGAATTGTTTTTGTTACCTTTTTTCAGAATATATTTGATAATTTTGATTAATTTTATTTAGAATGTCCAATTTACTATTCTTGCACTTCACAGATAACTAATCTAGTGAAATATAATTAAGAATTAAAAAAGAATCAAATTATTTAAAAGTCAGTAGCAAATTCAATAAAAAAATCAGGATATGTAATATAAGGATGGGTAAAATTAAATAAAATTGAATCAATTTAATAATTAGATACAGTACTGTTAAGAGTAACAACTCGTTTATAATATTTTAATGATAAACTATATGGAGATAGATTGTTATATATAGTATATCACTAAAACATAATTTAAGATGAGAATGGTTTAACAATATCGACAAATAGTTATAGTTTTCCAATAGTAGAAGAATCATATAAGAGTGATGTATTAGATAAGATTACTATTATGGGAAAGTAATATAGTGAAGCAATAATATCGTGGCATTATATTTAATATGAAATTGGAACATTAAATAATGATGGTTAGCCATTATTTACAGTGTTTTTTGCATTTTTAAATTTGAAACAATAATGGAAATGGAGTAAAGAAATTCATCATTTTACAAATAGTAGATTTTACATTTTGATTGGAGGTGATGATTTTGTTTCTAATTTATTTTCTGGATTTTTAAGTGATTGGAGTTTCTCATTATATTGTGATTAAAGAGATGTTTAATTTAAAATAAAATGTCACTATTCTTGTAGAACTTGTAATGGTATATTGTCTTCGAGTTGTTTAAGTTGTAATAATGATAGTCATAGATTATATTCAAAAGAATAATAGAGATGTTAATGTGCTTATGGCTACATAGAAGAAATAAATGAAGAAGATTGTTTAAGTAATTTAATCTAATAAATTAAGCATTGGAAGATTATATGGGAAACTTAGTAGTAGATGAATATGAAAGAAAATGTGATAAACCTGGATATTTTACATGTAGTGAAGATTATATAATGTGTGATTATGGATATTTTTAAATAGGCAATGAATGTCTAAAATGTCCAAGATTTAATATAGAATAATTAGATGAATCTATTGAATGTGGTGATTGTCTAATTAATCCTGAATAATTTTCAACTAAATTATTATGTACTTATGATTTTAAAGTTAATGATTGGCAAAAAAAATTTGCTTATTAAGAGATAAGTAGAGAAGCTCAATTTTAAGAATCTTTTACAATAGTTTTTGATGAGTTAGGCAAAAGATAACTTAAATTAATAGAAGGATAATTTGAGTATGGTTGTAAATATGGATTTTACAAAGATTTTGATGGAATATGTAAAAAGTGTTTAGAAGGATGTTTAGCTTGTGTGATGGGTTCTACTTGTCATTATTGTTACATCGGTTATACATTGAGATAAGATGGAAATTGTTAGAAATGCTAAAAATGTCATAATTGCATATTAGAAAATAATCAAGAAATATGTTAATTTCAAGAGGATTGTTTGAGTAATTAATATTGGTTAAATAACTAATGTTATGATTGTGGCTAATATTGTTCAAAATGTATTTATTAACAATGTCTTTATTGTATAAATAATTAGTAATACTTTATCACTTTTGATAAAGAAAATTGTGCTATTTGTAATATCAAGAATTGTAAATATTGTTTCTAATATTATGAAGTAGCTGATAAAATATATACTACTTTAGATTTTATACCTTTCTTAGAAAATATTCAATCTTAATTTCTTAAAATTGGATGTGCAGAATGTGAAATTAATATGTTTTTTAACTTTCAAACTAATAAATGTGAAGAAAAACCAAAAGATTAAATTTAATGCTCTTTTGGTATTATTACTTATAATTCAGGAAAAGCTATCTGTATTAAAAGTTTATATCCTCTTATTGGAATATAATAAACATTATGTAATTCAATATTATATTGTGAATAATGCATTGTAAATTATGTAAATACTGATGGCTTTTGTATTAAATGTAGCGATGGGTATTATTCATCTATTACTACAGGATAATGTAAATAATGTCCAACTACTTGTAAGACATGTTAATAGCAAAACAAAAATTATTAAGATTTTTGGAAATGGGATATTAAAGCATTTTATAAATACTTTGTTAATTCTAAAAATGATCATTATTTTGAATAATATGGTTTAAATTACAATACAAACAATTTTGAGATTGTTTGTACTAGTTGCTTTTCTGATAGTTTTTTATATTAAAGTTCATGCTATTAAAATTGTGGATCAGATTGTAATAATTGTTAAATAATCACTACTTCTTCTTCTTATTCATCAAAATGTTTTTAATGCAATTCTGCACTTTATAATTAATAAAAAAGTATTAATAAAATAGACTTAAATATTTGTCAAGAGTGTATTGTATTTTGCAAAGCCTGTCTACCTAGATAATTATCATAAATATAACTATTAAATCCTTTTATTACTTAAACTAATAAATACACTAATTAATGTTATAGTTTTGATCAAGAAGTCAAATAATCTAATGAAGATATATAATACAATATAAAATATTAGGATAAAATTAATTTCCATCCTTTATTCAAAACTCCATATAAATGTCACATATTTGATAAATGCATTAAAACTTTGACTTTCAATTAATTTTTATATTGTGATTCAAATTATAGATTTTTAGAATTCGATTAAGAATAAAGATATAATTATAAAAATTAACATGTCACATATTATGAATTTGCTTATTATGGAATCCTAATTGATGATTATATCTATACTTTTCTAAATGAATAATCAATTATGGAAATTGATTTTTAAAATTTAATTAAGACACATCCAAAATATACTGGTCAATGCATTCAATGGGAGTTATAACCTATTAGAATTATAAACACATTTCCTTCATAAATATTTACTGCTAAAACTGTTAGATTTAAATTGATTGGAGAATAATTTACTAATTTACTAACTTCAGCAATCTTTAGTATAATTAACTTCGATGAAATTCTTTTATAAAATATCGGTCTTTTTGTAAGAGAAACATTAAGTCATTAATAAATATCTAAATCTAATATCATATGTTAATTTATAATGATCAACTCATATAATCCTATCACTTTTAAACTAATTGATGCAAAAGTATTTAATTCAAATACTTATAAATACATTTCCTTATCAATTTAGAGCAATAACTCTCTCAATACATTATTTGAAAATATTACATTTGAAAATTTAAATTTGACTAATTCAAAATTAATAGATTTTCAATCTTTATAAAACACAAAAAATCCTCAATTTAATGCAAGAAACTTAATTTTTATCAATTCTAATTTCACTCAATCAAGTTTCTTCTATTTTTAATCATTATTATTTAGTTCTGATTAAAAAATATTAATTAGTAATTTTTCTGCATATAATATTACTTTGAGAGCTGGCTCATAATTAATTAATACTTCATTTTTACTTTAATATCATATAGGAAATATATTGCTTGAAAATATTTATTTAGAAAATATGACCTTAATGAATGCATCTTCAATTTTAAATTTAATGGGTGTTGGCTCATGTTCAATAATAAATTTAACTTTAAAAAATATTATATTTTTTGATACATCCTCATTTTTATAATCTAACATTATTAATATAGAAAATCTATTGGCTATTGATATTTTCATATATTCTGGTTATTTTATCACTAATAAGGGCTTGTCATCAAAAACATCTTAATCATTAAAAAATGCAGAATCTATTAGGATTAAAAATGCAACCTTTATTGAAAACTTCTATTATAATTCCTAATGTTTTATTGCTATATTTAAAAATGATCTTTTAAATAATTCAATTTTAATAGAAGATATAAAATTAAAAAATAACTAATTTTACAATATATAATAAGGAATTAATTAAATAAAATCTTTAAATAATGATTAAGCATTAATATATTTAGAATGTGATATTTGTATTTTGAATAAAGTAGAAATATTCAGAGGTATTGGATATCCAGAAATTTCTATTTTTAAAAGTAAATTTCTCAAACTCTCCAATATAATTATTTAATAAAACCCATAATTTATTACAAAGACTCTACACTCATCTTATAAATGCATAGTGAATTTTTTATTTCTTGATTTACATTTTGTTTTTTATATAGGTTCTTTTCGTTAAGTTGAAATGGATAATGTGGTTATTTCAAAATCTGTAATTTTTGATAACCCATTTTTTCTATTTGCTAATTTAAATTAGATAAATGAGTAGGCAGAAAATAGTATAATAATAAAAAATTCTTAGTTTTTTGAAAATATGTTAATAATTTCACAATAAAATAGATTTACCTCAATAATTGCTATAAATACAGAATAAATAATCAATATAAGTATTATTAATACAACCTTTACTTAAAACTTTTTGAATGAGTACTTTTAAGATTAATCATTATATTCTTCTTCTACTTTAATTATTAATGCCTAATCAGGTAATGTATCAATATCTAATTGCCATTTCAATTAGAATATCGCTTCTAATTCTACTGATTCAAATTTATTCATAAAAACTAAGCATCTTATTATTTATAATTGTGGTTTTAGAAAATAAAATTAAATGAATCCTGCTATTTTGTAGAAATACTTGTTTGTTTCTAAAATAGATACAGAGGTTTCTAATTTAATGCTAAATTTTTAAATATTATCATCTGGAGGAAATGCATATTTTATAATTAATTCTATGATAATTGATAAAGTTATAGTAGAATAATCATTGGCTCTGAATGGAGGAGCTTTCTTTATAATTACTTCTTAAGAAGGATTTATAAATATAAATAATTCTAAATTTATAAATACTTCTACTACTTTATACGGATATTAGTTATCTGTTGGTGGATGCTTATATATTGACTCTTCAAAAAGTCGTATTAGACTTCTTATTGAGAATTCTGAATTTTATAAAACAACTTCGAGAACTTAGGCTGGACTTTTGTATATAGCACCCTCTTTTTTCTAAAATGAAATTATTTTAAATTAATTAACAATCTAGGAATCATTTTCAATCTAAAACTCAATATTTACATTTTCTCCTAGTAGATAATCTTCTATTTATTCAAACTTTTAAATTAAAAATTCAAAACTTATCAATACTGAAAATGCATTCAATGAATATTTATCTTAACTTTAAGACATATCTTAACAAGATATTAAACCATTTTAAAGAGAAAATCCTACTATGTATGTTTAATATTGCAATTTTACAATGTTTAACTGTACATTTACAAACTTTCACATTGCTAACATTTTAGAGATATTAAATGGTTACATTGTAAATTTGAATTAAATAATTATAGCTAACAGTACTTATTATGTTTCTCCTATTATCAGAGTTTCTTTAAGAGAAGGTATTATTGAAATTATATTTATAGGTTTTATAGGGTAGATCTTAATTTCAGAATTAAAAATTTAATAGTTGTAATAATATAAAACTTAATTTGGAGAATGCGAAGAAATAGAAGTTATTTAAACAAAAGATCTTTCTTGTTTTAATGAATATTAGGATATTGTATAAGATCCTATTGTAGAAACAACTAAAATGAATTTAAGTAATTAATTAATCTGTAATAAAAATTCGATTTTCTAAAATATTAATTATAACATAAGTTTAATAGAGATTAAAAATATTAATAATTAACAAGAATTGATAATAATGGATACAATTATACAAAATAATGAATGTTCAAACTGTTATTTTGGAGTAATGAGTATATCAGATGTGAATGTAAATTCAACAAATTTAAAAATAAATAATATAAGCTTAATCAATAACTAATGTGGAGTTATTGGTTGCATATCTTTTTTACAAAATTTGAATTTTAACTTCAAATAAATTTAATAGAATCGTATTTTGGAGATTTCCTCAGAAAGAATGTAATATATATAGAACAAAGAGATCTAATTAAAAATAAAAAATAGTTAATTTATCAATAATATTGCAGATTATGGTGGTGCATTATTAGTCAACGATTTAACTATATTAATTGAATAATGCTTATTTTAATTAAATTATGGTAGGTAGATTGGAGGTGCAATCTATTATTTTGCATCATCATCATAAAATAATATATTAATTCTAGATAGTTAAATTATATAGAATAAAGCTTAAATTGGAGGTGGTTTATATCAAAATGCAGAGAACATCTAATAATTTCAAAAAGGAAATGTCTATATAAATGAGAATTAAGGTAATAAATTTGCAGATAATCTTGCAATTTTACCAGTTTATCTCCATCTTTCATTGGATGGAATAAACTTTTTAAATAACAAATAATTATTTAAGAATAAAACTACGTTAATTGATGAAGTAGATGTTAAATCATACTATTATTTAGGATCAACAGAAAAGACAGATTAAATATTATTACCTTCTGGTCTTTAAATTTATGACTATTAGTATTTTGATCCTTAGAGTAATTCTTATATAAATTATAATTATTCCTTTAGACTCATTCCATTAAATTCTTAATTTGAATAAATGAAAAATTTAAATGGTACAAAATGTACAATAAATCCTTCAATAGTAAATAGATCTAATACTCAATAAAAAATTAAATAGATTACAGAGAATATTTCTGAGTAATTTCTATCATACACTAATGTCTATTTTAATGATTTAACACATGATTACAATTTAGATAATCTTACAGTATATTTTAATCCGTTTGAATAATAAAATTATTCCCTTTAGTTGGCTTTTATCTGTAATACAATCAAAGTACCCATATATAATTAAGATCCTCCTTACGAATTAAATTATACTTTAGAGAATTATATATTATTATTACATTTACGAACTTTCAAGTGTCAATTAGGTGAATACTTAAATATGAGTTCAGGTGGTTGTGTCTAATGTGATATCACTTAAAACTAATACTCAGTTTAATAAAATGCTCAAGCTTGTTAATTAAAGGATGAATTAAAAATTAAATCAATTAAACCAGCAATGATTGAATTACGATCAGGATATTGGAGAGCATATTATGATAGTAATGTTATTGAACTATGTTATCATTAATAATAAAATTGTTAAGGAGGATGGTTTACTGGAAATCAATCTTGTGAAATAGGACATATTGGTGCTTTATGCGAATAATGTGATTTGTATAATATTAGAGGTTAAGGCTATTTCTCTGTAGGCTAAGCTTACAGTTGTAGCAGTTGTGAAGAAGTGGCAAGAAATATTATAAATATAATTTTAGTTATATTATGGACCTTATTATCACTTTTTATTTCAGTTAGCAGTACAATTTAAATGATTGAAGAATTTATATTTTAATTAAAACTTAAATCATTGCGTAATTATTTTATTACGTAACCTACATCAACATCTGTTTTATTAAAGGTTTTTACAAACTATTTATAAATTATTAGTTCAATCACTTCATTTTAATTATCAATACCTTTAGGAATTAGTTTATTAGTTATTGGTGTAGGAAATCCTATGGATTCAATGGCTTTTTCTTTGGATTGTTTTTTAACTGATTCAAATTAAAAAGTGCCTATTATCTATTTTAGAATAATATTCAGTCTTCTGACTATAGGAGTTTACATTTTGTTTTTTTTTTCTATTTATTTATTACTTTTATATATAAAGAAAAGTAAGTTTTAAATAACATTTATAACAACCACATTTATTTATATTTACATTTATTTATTTCCTAACATAATTAGTGGATTAATAGGATTGCTATCATATAGAAAAATCTCTGATGAATTATGGATATCAGGAAATGTCTCATATTTATATAACACAAAATAACATACTATTTGGTTGTTAAGTTTTATAATTCCAAGTTTTTTGATTTTAGGATTGATTATTCCATTTTTTTTTTGGTTTGTTGTATATTACAATAGAAAATAATTAAATTAAACAAAAGTAAGAAAAATGTGGGGTTATTTATATAATGAATATAAACTATAAACTTATTACTGGGAAACTTTGAAAATTTTTTAAAAAGAATTAATTATATTAGTATTATAATATTATGCTGATTATGTTGCTGTTAAAGCCTCACTAGTATTTTTAATCTTATATATTTACAGTAATTTGAGTACTAAATATAGACCTTATCAATCTGCACTTTTAAATAAAATTGATTTTCTTTCAACATCTATTTGTTCTATATCTATAGTTTTAGCATCTTCAATCTATACAGCATAATCTTTTGATATTATGGAAGTAGTTTTTCCATTTTATACAATTTTAGCAGGATTAAATTTTATTTTTGTTGCAACAATGTTATAAAAACTGATTTATGCATATTTTGATAAAATGGAGAAAACTATTGAGAACATTAAAGCATTAATATATTTAAAATTTCCAAAAATTATTAATAATAATAAAACACTGAAAAGAATATTCGTTTAAAATTCAATAAAAAAGAAACTGATTAAATAGCGATTTAAGATGATTAGAGAATATTTGATAACTTAAGCCTAATAAATCATTGATTTTAAATCGTATTTATTATAATAAAATTAGTTCAATTACATAAGAGATAGCCCCAAAGTCAACAACAAGAAAAGATGAATAGACAACGATTACTGAACCATTATCAAGTACAAATAGGCATACCATTAGACTATTATAAAGATAGAATAAGTAATTTTCAAAATAGCCCAGCATTTATAGTGTAAGAGCAATTATTGAAAGTAAATAAGAATGAATTAATTAATTAAAGCATATATGATTTAAAATTATAAGTGTATATATATTAAATAATTATTTAAATAATTGAGTGCAAAAAGTAGAATGTACTAATATAATGTTCCCCAAATAGCGCAGCCAATATGTAAGTTTATATATATATATTATACGCTATATAGATTTCCAAGTATATTTTTATAATAGTTATTTTATAGCCTTAATATACATTTACACCTTCACTTATTGATATGTATTATTACAAACACAATTATTTATTTATTTATATAGGCCCTAGCAAATGCCCACTATTAGTACATTTCCACCACCACATCAGGATGTTGATTGGTTTTACTTAGATGAAGATGGAAAATGGAAAATATTTGATTGGAGAAGATGCAATCTGTTAGAGAATATGTTACATTATTGTAATTAAGGAGAGTTTCAAATTATATTTAAAGATATGTAGTTTATAGTGGATTATGATCATATGGTCATGCATCATTAAATTAGTTATTATAAAATTAGGAGAGAAACATCTATAGTGTCTAGATAAATAAAAATATAATAAGGAAAATGGTCTTATTATAATGGATAGACATGGATTCAATATGAAAAAGTGATATAAAATTAATTAGAAGATCTAATGGTGAAAGGAGAAGTAATATCAACATTTATAAAAGTCACTAATAATTATGTATGTCAATAACAAACAATATGTTTTTGATTTAGAGTAAAATGTTTAGGTTGAACCAATAGATGATAAAGGATTAAATAAGAGAAAAATAATTACAAGACAATGGATGAATACACATTAATTATAGGAGTTCTGTAAAATAAGAAAATAATAGGAATTAACATACATAAGAGAAAGAAAAGCTTTGGAAGATTATATGAAATTGCATTAGAATCGTAAGAAAATAAGTGGATCTAAGAAAACTAATAGATTAGGAGATTTAGGAATATCTCCAGATTTAGAAAAGTAAGAAAAGAAATAATAATAATAATTATTATAATAATAACATTAATAGTAATAGCATAATAAACAAAAGGATGAATGTTTTAAAATGATTGAACATTAAAAATAACCTGATCCTAAATAATTAGAAGAATGGAATTTATTAATAGAAAAAATGAAAGAAGAAAATGCTGAAAATAATAATCCATGATATAGTAATTATTTTTCCTTAAAATATTCAAGTAGAAATATCAAATCTCACTTTTTTTCTTTTGATTCTATCAAATTTTTTTATTAAGTTCTTAGTTTCTTAAAACTGTTCCTCTATGTTTGAAAAATTAATTTATAATCTTCTATTTGAGCAACTTTTATGAAAATTTAATCTTTTATCATTACTTGAAGATCTAATTTTAATTCGATTAGAGATTCTTGGAGTTTCCGCTAATTTTATAAGTTTAGATAATTCCAAAAAGTTAGGTAAATGGTTTTATTTATTGTTAATTTAAGGAAAGATTTAAGAATCATAATTTTAAAAATGCTGATTAAATGGTTTTTTTGTTGTAGATGATTATTCTTTTTAAATATCTATCTATTGTCTTTTCTTTATTTCATTATTTTTTATCATGTTAATAATACAATTAGTTGTTTATTGTGTATTTTAGAGTTTATAAATAGGCCTTTTAGTTAGAATAGCAGTAACATACATTTCATCATCTGTCAGTCTAAATTATTCAATTGATTGATCAAATTATATATAAGGGTTTTTCTTTTTATATTACATTATATATTTGTATAGTTTATTTTGAGAATTGGATGCGAATTTTTGGCACTTTTAGGATTTAAATTTTAGTAACTTGAAATCAATTGATTTAATAATAAATATTATGCGTCCAACTAAATAATAGGATTATTAATTAATAACACCTCGATCTCCAGAAAGGATTCTCAAAAGAAGAATATTAAATAATTAATCATAATATTTAATTAAGTGGAAAAGTTCAGAATAAACTACTTGGGAAAATGAAGAAAATGTTAGAAGATCAATTTTAGAAGAGTTCAATTAAAATTAACAATCGTTTTAAGATTAAAAATAAAAAAATCTAAAAAATGTAGCTTAACAATTACCTGTAATGTAATAAGTATAACAAAGTCTTAAACATCCAAGTTATTCTGAAGAACTTCTTTTAAATAAATAAAAAGAAATGGCATAAAAATTTTGTAGTTCTTATCCTTAAAAATTTGATGAAATTGATAGTGTTCATTTATTATTAACAAATGAAGAATGTTTATTTGAAGTTAAATGGAAACCTAGAACAGATGGAGTAGTTCCTATTTCTGATTTTTATTAATATGATTAATTTAAATTGGCTGCTCCATTACTTTTTATGAATTTTTTAGAGAGTTGTATAGTAGGACATTAAAATAATCCAGATATTAAATTTTATGCTCCTGGAAAAGATAATGTAGAAAGAGCATTATTGATTAAGAAAATACTACTAAGAAATCCTAAATATACAGATTCTAATAAGTAAGCTACTTATATTACTGTCGAAGAATAAAAATAATCAGATCTTCCAATTTAACAATAGAATAAAAATACAATTATTAATATTACTTAATCTGAACACAAAAAAACTATTTTAAATTAACATACAGAATTATAAGATAAAAATTAAAGCTCTTAATTTGAAAGTGAAAAGAAAAATCAAATCATTCTATAAGAATCATCAGAAGTTTAATAATAATTAGATTCAAATTCATAATAAGAATTATAATAATAATAATAATCTAATGATGGAAGAGAACCTGGAGAAATGGTAGATCCTGAGGACAATTAATAAAATGATGAATAAATGGAATAAAGATCTATTTCTTTAGAACCTTAAAAATGAATTTGATTTAAAATATATATTAAATATTAAGATTAATATTCTTTAAACTAATGGATAAAAAAATATTAGAAAATATTGAATAATAATTGAAAAGATTACTTGAATAACTTAAGGATCTAGAAGAATATAAAAATGAATTAGATCCAGAAGAGTATAAGTATGTTTTATTAATATACAATTTTAGATAAATGAAAAATGACACATTATAAGACTTGGAAATATTCTAAACTAAATTATAAGAAATAGAATAAGGTGATTTAACACTCAAGAATGCAATTTAATAGTAATAAGAATAATTAAGAGCTGCAATTAAGAACTCATTTAATGCAGAAGAAATCAAACATCTTATGTCGTCATCGTAAGGCACCTAAATAAGAGAAAAAATTAAAAAATTAGATTAAGACTATACTCTTTAAAGAATAAATTAAGCTTAATATGTTAAAGAAACTTTGAATTGTTTAAATTAATTGCAAGATATTGGAATACCTGTAAATTGTAAATTAATTATTTTAGTTTACTCAGTAAGAGATAAATTTTATCAATTCCAACACAGGAAAAGATAATTTTGTAATTAAGTAAGATAATGTACAAGGAATAAAATTACTTAAATCAGCAGAATAATAATTGGCTGCTAATAATATGAAATGATATGTCATATAAAAATAACAAAATTTCAAATTGAGATTAATTATTTATCATTTTTTTTACTTGATTTCTTAATGTTTTTTATTTATAATTGTAATATCTGTTTGATTTTATAATTATTTGTTGCCATTTACTTTTAATAATAGATCTTAATCTTTTCTTTAATTTGGAATAACTATATATTAATTAATATATTTTACCAACTTAGTCAAATCTCTATCTAAGGTCAATTTATACTTTATTTTAATAATAGATATTTTAATCTGATTAAATTTAAGGGTAAACTTCTATATTAAGTGAACAATCAAGTTATTAAAATTAAGAACTATTTGCATTTTATTTTTCTTTAAATTTTAATTGTTATTAAAGTTCAAAATTATTTTATTATAAATCATTAGTGATTTATGATAAGTGTTTAATCTAAATATTAAATTTATCAATCATTTGTTATAAATCAGAAATTTAGCTTTTCTTCAATTATAATTCATTAAGTAGTGTTTTATTAGTTGATTATAAAGAGCTAATTTATTATAATAATTCTAAATTAGGAGTATAGTTTTCTTTATCAAAAAATTAGGCTCTGAGAATACAAATAATAGTTTCAATTTTTGATTCGAGAACATTATCATATTTAAGTTTCAATGAATCTAATAGAGTTATAGCTTAAGCAATATTATTTTTTGGTTCTTAGAAATTTTTTGCTTTAAGAGATTGTTATATAATTTTATTAGATTAGATTTTAATTGAAGCCTATGATTTAGATGTAATTAATTAAGGCTTTTCTTTTGAATTTTTTCTTGATTGATTTTGACTTGGTCTGTTAAGATATAAGGGAATAATTTCTTTGATTGGAGAGATCTAATCAATAATAGTCCTTTAACATGATAAATATTTTAATTTACATTCTTGTTGGAGATTCATTAGAACTTGTTTGAGATGGGAAGATTTGTAAATTTTGATTAATATGCATTTTTTGCTGTTAAAATTAATAAAAAAAAGTAAGAAAATTTTTAAAGTAATTATTTTATACAATACAATTCATCCTTAAGTCTCCCTTAATACAATTTTAGCTAGTTTTTTAAGTTCTATAAAATAACTAAATTTTGAAAACAATGAATACTTATTGTTTGTAGGATAATCGTAATTATTCATAGCTCGTTACAATTCAAGAATTTTATTTAAAGGTAAAATGTCTTATAATTATATTTTTGGATAAAGAATGCTAAATTATTGTTATAAGGATACTTTTAAGTTGGTTTTCCTAAATCAAGACTAGATCTTTGAAAAGATAATCTGCCAGATTTTTAATGTAAAGAAAGTGAAGATTCTTGAGATTTATTTAGTTCATTATTTTATTTAGAAGGGATGCTCTATCTAAGTAATTGTTAAATGGTAGATGTATTATTTTATTAAAAAGAGAACTGCTTAGGTTACTCATGTTTATGATTAATTTTTGCTCTAACTTCTTTCCTAAAATCATCTAATTATCCAAGAGGACTATTGTAAATGTATGAACCTTATTGCATAAAAATTATTAATGAAATTATTACCAAGTAGTTAATTAGAATAAAAAATATTTTATAATTAATATATATTTAGAGTTCTCTTTTGTATTTTGCTAATTCCGATTAAAGAGGATTTTGCTGTTAAATTCGAAAAATGATTAATAAGTATTTATGCCAAATAAAATTACGAGGAATTAAATAGCATTACTTAATTATTTTGATTTGAATAAGATCAATGTTTTAATATGTTATCATAAAAAACTTAGACTATTAAGATAAATTAATAAAATGAATTAAAAATAGTTTTATAATTGTTAGTTCAAATGAGAATCTATTTTAATCTATTACATTTATGGCATAGCAGATAATATTATGATGAAAAAAATAAATAAATCAGTAACATATTTAGTAAAATTTTGAGTTTAAAAATATATGTTTGAGAAGCTTATATAGATAAGGTTAGATATGTCTCTATTACATTTATAAAGGATTTAAGATTTTTGTAAAGATGATTTAAGATTTTTGAAGTACTTAATAATTTATTTGATTCTTAGGTAAAGTAATTAATTCATTGAGGAAAATATCGTATATTGAAAAAGTTAAACGGTTACCATTAAATGATTATGTATAAAATAACCTTTCCGATTTGCTGAATATTTAATTAATTCTTGCTAGATTTTTTAGTTACTTGAAATATGAATCTCAAATAGATTATGAATTAAAGAAAAAGATAATGAGAAAATGCTCAGAAATTTAAAATCATGAAAATAAATTAGAATGAACAGAAATATAATTATAATATTAGGATAAATTATTAAAGGCATTTTTAAATAGTTCTTAAAATTTAAGATTAACAATAAAAATGAATGTTGAATTGTGATGAAAATTTTGTAAGAAGAGTGCAAATATTGATAGTAAAATAAAGAAAGGATGATAAATGATATTGAGGTATAAATGTATATGAGAAATAGAATAATAAAATTAGTTTTTAATGGTAAATATTAGGGCATATAAATATTTCATACCTATTTTGAAAGTAAAAAAGAGATTAAAAAAGGATAAAAATAATAATAAATGTAATAAATAAATGAAGAGATAGTAGTAAAGAATGAATAATAAGTAGAGGATATGATAAGAAAAAAAGTGAGAAGATAAAATGATAATCTTGATGATTTTATTCCATTGAGATAAAAAGAATAAGAAATTGATATAGAACCTATTTAATCGTTAGGAAAGAGGGTGATAAAACCATTAAGAGAAAGAGAAAGAAAGTCATTACCTATATATAATGTGAGTCATAGAATTCTAGATGAAATGTAGAATAATTAAGTAATAGTAATAACAGGTGGAACAGGATGTGGTAAATCAACATAAGTACCTTAAATGATATTGAGACATGATACAAATACAGAATTTGAGATTCCAAGAAAAGTTAATATATTATGTACTTAACCTAGAAGATTGGCTGCTAAATCTTTAGCAAAAAGAGTAGCATAAGAATTAGATTGTTAATTAGGAACAGTTGTTGGTTATTAAGTTGGAATGGATTCATAAATAAGTTCAAGATAAACTTAAATATAATTTGTAACAACAGGAATATTCTTATAGAAGTTGGTACATGATAGAGAATAAGTTTTAAAAGATTATACACATATAATAATGGATGAAGTACATGAAAGAGATATTGATATTGATTTTTGTTTAATCATAATCAAGAATCTTTTAAAACACTTTAAAGATACTAAATTAATATTAATGTCTGCAACTATTTGTAGTGATAAATTTGCAAATTATTTTTCTAAGAAATCAATTAATTTAGTTGATGATTTAAACTACATATAGAAAGTTGATAAGAAATATAAACACATTGATATGACATAAGAAAATGATGTAGAAATAGCAATTAAATTTGAAGGTGAAGAAGATAATGACATTGGTATAGAATGGGGATAAGCATGGAAAGATATGGAAAGATAAGTTAAATTAACATAAGAATAAAGAGATTTAGAATAAAAATAAAATGAATTAAGAGAAATAGGTTAACATTTTTTAGATGGTGAAGATGATTAAGCTGCACCTATTATTAAAGTACCAATGTCTTAAAAATATCCTATTGAAACATATTATATAGAAGAAATTCATTCATATTTTAATGAAGCTGATACTGCCAAAATAGAACCACATTAAACCTTAAGATTTTAAACTTCACTATACTTTTAAGATTCTCCTAAAATATAATCTGATAGTGTATAAGCTATGTTATAGATATTGGAATTCTTAGATTCTAATTAAATTAAAGATACTTAAGGTATGTAAGGTGCAGGTGCTGTATTAATATTTTTACCTGGATATTAAGAAATCATGGATATTAGAGAAGAAATCTATCTTAAATTTGGAGAAGACAGATTCATTCTTATTATCTTACATAGTACTGTTAGTATTCCAAAAGATTTTGATGATACTCATAAAAGAAAAAGAAGATTGATTTTAAGTACTAATGTAGCTGAAAGTAGTATTACTGTTCCTGATTGTAGATTTGTTATCGATTTTTGTTTGACTAAAGAAATTATTTATAATCCTAAAAATCTTACTGAAAAACTTGCTCTATAATATTGCTCTAAAGCATCTGCTGATTAAAGAAAAGGTAGAACTGGACGTTTATTCCCAGGAACTTGTTTTCGTTTAATTCCATAAAGAATTTTTAAAGAAAAAATGACTTAATATTCTGTCTGCGAAATGTTGAGATGTCCTTTAGAAATTATTATCTTAAGACTTAAAAAATTATATCATCTTTCTATTGATAATTAAAATAAAACAGAAAAATTAGAAATTAGTACTCTTGTTGATTTAAAATAGATTTTCAATGATCCAAGTCGTACATTATAAACTGCTATTGATCCACCTAGTACTAAATAAATTGAAAATGCTATTTCTAATCTTTAAATGTTAGGTGCTCTCACTTATCCTTAATCACAAGATTTTAATATACATATAACAAGATTGGGATAAATGATGAGTGATATGCCTATTGATATATTCTTAACTAGATTTATTATGTATTGTAATATTATTGGATGTGCTTATGAAGGTGTTACTATTGCAGCTATCTTAAGTCAAAGAAAAAATTACTTTCTTCATCATTTTATGAGATCATAAAAATTATTTTTCAATTCCTTATATCTCTATGATAAAGGAAATGAAGATGATTTACTCATTTAACTTAGAGTTTATTAAGAATGGGAAATCAAATTTTTTAATATCCTTAAATCTACCATTACACAATAGGAATTAAAGAGGGAATTAAAAAGATTTACTAATACAAATATTACACCTTTAGAAAAATTATATTGTGAATAAAGATCTATTGATCCTAAAAACATGAGAGAAATTTTAAATGTTAAATACGAATTATTTATGAGACTAGATCAATAATTTAAAAATGAACCTCTTGATTTAAATAATACTGAAAATTAACTTAAAATTAAAAGTGCTTTCTGTGCTGCTTTTAAATAAAATACTTTCAGATTATCTAAAGATGAAAGATTTGATAAGAAAATTAAATTTCTTAAAGATTAAGGATTTGATTATACTCGTACAATTATGTTAGAAAGTGATAATATTAAATTTGATGGAGTAACCATTTAAAATAAAGAAATGATAAAAGAAAAGATTGCAATGATAATGGAACAATTTTGTGATTTTCATTAATTAGATAGAAGTTAAAAAAGATCAGAAGATTAATTAAGAGATATCTTAGCATATAGTAATGAATAAGCTAATGGAAGATAAATATTACCAAAATTCCATTTTAGAACAGATTTGTAATTATTAACGGAAATAAAAGCAAAATCAAAATTTACTAAAAATTGGGTTAAAAATGTAATTTTAATGAATGCTACAATAATAATAGAATTTAAAGAGATAGAATTACAGAAATTAAAATATGTACTAAAAAGACTAATGCATGAATGTGAATTAATGAAAAGACAATCAAGTAGAAAATAACCATTAAAAATACCTTGGGAAACATTCACTACTAGTAATTAAGTTGATATGATAAATTTTATTGAAACTACATAATCTCTAATATTTTATGGATGTTATTGTAGATTGATTCATTAAAATAAAGAAATCAATTGTGATCCTGATAGTATAAATTTTGTATCATTGGATTTAAATAAAGTATTAATAGCTTATGAAGTTTAAGAGAAAGATTCAAATAAACGTAATTCTACAAGGTAATTGATTTCAATAGATTAGAATAAATATTTATTATGGTCATAAATATTGGCTATGCTTTTTGGAGTATAAGTAAAACTCTATCATAATAATACAAAAACACACTTCATCAAGGCTAAAGTAGATGATAGAGATTATTAATTTGATTATTTTATTACAGAAGACGATTTATAAACTATAAATTCTATTAGATAATAGATAAAATTATAGATATTAGAATAAAGTTATACAGATAGTGGAATTTGGTAGAAAATGAGATAATTAGATAAAGTAAGATAAAAAATATTATATACATCTGATGAAAGATGGAAATAATTATTTGATATTGAATTGAAAGATGAAATACAATCATTTCAAGAATCAAGTGAAAATAAATAAAAAAGAAAGAGAATATAACATTTTGAATAAGATGAATAGAAGGCTGATAATTTAGATTATATGAATTCAATTTAAATTATAAGAACAGATTATGATTCAGATGTACCTAAATAATTTGATAATGAAGGAATCAAAATATATGTTCAAGTTCAATAATTATATTAGACTTGGAAATAAAATATAATTAATACAATAAAGAAATAAAATTTCTTTTTAAGAATGGGTAATATAACTTAGATTTGCTGTTTGGAATGTAATGACTATATGACAATAGGTAGAACTAATGGACTATCTTATATTTCAGAAGATTCTGACATTAGAAAACAATTAGATGAAGAATCATTAAAATGGGTTAAGTAAATGGTTATGATCTTAGATGTTAGTTCATTTGGGGATTATTTCAATATTTCAATGAAAGTTGAATAAATTTAAGAGTTTCTTTCAGATTAAAGAATATAAAGCATTTTCGAAAAACTTAAATTAGCATTTAAACCTATCAATTATGTATTTATAACCTGTAACTCTGGAAAACATATTATTGGTTTCTATCCTAAAATTAAATAATCTAAGGAAATAGTGTAGATAGGAGATATTTCTAAATTTTATATTATTGATTAAAAATTAAAATTAGTATATACTAGTATGGAAGAAGAGAAACTTATGTTTAGAAAATTTAACATTGATGAAATTAAAAAGAAAGAGAATATGGTATCATTATTCATATTAATATTATAGGCTGTTTAACAAAGAAAATTGTAGAATTTAAAATTTACATGTAAATGTTGTTATGTAGAATAAAGATATGAAGAGAAAGGATATTTTGAAGGTAATGAATAAGCTTACAGTTAACATATTAAATAGGAAAGTCATAAAAAAGCTTTTGAAGAAATGTAGTTCACCATTATATGATATATTATATATAGTACATTATAGTATCAAAATGCATTTATTATTATTTATTTTCTTTTTATTTTTTCATATTTAAATTCACCATTTTATATTCTATTTTGTATAAATTAGTTATATAATTACTGGTTTATAGTTATACTTAGTCAATAAAAAAATAAAGTAGATTAAATATATACCATCAAGTGAAGAATAATAAATATAATCATAAAATTATAAAAGATTTACTTTACCAAATATAATTCATTATAATAAAGAATATTTGTAATTTTTATTGTTTTATCTTCTGTTATAAATTTTTAATTCTTTTATTTTTCATTAATAATAATCGATTTAATCCTACTAGTTTATTTTAAAATACATTGAATAATCATCTTAACATGTATGTTGATTTTGATTATAATTAATTTTTTTTTCAAAACTTTATAATTATTTTTTTTAACTGTCATATGTCAGATACATCATTGGGCAGAAAGAACAAATACTATGATTAATCAGATTAAAATCCAGAATTAATGGATACATCAAAATTTTAATAAGTATCATAAATAAATAATATGGTAAGGAAAAACAACAGTAATAAAACTAAGATCAATCATCATATAGACCTTAGATATAAAGCTAAAATCTAGGATATCAATAATAGATTGAATAAAAATGGAATGATAGAGCAACTCCTTATACTTTTACAGTTTCAAATATGCCAAAAGTAAACGATACAATTTATATTAGATAAGTTGTTTTAATCATTAAGGATAAACATTTACAAATTTTTGTAAATGTAGAGAATGTTTTTTGCCTTTATGTCCAGAGTGTGTAAAAGAACATGTATATGAGCATTCAGAGTTTAAATCTTATCCAAAACTAGAATGTTTAGAAAATATATTGAATGATGTTCACAAAGAAGTTTGTTAATAAGGTATAATATAATAAGGAATAAATAAAGTAAATTAATTAGTATTTGCTCAAACAGATATCTCAAATTCAATATCTTAAGCATATCTCTATATATAAGAAACAGTTTAAAAATTAAAAGAAGCTAAACAAAGGATTTTAAATATAGTAGAATAGTATTTTCATGCATTAGAGATTGAGTTAGAAAATTAATAAAATAAGAACTATGATAATTTTTATAACGATGGAAATTCTTTTAATGATGTATTAAATGCTAGATTGGCATCTCATGTAAATTTCTTAGAAAAATTAAAATAACCAGATTGTATGTATTCATTGTTACCATATTTATTGTCAACAACTAAAGAAGATAATGAATTATATCTTAAAACAGCTTAATAATTTTCATCTAGATTTAAAGAGGCTTCATCATTGATCACTTTTGATTCTATAAAATCGTAAATTATTTATGAGATATAATGTTAGTTCTTAGCTTAGTGCATAAATTGCATAAATAGTAAATGTTTTCCATAAAGATTTACCAGAATTTCTTGATATTCATAAATTAGCATCTCCAGAAATCATTTAGACTAAAGTTTTAAATGTTAAATCATAAAATCTTCAAGTGTCTTAAATAAATCCTTATTAGAATTCTAAAATTTAATAAAATATTGTAATCCCAGAAAAAATAGAACCTTTAATTAAATAACAATTACCAAAATTAGAATAATCTTATGGTTATTAATAATAATAAAAAGTTCCTTTATAATAGGTTCCAAATTAATAAATTCAAAATTCATTGTTTAACACTAGCTATACATAATAAGGATATGGATAATAAAATTATAGACAATAATAACCATTCTAATAAGCTTAGTTAAATCAAATCAATAAATTTCAAGGCTATCCTTAAACCCCTTAAACTTAACCTTTTGTTTAACCAAACTATTAAAATTTTAACCCATAGTTTTCTAACCAAGGATATTAATCCTTAAGGTATTATTGAAAAATTTATAATAAATATATTAAGTTTTATCAAGTTTAATAAAAATGTCTAATCATACTACTAAAAGTATTAAATCAGGTATGCCATAAAGAAATTCTCATCTACATACAGATTCTTCTAATCCTCCTAATTTAAGTAGAGATAATTCAACTAATTCAACAGCCAAAAACTCCCTTAAAATAAATCTATAGAAATCAAAATAAAATAGTAGAACAAATTCAACTTAGAACATCCCTGAATCTTAATCAAGGAAAATTCAAAGCAAAGAAACATCTCCAGAAAAAACAAATGAATTAAAAATAATTAAAGGAACAACTATAATTCAAGAAAAAAAAATAACCAAAATAATAACTTCTAAAATAAATACTGGGATTAAAAAAACTAAGGGCGAATTAACATTAAATTAAACTGTTTTAAGCTCAATCCATAAATCTTAAAATCAAGGATCAAAAAAATTATTAGTTAATTAAAAAAAGGAGAGCAGTTTAGGAAATCGTTAAGCTAGTCAAAAACAATTTAATAAACTACAAAATAGTAATTCTTCAAGTCGTAAACATTCTCCTTAAAATAAAGAAAAAATACACTCTAAATAATTATAAAGATTACCATAGGCTTAAATGGAATAATAACATAAAGAATTATAATAAAAGAATAATGTTTTTTATGATCAAGAATAATAAAATATGATACATTAGCAAGAGGATCACAATGATTAATAAAATGAGTAAGATGATGAAAATGATTAATTTGAGAGATAAAATTAATTAGAAAACTTTAATTAAAATCCATCAGAATTAGATAATGATTAATTAGAAGAAATCTAATAAAATAAAGAATCCTAAATTGATATATAAGATGATGAAATTGAAAATGAATAAGAAAGTTAATAGAACAAAAATTAAAGTCAAGAATTAAATGAATAGAATGAATTTGATAATGATAATGATATATCAATTGATAAGGATATTGATAATAATAATTAAGAAATGGACTAAATGATAGATACTAATAGTGATAATAATAATAGTGATAATAATAATAGTGATAATAATAATAGTGATAATAATAATAGTGATAATAATAATAGTAATAATAATAATAGTAATAATAATAATAGTAATAATAATAATTGTGATAATAATAGTGATAATAAAAAGAATAATAATATTAATTATTAAATTAACTATTTACCTCCTTTGGATGAATTACCTGATGGTGAAAACAGTGAACCTGTATTAACACATAGAACAGAAGAACGAAATCCAATTCTTAATATTAATTGTTTTAAAAAATTATCCTAAGATATATCAAGCATTAAAAATATAGATTGTGAAACTTAGGAAGATTAATATTATTAGAGTTTATCTGCTAGGGCTCAAATTAATTCATAATCTAATTAAATGTAAGAATAAATTTAAGCAGATTTCACTAAAAAAAATGATGAATAAATAAAAAATACTTAAGATAATTAAAATAATCAAGAATAAGAAGAAGAATATGGTCTTTCAGAAATAGAGGATTTATTTATTAAAAAATAAGATAATGATGATGATGATGAAGTAAGTCCAGATAATAAAATACCTACTGAATAAGAAGAAGATGAATTTTAAAATAATTCAAATCTTAATTAAAATTAACAACAATATCTTATTAATCAAAATGTTCTTAATAATATTAATCAATCTACTAATTAAATTTTAAATGACTCTACTAATCATATAGAATAAAACAATCAAATTTAATTAATTTTCTAAAATAATAATCAAGAATAACAAAATTCTTAATAAATTTAGATTTCATAAAACCTTGAAACTCAAAATGAAAACCAATAATCAAATGATAATGACTAAATTCAAGAATATATATAAATAGATCATTAAAAAGAGAATTCAATTGAGAATAAAGATGAACATTTTGAGGATTCTTTAATAAAATAAGATTTAGATAAAGAAAATGAAACTATATCTTTAGAAATAAACATTTAAAATAATAATCAAAAAGATTTAAATATCTAATAAAATACAGTTTCAAATGAAGATCAAGATCAAGAAAATAATCTGATTGAGGAGTAATAACCAAACAATGATGAAAATATAACTTAAGAAAATTCAAAGTTAGAGTAGGAGGAATCAAATTCTTATAAAGAATTAGATAAAATAAATATAAAATCTAATATATTATAGAATTCAAATTAAGATAATTTTTAATAGAATAAATCTTATGAAATAAATACTATATCTGATTTAAAGTAGGATAATAATAAAAATTAAGATGATATAATATTAAATCAAGATATTACTTAAACTGTTAATCTGTTTGAAATAGAAAAAGATGTCAAGACTGTAGATGAAGAAGATAATTAAAATGAAGAAAATAAAGCTAATGACCCTATGATATAGGAAACAAAGGATTTATTAAGTTAACAAGAATAACTCTAGTAATAAGATGGAAGAGAGTAATAATAAATAGAATAAGATTTAGATGAGAATTAAAGTAATTTTAAATATAAGAAAAGCTCAGAAATTATTGAAGAAGATTATAATGATCATTCTGAATAGAAGTCTGATTAAAATATTGAACAATTAGAAACATATAGAAAATTTAGTTATAAAATAGAGGAATTAGAGAAAAAAAATAATAATGATGAAAATAGAAATAATTAATAAAGTAATTATATTAATGAATCAAGTAATATATAAAATTAAATACATCATTAAGATATTTAAGATCCTGAACAAGATAATGAAATGATTAATTAAATTGAAAATGTTAAAGAAAATTTTAATGAAAAAGGCTGTTTACTTGAGAATTAAATTAATAATTAAGAAAACAATGAGGTTAATTATAGATAAACTGAAAATAATTAATTAGAGTAGGAAAACTAACTAGAATAAGAATTAAATAATTTAATCGAAACTCAGTAATCTGGTAATTTAGAAGATAAAAATTAAAATAAGAAAGAGATTGAAGATATCGAAATATAATAATAATGTCAAATTGAAGAAAATTTAAAAAATTCAATCCATTAAAATTAAAATTAAATAAATGAGTAAAATGATGAGTAAGAAAATTAAATTTAATCAGAAAAAGAAGAATCTAAATTAAATTTTTAAGATCACAATTAGAATGAAGATGAGAATCTAATATAAGAGATAAAGTAGAATGAGTTATTGAATTAATAAGATTAATAACAGGAAGACCAAGTATAAAATATATCTAATGAGTCCTAAGAAATTATGAAAAATGAGAATTAAAACTATGATGAAAATAAAGATTAAGATTCTAAGGAGAAAGTTCAGGATGAATCACTTTTAATATAATAAGATATTTTAAGAAGTGAAAAAAGTCATGATTCAGAAAGTATTAAATAAGATGAAACATTAAATGAGGAAATATTATTGGATTCTACTTTTAATTAAGTTTAAACTTAAGATTTATTAATGGATGATAATTTAAATTAATAATAACAAACAGAATAACTTAAATTAGATTTATAAGATGAATAAGATTAAGAATAAAATATTTGTAAAAATGAAATTATTAATTTACCTGAATCTAATAATGAAGTTAACTAGCAAACTTAAGATGAATAATAAATTAAATATGATGATCAAAATATATCAGATTAAAATTAGTAATAAATACAAGATAATTTTGATTTAAAAGATGAATAATAGCTGGAAAATAATCTTAATTAAGATCTAAAATTTTCGAAAAATTAAGAGTAAGAGTAAGATCAAGGTAATGATAGTTAATAAATGTTCTAAAGTGATAATACTTAAGTACTTAAAAGTTCTTAAGATGATGGGTTATATGAACCTAAATATCAATAAATGGGAAACTATTATTATGTTTAACAATAGAATATCTTGGTCTAAGAATTATAACATGAAATTTCAGAAATGGATAATATAAAGCTATAAGATGATAATGATAATAAATAAATTTAAGATCAAAATGAAATATAATAATAGAAAGAAATTGATGATTTATAATAACAAATTAACAAAAATTAAAATGAATAGAAGGATATGGTTGAATAAGTAAGCAATAATTTAGAAAATGAAAATAATCATTAAGAAGAGGAAAATAATAATTAAGAAAATGGAAATAATCATTTAGAAAAGGAAAATAATCATTTAGAAAAGGAAAATATTCATTAAGAAGAGGAAAATAATAATTAAGAAGAGGAAAATAATAATTAAGAAAATGGAAATAATCATTTAGAAAAGGAAAATATTAATTAAGAAGAGGAAAATAATAATTAAGAAAATGAAAATAAATATTAAGATAATGAAAATTATCATTAAGAAAATGGAAATAATCATATAGAAAAGGTAAATAATGATTTAGAAAACGAAAATAATGATTTAGAAGATGAAAATAATCATTAAGTAAATGAAAACTATAACTTAGAAAATGAAAATATTCATTTAGAAAATGAAAACAATCATTAAGAAAACGAAAATAATGATTAAGAAAACGAAAATAATGATTAAGAAAATGAAAATAAATATTTAGAAAATGAAAATTATCATTAAGAAAATGAAATCAATAATTTAGAAAATGAAAATAATGATTTAGAAAACAAAAAAAATGATTTAGAAAATGAAAACAATAACTTAGAAGATGAAAATATTCATTTAGAAAAGGAAAATATTGATTAAGAAAATTAGGTTAAAAATGAGTTGATTGATAATTATGCTTCAGTTAAAATTAATTCTGATAATAATAAGAATTAAAATGATGATTAAAATAAAAATAATCATGATGAGAATGTTTATATTTAAGATTAAGATCAAATCGATTAAGATTAAGATCAAGATCATATTGAATAAGATGAAGATGAAAATCATAGAAAAGATGATGATTCTTAAAAAAGTTCAGTTAAATCTTAAAAAACTAAGAAATCTAGAATAACAAATACTTAAGAAATTATTAATGATAGTTAACAATAATAATAAAATGAATCTGAAGTAGATTTTAATACAAATGAATTAGTCAGTTAACGAACATAAGAGTTTGGTGAAAGTCAAAGAGAAAATGAAAATGGAATTGAGTAATTTTCAGATTCATAAAAAAAGATTTTAATTAAAAAGGATGATTTATAATTAGAAAATAATAATATACGTCCTATTATGACACTAAATTTATAAAGTTTATCAGCTAATAAAAATTATAAGGATGATTAACCGGACACAGGAAGAACAGATGATAGTATGATAAACTAATTAGTTGCTTAGGATAATAATAATAAGGATAGAGATACAAATATTCATTTAATTAGACGTAATTCTGAAAGTAAACCATAATATAAGATGAAAAGGTAACATCTAAACATTATTGATACAATATAAGAAAAATAAGAATAAACAACTCCTAATAATTATACAAGATCCATAAATATTACACCTAAACCTGGAGGTAGTTCTAAGCATTAAAAGAATCTATATTCTTTTGGAGCTCAAGAAGAATTTAAATTTAAATCAGGTGATTAAATAGGGCTTTCTGAAAAAGATATTGAAAAAGATAGAAAGAGAAAAGAGAATTTACACAAAAAAAATTTATATGAAGGTCATTTTAAAGGAAAAGATAATAATATAAAAATATTATCAGAAAAAGCTGAAAAAATGGATGAAGAGAAAATTAAAGAATTATAAAAAGTATTATCATCTAAATAAGAAATTAAGCAATAAAAGGAAAATTAACTACAAGAACAAGAAAAATAAATTTAATTTATTTAATAAACTCTTGATTAAATACCAGATATCTAAGAATAAGATGGAGATGTAATTTTGAGTAATATAATAGAATTTATTGATAACTATAAAACAAATAGATATATAGATATTTCAAATATGAAAGATCCTCATTTGGCAGAATTAATGAGAAACAAATTTAAAGAAATTTTAAAGAAAGAAGAACAAAAATAATAATTAGAAGTTTAATTAAAATAATAATAATAACTTGAAGTTTAAAAATAATAAAAATTACAAATTATTCTAGTATTAAAAATACTATTTCAAGAATATGACACATTAAGATAAAAATCTTTAGAATTAGACTAATAATTTGTTGATTCTCAATAAAAAGTGTTTGAAAAAATGAAAAAGCTCAGTATTACAGAAAAATTAATTCCTTAATTAAAATAATTAGATTGTGAATAACAATAAGCAACTACTTAACTAAAAAATTGCATTTATTCTTCAAGAAAAGATTTTGATTAAGAAGAACTGATAGATTTTATAAAATCTGAACTTAAAGTTTAAGAAGATATACACAAATGTATTTAATAAATTAGATATATATTTTTGAGTCGAATTAATTAGATTAAAGAAGGAGAAAAAATTATGGAAGAGAAACTTCTTTTTAGTAGTTAATAATATTGATCTATGAGATATATTTGTTGAATTAGATTATATTAATTTAGTAAATAATATATATATTCAAAGCTTAATAATTTTAATAGTTTTTTTTGAATCTCCTATTAATATTTATTAAGATAAGGGTAGTAAGCAAGTAATTTTATCTGTTAATTAAAACTTGCGAGTTCTTTGAAAGGATTAAATTATAACATTCTTATCTTTTTGAATAATAATTTAATTTTTGGGCATTGCATAAATCCAATCAGCATCTAATTAGATTTCTGAATTAAAAATTAAATTATTCTATTAATCATCAAAAACAATCAAAGATTTTTGAGTAGTAAGTATATATAATTGCTAATCTTCATAAAAGATTGTTTTAATATGTTTATCAAGTTAAATTTTTTAAATATTCGTTATATCATTAATTAATTAATGAATTTAATTATCAATAGCAATAATTATTTTTTTAGGAGTTACACTTAAGCATTTGACATTTCCACTTAAAGGTATTTTATAACTCTAATAGGTCAAAAAATTAGCAGTTAAAATATATAAAGATCCTTATTAGTCTAAATGTAATTAAATAGGAGGTTCTTCTATTCTAATTGATTATTAATATTTAAAAGGTCCATGCATAGAATCAGATACCCATTATATTATCTAACCATCACTGCTACTAGTATAGAAAGTCTTATTATTCGACTAAATTATAATTTTAGTCATTTATTTAATAGGACGATAATGTTAGCCAATTAAAGTAATCATTTTAGAGTATTAATTTAATGAATATAATTTGTAATTTTAACAACAAATTATAAGATCTGTTTGATTAGGATCATTTTGGATTTGAACTGCTATAGATTATAAAGTACAATAATCAAAATCTTAGTTTATTGATTAACTAGATTAGCGAATTCGATTGTTTCTCGTAGTGATATTTTCAGATTTACTATAATCTAAAGAACATTAATTCATATGATTATTATCTTTTGCCCAAATCCAAGATTAATTTCTCAGGCCATCACTAATTTTTTGTTGCAGATTTTAATTTTTGTTTTATCGGCTGTTATTTAAGTATTTAAATGATTCCCTTTAGTTTTTTATATTTTTATGTGATCTTTCAGTTTCAGTACCTCCTAAATGACTGTAATTAGTGGCAAAATTAGTATGGTTTTGTTTACGTTTAGAAATTGTTTATTTATCTGAATTTAGGGATTCATAAAATGCTGATGTGTTAATATTTTACATATTTTGATTGAATCTATCATTGAAAAATTGTAAGATTTTTTTATCATTTTAAGTTTTCTTTTTTGATAAAATGTTGTTGAGTGATTAACCAATTTCTTGAATTTTTTAAAGTGAAAATTTCATTGAAGTTTAAGGTCGTTTGAATTGAGAAATTTTATATTCTTCTAATTCTGTGATTCCAAACATTTTATTTGGAGTTGTTGAACGAATACTCATTTAATTAATATTTATATTAATAAATATTAAATTATAAAATGGGGCAAAGTAGTTCTACAACTGGATTTAATTTATAACAATATTAATTTTTAAATTAAATAATAGATCCCAGATTTGGAAACATTAAGTTATATTAAAAAAATGAGACTGGAGAAACAATTTGCATAATTGAAAAAAATTTCATTTAGATCAACAATCCAGTTAAGAATCTAGATCATCCAAATATTTTAAAAGTCCATTACTATAAAGCTGACATATGTAAAGTAAATACTTTTAATAATAAATTAGAATATTTGTTCATCTTTTACAAAATTACAACTTATTTAAGAATATGTTAGTAACGAGTTAAGATAGAATATAAAAAATAGAGCAACAAAATAGTAATATTATGAAGAGAAATAATTATGGGGTTTATTATCTATGTGTTTAAAGGCATTAATGTATTTTAAGTCATTTTAAATATATCCAATGGACTTAAAAAATATTCTTCTTTCAAATTAAGGAACTATAAAATTTTAATCTTATTATGATATATAAAATAGTCAATATATGCAATTATTGAACTAGATAACAGAAGATATTCACATATCACCTGAGGAATTAGAATGTTTAAAAAGCAAGGAACAAGTATTAAATTTAGATTTTGAGAAATGTGAAATATTTTAATTAGGATTAACAGCTTTATGGGCTGCTACTCTAGCTGATACAAATTCTTTATTTAGTTATGATACTCTTAATGTAATTTTCGATATTATAATTTAAGTATAGTGAATATGAAATGAAGTAAAGAATAGAAGAGTTAAATTATAGTTAATAATTTAAGAATATTTTATTAAAAATGTTAAAGCGATTTCCATAAGATAGAGGAACATTTAATGAATTACTCTAAGTAGTATCTTATCATGAATGTAATGAGAATCTATTAGAAATTATATCTATTGATAAATTTGAATAGAACATTTAATAAATATCAAAAATAAGGCAATAATATAGTTCAAGATCACTATTATCTGAAAACAATATAATTAGAAATTAAAATGAAGATTGTCAAATCTCAAGAACTTCAAATTAATCTATTATTTAATTATAGTAAAATGATATTAGCAAAATATCTTTGGATAATAAATTTAATATTTCTGAATCTTAAAATTCTTATAAGCCAGAAATACATCCAATTAATAAATATAGAAATAAACCTAGTTTTTCATAAAATAAACAATAATTAGATTCATAGAATACTTATTTATAGATTGGAACTCCTCATCATTCTCCTGAATCAAAAAATACTTCCTAAATATCCTTATCAACTAAAAATTAATTTTCTTAAGCTCCAAAAATTACAAGTTTAATAGTCAACCCTCTAAAATAAAATTAATAACTTTAATAATATAAAAATAACATTCCAAAGCCAACAAAACCTGAAAAACATCAAAGTCATCAGCAACTTTATGATACATCTTATTTTTCATAGTTATCCTAAATGAGCAATAGAAGTATTCTAGAAAATAAAATAGAAGAGGCAATATTAAAAAGTAAAATTGCTTTAGAAAAATTTGATTAAACAATTAATTAAACAAAATTATTTAGAAATTGATTATGCAAAATTCAATTAATTTTTATTGATGTATAATTCATGATTTGAACACTAAGCAGGCTAAACATCCATTGTAAAACATAAATAATCTAGTATTGTTCTAAACAGTAACATCATAAGCATATCCTTCACCTGTTCAATTATTTTTGAAACTTACCAACTATGACTTGCCATGTGGGACCGTATTTTTTTTCAAGAGCTTCTTTTATAGTTTTGCAGGCATTCTTAGATGAATATATATTTTAAAATATACCTCTATTGATAATACAGGAGAAGAATTATTTTCAATTCCTGAAACTATTGAGTCTTGTACTTCAGATAACATATCTGGACTCATATCTGTATCCTTACCTCTATTAATATATTTACTTTTATTATTGCAACTCCTAACATTTCTTTTTTCAATTATGCAAGGTCTTATGTTTCTTTTTTTTCTTCCATTATAAAAATTAATAGTTGAAAAAATATATTTAAACTTATTTTTATATAAAAAAACTTACCTTTACTTTTTTGTTAAAATAAATAAATCAAAATTAAATCATTACTAATTTATTTTATGCAAATATTCTTTGAGAAATCTTTGATAATTTAATTGGGTAAATTCTTTTCAAAATTATTAATTTTTTTGAGATTTCATATTATTTATATTACTTAGTTTATCTATATGATAATATAATTAATACAAAATGTATTTAATAAAGTTTATTATTGATTAAGTTTAAAAGTGATCATAAAATAAATGAAATTTGAGGAAGACAAGTTTATAACTAAAAGTATATGAATGTTGAAAATTGGAATTGAATTCAAATAGATTAATATATAAATAATTAGATTTTATCTAAAAAGAAGTGATTATTTTAATTTACAATAACATATGTTTTAGTTAGATAGTTGTATTGATTCAGAAGATTTTAATAAATATTTAAAATTAAAAAAAAAATATTGCAAGAATGCCAAACCATTTATTTAGAACTCATCCAAGAACCTACGGAAAAGATTCAAGAGGTTATTTATAAATAATATAAATAAAGAATGCAGAGTTTGCGGTGCTAGACAAGGTTTGATCAGAAAATATGGTATGAATGTTTGCAGAAGATGCTTCAGAGAAAACTATGAATTGATTGGCTTCCACAAAGTATTTATTCATTAAGAATTATTAAGTATACTTGAGGGAATCATAGTGAGATATATGTACATTATAAATATTAATTTTACATTCTCCCTAATGAATAATATGAAAGACAATCTTTTGAATATATAAATACATAGTTTAAGATATTGGCAATTCAAGATTTAATGATAATCTTGTAAAGAATAAATATTTAACTGATAAAATAAAGAAATAAGTAAAATATAGTGTAGTAAAAAAATCAAATATTTGACACATCTCTTGATTTAATTCTCCTTCTAAAGAAACCATCTATAATATATTATCCGGGACCCTAAAAAGGCTTGATTAATTCATACTGGAACAATTTCATGTTTTTGATTTCCTTTATGAGCCTTCCCAAAAGACATTGATGTTTTTCTGAGACTAGTATAATCATTGATATAACTGAATGGAGTTGATGGTTTCGATTGTTATTACATATTTTATTTAGGAAATGAAAACTTTTTTATTAATAAATCTTACGCTAACACTTCTGCTTTATGGTAATTCATATTAACCTGGACCTGGAGATTTCTCTTTTTTATTATTTCCTCTTGATGCAGTACCAAAAATAGCTCTTGGAGAAGTATCAGTTGTAATTCTAGGCGAATAATCTGCTGGACCAGGTCCTAAAATCATTGACTTTTCCATTCTTGGACTCGTTCCAATTTTGATACCATTTTTTTTAGTTTCTTATAAACTGTACTCTCCTGGACCAGGTAAAATATCTATTTTATTTTATCTCAAGCTTTTTGGTATTTTAAAACCTATATTGGATCGTATTAATGGAGGTATATTGTAACATCCAGGTCCAGTAGCATAACAATTTGATTTTGCTTTTTTTTGTGCTTTCGGAATGATATAAGCAGGTGAAAAAAAATGGTTTGTTTAATTATATTATGCTGGACCTGGAGAATCATAATTATTTGTTAATTATCTCTTCTCTTATGAAAATTTGAAACCATGAGTGGTATAAGACAATTGATTATATCTTCCAGGTCCTGGAGAATCAGATATTTTGTAGAATGAGTCTTTTGAACCTGACATAATTGCTCTTGGGCTTTATCTAAAAGGAATAATAGGGTTATATTATCCAGGACCTGGAGTGTCTAAGATTAATATGTCTTTTTTTCTAGATCCCATAGTATATGCTGGTGAATTAGGTATTTTACTGTAAAATGTTTAGGTTAATTACTCTATTTTATTGATTAAATTTACCTTATTTCATTCCAACAACTTTAATGAATGAATATAAATAAAATTAATTTAAGTAAAAATTGGAAATGAATAATATGAATTATTTAATTCTTATGTTAAATGATAATCCTAACATGTTTTTAAATAAAAATAAGATCATAAAAAATTCTATTATTCACAAGAATACAATATATTATTTCATATTTATTATTATTAATTATTTATTAATTATATTACGCTTAATGACATCATAATATTAATATTAATAAATGGTTGGAAAAAGAAGATATTATAAATTATAACATGTTCTTTTATTATTTGTTTTCTATTGCTACAGCCAGTAATTGCTTAAATTCCTATGGATAAGTTGTAGATTATTGGTTGATTTTTAAACTACCGAAAGACTCCACAAATCAATATACAGGTATGGAATATCACTATTGTGATTCTACAACATAATGTGTAGAACTAAAGTATTAATCTGATAAATTAAATGATGTTACTTCACCACTCTAAATAACTATGAATTAGGTTCATTTTAAAGATACTACTACTATGAATGTAATTTGGAATGATTAGCCATTTGATAAGGATTACTATCCTGATATGGCTCACTCTAAAGGAGTCTTGAGTGCTTCTTTAAATGGTCAAGGTTTTATTATAAATCACTCAACTCCAAAGTTTCCTATCATGGATTCAAATTATGAGTAAAATTCATTTTCATTTCTAGTGAAATTATTTTAGGGATGCCTACTAATTCATTTACTTATGGTCAACATTTTATGTGTTTTAGTATTTCTACTTCTGAAATAGAAAGAATTGCACAATAATTAATTATTGCTGAAGTTATAACTGTTAGGGCAAATTCTCCTGCAGATTTTAAAACTATATACCCAAATCTTTATAGTCTAAAAGATCCAACTAGACATTCAACTTATAATAGTGGCTCTCTTACTTCATAAACTAGATAAGGTTTAACTTTATAAGTGATTTCAACAAATTAACATAATTAAGTAGATTTCTATGCTGCTATTGTTGCCCCAAGATTAAAAGTTGGATTAGTTGTTGAAACTTGGGGAAGTGGTGGATTATAACCAGCTGATTGTACTTCTGCATTCTAAACATTCAGCAATTTGTCTAGATTACAAAATGTAATATTTCATATTTAAATTAGGGATATAAATTTTCATATACTAAAGATCATTCAAAGTTTGGTATTTCATTAAGTTCAAATATTCCTTATGTCTGTATGTCCGATATTAATAGATAAACAAGCCAAAATAAAAGAGGAGGAACTGCTATATGTTTTATACATTCTAATTTATGGTCATAAATTAATTATTCATTCATCGAAAGGCAAACATGTTGAATATATATAATTTATAATTTAAACTTTATTTACTTAATATAATATTTATCTAAACATAGGATTTATTATTAATTTACAGATTGTTCTATTATATTGATTAAAATTAGTAAATGAATTCATCTTCATTTTTAATTATAGAACACATGATTGAAATCATTTAGATTAAGATTTCTCTATGATAGAATTTTCATTCACTTAATATCAACAACATTATTATTATATACAAAAAATTAATAAATAATTTAGAAATAAATATCGAAATAAATTTGAGATTTAAACTAAGTACTAAATAATTTTATAAACAAAATATATATATCAATAATAGTTGCTTAATTATATAGGTATATTTAATTCTAATAGAATTTATAAATAAAAGACCGAATGGGGAGACTCACAAGAATTTACATAACTTAACTTTTTAATTTTGAAGAATAGAATTTGATTTTGTATATAATATTTGACAATTTTTAAAAAGAATGTTATTATTGATTCGATTAGATAAATATTGAAGTTAGGTATATATTTTATAAATTATCAGTGGCTTGTATCAAAATCAAAACTTAAGCTATCCAGAAATAAGAACAGTAGTTCTTATTAATAAAATAGTGATTATTTATTGATAATATTAATATATTTCAAAAGAGACACTGATAAATGTTCTGTTGCAGTAATAAAAGGAAATAAAGAGAAGAAATTGTTTCTATGAAAAAGAAGAGTAAAATCTTAACTGTATTTTTTTTATTTAATATTTACTAGGAATTCTCAGAAGAAATAAATGATGAAGCAATGACACTCTACTAATCACCATTCTGTCAAAATATTTCATTAATGTTTTAATATCCTGCAGAGCCAAACACAATGAGGTAAAATTTAGATGCTTATTAATTTAGAACAGGTTCTAATACAAAGATTACCAGATCAGTTGAAAGACTTACAAACACACTACCTTAAATTGTGCCCAGAAAAACATCATTCAATAACTTTAAATATTGTTAAACCAATCAGAATACAAAATTTGTTTCAATCAAAAAAGGATTTACCTTATTAGTGACTAAAACTAATCCTTGTTGAACTCCTTATAATATTTAACTTTATTTTGTATTAATCCTCTATTATAAATATTAATTACAATTATCTTTCACATAAAGACTGATTTCTATATTATTAATATTACACATATAATTGATATTTACGTCTTTTTTCATTCTAAAAGAACATTACATTAACAATTCAAATTTTTAATGCATTTTCTATTTATTGTACTTCAAGATTAAAAACTAATTATTAAGAATGATCATATATGAAAATTTGATTCAGAAATGTAAATCAATGTTATAAAATTCTTATAATTGAAATTAGATTGGTAAATTATTGTAAAAACATGTCATTTTAATTTTTTTTATGAATATAATTACGTTTTTGAAGCCTTTATAAAGAAATAAAAGCATTAAATACAAATAATTAATAAAATATAATCTTAGTGTTGATATGTTAGCATTTTAATCATGTAATCCATCGCCAAGTCAATAATCTGGTCTCTAACTTTTAAGTGTAAATTAAACCCATGAGATACAATAGTCTTAATCATCATATTTGCTTTAAGCATTAAATTAATTTCCATAATAACTTTAACAGAAAGCTTAAGCATTACAATAAGAGAACTAAAAATTAAAAAATGAAAATCAACTTCTGCAATAATCATTCAATCATTTAGAGAATAAGTAATAAGAGTTGATTAATGAAGTATAAAATCATTACAATATTAGATCCATGATTTAAGATAGTTAATTAAAAGAGTTTATCAAGAAGGTGAAATGTCTGTTTAATTCTTAAAAAATAAAAATGTATATTATTATTAACTATTCAAGGTCATACTTGAACATCATAATGATAGTTTAGAAAAATCCCTCAAAAATTTATAAAATAATATACATATGTTTGGACAATTAAAAGATCTTTCATAGCTTATGTAAGAAGGAGATGATCATTGAATATTAGATTTATCTTAACTAAATACTATTTTATAACAAAAAAGATATAATTATTATTTTAAGTATCAAATTAATTATAATATTTCTATAATCTATATAAACCATCTAAATAAAAAATACTTCAGAAAAGCTATCGAATTCATAGATTTTGGAATCCTTATCCTTTCTTTTCGTATTTACCTTAAAATATAACAGTAATGCTATAGAATATAATAAAACTTTGAAATTTAAAACAAAAACGCACTTGATTGGTATTTCCTTCTTATATATAAATTTTCATAAAAATTATGTAATCTTCAAATTGCCTACATGAACAAAGTTTTGCTGAGTTGGCTAAATCAGATAACTCTCATAAAAGCTCATTAAATACTCTAAATTCATCAAGCTTTTTATCATTTGAAGAATTGGAAAGCTTTACAATGGAAGATATCTAAATAAGTTATGAAGTAATTCATAATTAAAGTACTTCAAATAACAAATTTAATTTATTAAAAATTATAAATGAATCAGATGTTTAAAATTAAAATAATTATTATTGTATAATAGTCAATTTTATTGATGAATAATTAAAATAAAAAATAAAAATAGATGTTTCAAGGTATTCATTTGAAATTAATTTTTTTGATTTTACAGAATTAAAAGATTAAAAAGACACTTTATTTTTAAGTGATTCATTCACTAATGTTAACAAATAGTTGTAATAATTTAGAGATTGTGTTTCGATAAATTCTTAATTTTGCAGAGTTATTGTATTTTCTTAAGACTTAGATGAAAGAATTATTAATTTAATCCATTTCTTTCCATATATTTATTATTTTACTGATTATACAAAAGTAAATGAAGAATACTTAGAAGGAATAAAGTTACATTAACAGTTTCAATTATTTGATCTCAATTATAAAACCATAAAACATTTAATTTAATCATCGTAATCAATTTATCATTTATTAAGGCTATCTAAATTAAAGGATATTAAATATGCAGGGATTTAAATTAAAGGATAAGTAGATAATTTTGATCAGATTTTTGAAATAATATTTCATCCTCTGTTTGACTACTAAAAAATAAAAAAAAATAAAATTTTCTTTAATTATAACATACCTTTTATCATTGCTAATTCATATTTTTACTTGCCTATTCCTTTAATAATAAAAGCTTTAGATATTACAGATTATTATACTTTTTAATTTCAATAAAGATTGAGTTATATATCTTTTAATCCTTTTGAGATGGAAGGATATGAAAAGTTTTATTTGCTATTAAATGTAATGAATAATAAATAATCAAGGCATTATAAGATTAAATCAAAAAAGACGAACTTTTTTTTTCTATAAATTCAAATAAAGAATTCAATTCTATTGATAGTTTGCTTACATTAAATTAATTTAAATAAATTTAAGATTTGAAATATTTATTAAAATAAGAAGATGAATATTTAAATTTATTAGAAAAAATTCTTATATATTTTTCTTAAAGTTTGAAAACAAGAATAGAAAAATATATTTTATTTGTTTAATTAAAGTAGCATATCCTTTATAGATACCAAAATTCTAATTTGATTTATTGATTAATATGATATATACCCTTAATAATATTTATTTTTATAATTTTATGAATGAAAAAATAGTAGGAACAGAGATGAGAAAAAATAACAGAAATAAATTGATAGAAAAAATACTTAATTAAAAGTAGAAGATTACTTTCAATAGTGATATTTATAAAATTTAACTTAAAAATATGTTGAAAGAAATAAAATAAAGAGAGGAATAAAAAATTAAATGCTAGTATGAATAAGATTAAAAATTAACTTGGATTACAAAGCTATCACCATAACCTAGACATAAAATATGCGCCACTTAAAATGTAAAACTTAAAATTTTAAGAACCACACGAAATGAAAACATTAAAAAGAAAAAATAAGGTGAGAATAATGCTTTTAATCAATAATTTAGTTTGAATTCAAACTCTAGATGTTCTACTAGTCCAAATCACTTTAACTTTAGAAACACAATTTTAATATATCCTACTTATATCAAAGATACTGATAAAGTTATGGAATAAATGACGCTAAAAGATTAAAGATGTTATTTTGATTTTAAAAACATAAGTAAATTTTCGAGTTGGTCAAGGAAATCATCAAAAAGTTTTATTAATTGAAGCAAATTTAAATGATAAGTCATATATAATAAATAATTATGATTAATAGAGATTAACAATTTTATTGAAATTTAAGTGCATTTCAATTTTATAAAATTATGTGTGAAAACTATTGCAGAATGCATCTATTATCTTAGTTGAAGCAGAAAAAAAATCTTGAATAGAATTAACCTTTAATTTTATATCGTAAAATCTCTTCTATAGTGAAGAAAGCTAAATAGCAAGCATAAAAATCAATGGAAAAGACATAAATTTAAGCTGTCTTTGATGAAACAAGATTTTAATCTTCTAATAGACAATCGATTTATAAGCAAAATTATTCGAAAGAAATAAAATACTAAATTAATCATTAAAAGGAATAGTAAAATTTTTTAAATTTCAATAAAAATGATAATTCATCAAGAAAATATACAAACTCAAGAATAATAGAAAAAGATTTTCTTTAAAATGATTAATAATATTAGTAATCTCCTTTGAATTATAGAAATGATCATAAGAAAGTGATAATATTTTCATCAAGAAATACTCCTTAAAGAAATAATATAAATATTAGAATAAATTTTGATACTTTGAGAAGTTGGAGAAGGTATAGTTAGGATAGTTCTTAATGATATTTTATTGTTATTTACTTGAATTGTTTAAATAATTAATATTTAGTTATTGGTATTAAAATAAATTAATATTAAGTAAGCATAGGAAAATAGAAAAAGGATTTAAACAAATGAATGATTACTACTTCTATTAAGAATTGCTAATTTAAATTTGTTTATTGTATGTAATTAATCTACTGTATGTTTATTAATCATTTTGGTGCATCCTTCTTTCTTTGTCTTCTTTATTCGACTTATTTCTTTCTTTCTTCTTCAATTAATTCCTTTCTTCCTGCATGCCAGTTTGGTCCTTTTCTCTTTTATTATGGTCCTGTTGTGGCTGTTGAAGCTCCAAATCTAAAACAATAAAAAAAGTCAAGACCTTCTATTGAAGCAGATTCTTTTATAGGCTCTTCCTTTTGGGATTTTGTGTCTTCTTACTTATTTTTCAACCTTTGGAGTTTGCTTTCTAACTTTACCAGCTTTTGCTAAGGTTCCGTGAAGTTTTCCCATAATAAATTTTTTTAATAAAAAGATTTAAATTTATTTGATTAATCAATCAAAGCTAACATCTTCTCTTTGCTTAAGATTTTTAGTCCTAAAATTTTTAGTTTAGATTTAAATCTTTACTAAATTATTTATTAAGATTAACTAAATAAAGATATATATATATATTTAAATAATTTGACAAGTTTAATTTTTTATTGAATTATTATTTTTTATATTCCTACACATTATTATGATAGTTAAATATTATTATGATTTAAAACTTACTTATTATCTTATCTTAAAGATAACTATTAATTTATAGAAATGATTTCTTTTAAGAAACAATTTAATAATTAATGAAATACTTAATATTTAAAATATTAATTTTAATGTTTTATGAAGGAATTACATCCATTGTACATAGTGGTATATGATATTGCTATTTAAGAATTTTATATAAAAAGTGGAAATGGTCCTTCTATTTAAAGGAACATTTTTGAAAATGTTGATTATGATGATTATGAGAAATAATAAATTGAAGAAATTAAAACGAAAATGAAGGAAAAAGGTTTGTAAATAAAATTAAAAAGAAGTATATTATTAAAAATGTTGATGAATTCTCAATATAATATTGAAAAAGCAATTATTGTATGATATTTTTTATACTAAAAACACTTTAGAATTGCTAATCTCATTTAAATTTTCTATAAGAATACTAAAAACAAGATTATATTAATGATTTAAGGAAAGGGTATCTATATGTTTGTGGATTTGACAATTAATTTCGTCCTGTCATAGTGATTAGAGAATATTGCGATATAAAAATAATTGCTTACTTTTTAGAAACAGTTAAAAGACAATTATTAATTGATTATTATGTTGAAAATTGGACAGTTATTTTAGATTTAGATAATGATTTACCAGTTTTAGAACTTGATGATTTAATGTTTTTGTAATTGCATTTTTATGGAAACTTAAATAAAATTTTAATAGTTAATGGGCCAGATGATATAGATGACATTGTTAAATAGTTTACTGGTATTCATAATCTTAATTAAAATTGTAGAAAAAATAAAAGATTTATAAGTTAAAATAAAAATAATTACAGAATATTAACAAATATTACAATATATACCAAAAGAATAATTAGAAATCAAATATGGGGGTGATTTAAATAATATAGAATTATTTTGGTAAAATGAATAAATTTAATATAGGCCAATCTTAAAAAGAGAAACTCATACTGGTACAAGTAAGTTATTAAAAAAGAATTCTCATTTATCAATAAATTCTATGGGTAGTTCAATAAATAAAAAACCAAGTTTCATGAAAATAACTGTATTAGAAGAAAATGGAAATCCTTTATTAAATTAATAAGTGGAAGTTTTTGAAGATTAAATAGAATCTTAGTAAGGAGAACAATAATAACAAAACAATTTTTAATAATAATAATAATAATAATAAGAAGATTTCGAAGAAAAATCTAAATCTTATTAAAGCACTACTACAAAAAAGTAAGATCAATAATTTATTTAAATTGATGATGATGAAGATGATTTGATTGAAATGGAAAGTGAAGATATGGATAAAAGAAAAGGAAAAAAACAAATTACTAAAAAATATGGTGAAGCTACTAAAACTACTACTTATTCTTAAAAATAAACTATTTTAGAAGGAGAAAAAGAAATTCCATCTTCATTTTCTTGTTGTTCTAGATCTTGTTTGATATTTTGAGATTAGATTAAATTTTAAGAACATAATTTTGACTATTTTATGTTTTAAATTATATTTTATAAATATCATAAATCTTCATGGATTAGTTGATTATGTCTTTCTTTAATTATATTTGCTATATTTTTGGCTTAAATCATCATAAGTTCCATACATGAAGCTAAACTTTCAATTGAATTTAAGTAAAAGAAATTCTTAAAATTAAATTATAAAAAATACCTTTTCATATTCAAATTCTGTATTTAATAAACTTTAGCTTAATAAGGGATAAGCTGCATCCCATACTTTCTTATGAACTATTTAATGAGTTTCAAATATTTAATCTAATTATAATTCTTCTCTTCCTTAAACTTTATAAATATTCCATCCTTAAAAGCATTTAACACATTCTTATTTAAGTTCAGTTACTTTAACATCATCAAGTATTATGATTGTATTCAAATCTTCTGGATTTACACCAATATATTTTTAAGAAATCTTTCCTGCTACTACATATACATAAGTGCTTTAATATTTTGCATATTAAAAATTATTCATTTCTCTAATATTATCAAAAGATATATCTAAATTAACTAAAGAAGCAACAACAACATAATCATATTCATCATTAAAAATTCTATATTTACCATTTTACAAACGATGAATAATATCAACTTTAGAATGTATTACATTTATATTTTCTTCATCAATTATTTATCTATTTCCTCCTTTTATAGAATATGCATCATTAAAAGCAGCAACCATTGAAATTAATCCTGCAATTGTATTAACATCTTTTTAATTATAAATTGCTAATAAAATTGCATCTATAAATTCTTCTTAAAAATTTTGATCAATTCCATTTTCATTCAAATATTCTGTAAAGTTCATTTTTATATCATTTAATTTAATAATCTATAAAAATTCATTGAGATTTTTGTAATATAAACCTCTTTCTAAAAACGAGTATATTTCTTGAAAATTTTTTAATACATCTTCTGTAATATCTTTTATTCTTTTAGGTGAAAGACCATAATTATAAAGCATTTTAACAATATTAATCACATCAGAATCAGTTTTTTACAAAACTAATTATTTATTTTTTATGACTCCTAGCTTACCTAAATCTCTTTTATAGAATTCTAAATTTTTTTTGTCTATTTATTTTTTTACATATTGATTTTCTTGAATAAAAAATGTAGCTCCAAATTCAACTGCATTTAATCCAGGAATTAAAACATGATTTATTCTACCTCCACATTAATAATATGATTCATAAACAGTAGCTGTTGGTATTAATTAAGCTAATGTTGCACCTCCAATACCACATCCAATTATAGCTACTTTTTATGAATTAGCTAGTATTGAAAGCAAATTTACTATAAAAATCATTAATCATTTACTAATATTCTATACTAATATAAAATCAATAATTCTATTGTATTTGAATTTTAACATATGAAAAAATTGATCCTTTTAAATATTTTAAATATCAAAAATTAAAAGGATAAATATGAATCTTAAAAATACATAGTTTCTAATTTTTGTAATGATATTTGATTTAATATTATTGCATATTTGCTATGAATTCTTAATCAGCTTTTTATTAATTATAAAATTTATGGATCATAAAAAACTATTAGAAAATGTTATGATTGATTTGCTCAAGGATCCAACTTGTCCAATTTATCAAGTATAACTAATTTATTTATTATATATAGTATTAAGACTGGCAATTGATAAGTATATGCCAATAACTATAATTACATAATTTCAGCAATATAAAAGATTAGGATTTTCAAAATAAGTTTGCTTAGCTCTTTATAAATTATTTGGAAGCAGAAAATGAAATTTAAAATATTTTAGAATAATCCTCAATAAAAAGAAGTGATTCTAAAAAAAATAATGAAGATCGTTCGCATCAAAACAATTAATGTTCATAAAGTAAGTTTTTAATTAATTCAAATTAAGAAGCAGATATTCAAAAATAGGAATAATTTGATACTTTTAGGAATAAGAAAAAAATCAAATTAAAGTAGTAAAAACCCTCTGATTTTTTGGAAATTGAAGAAAAACCTTCACCTCCTAATTCAGCAAATTAACAAATAGTGATACCTTAAATACCAAAATAAACTCAATATACTTTTGATCAATTAATTGATAATCTTCAAGATAAAAACTTATAAAAAGAAAAAACATAAAAAATCACCTCAAATGAATAAGAATTAAATGAATCTATTATTTAAAGATAAGTGTATGATCATGATCTAGAACCAATAAAAAAAAAAAAGAATAAAAATATTAAAGAATTTTCAAATTAAGTTCAATCTATATAAAAATTAAAAGCTAATGATAATTTTGGAAGTAAATAGTGTAATAATATTGATTAAAGAAAAAAAGAAATTGAAAATAATATTGAAAACTTAATAATTGAATAAAACATTAGGAAAAATAAACAAATTTAAATTTAAAAAAAACCATCAAGAGCAATAATTGATACATCTCCTGAAGAAGGAGAAATTGTTATTTAAATTTCAGATTCTGAATCAGAAAAATAAAAAAAAACTTCTGTTTTTAGAAATTAGAATGGAAAATACTAAATGGATGATCTAATCTAAGTGAAAAACAATAAAATATATCGAAAAGAATATGTTTAAAAATAAAAAATATTTACTTAATTAAATAATACAAAAGATTCAGATTAAAATTAAGAAAAATAGATTAATCCTATATAAAATTCTCACAATAGAATAGAATTTGAAATTCAAAAGCGCAAGTAATAATTAGAAGATTAATATAACATAATTTAATCTTAGCCTTCTTAATAAAAACAAAATAAAATATAAAATTTAGAGAGAAATAATTAAAATAGTTCTTTAACTAATACTAGTAATAGTATATAGTAATAAAAAAATTCATTGTAAGAGATTTAAAATGTAGATTCTGCACCCATTTTGAATACAAATATTGGAATTCAAAAGGAAGCTAATTTCATTAATTAGAATCAATAAATGAACCAAAATGATTATTCTGGAATAAATCTTGAAAATAATAATAAATCTCTTAAATAACAAAATCTTTATAATTCATATTTAAATCATAATAAACAATAATCATGCCCTAAATAAATATAAAATCTCATTTAAAATCCTTATATATCAAATAATATGTTTAAGTAATCAAATATTTATCCTTAATCTGCAAAAAATACAAGTAGAATTCTTGAAGATGATTAAAATATAGAAGGATTATAGGAGAAAAAACCAAAATTAGAAACCATAAATTTTAGTAAAAATAATGTTGTTTAATAAACAACATTAAATAAACATCCTTAAACTAATTAATGTAATTATTGTAAATAAATTGATGGGAAAATTAAACTAATAGAAATTGAAAATGAAGTTAAAATTTGTTCATGTTGTTTACTTGAGAAATTGAATCCATTTAAGAAAATTATTTATACTTTAGGATATTTAGAATATTAATATTAATAAAGAACATAAAGTAAAATCCATCTTGATTTTAAAATTTCATAAGAGCAATTTTAATGTCCAGGAATGTAACTAGAAATTAGATGCGTTATGATGAATAAAAATGGATTAACAGATTTTACTTTTCCTAATAGTTGCATACTTCACATTAATGGAGTTATAATTAAAGAATTTAAACCTCTTATTGATAAATCATGTTTAAAAAAAAGAAAAGATCAATGCATCCTAATCAATCTTAATACATTTCAAAAAACATATGGAATTTAAAAAAAATACACTTTTACTTGTGTAGAAATAATTCCAGAATCTATGATGAGGTAAGAGATTCCATAATAGATATACATTTTTGGATTGTTTTTAGTTTAAGATTTAAGTTTAGATTAAGTTATTAATTCTATAGTTAATTAGAGTATGTTGTCTCAAATTAAAATTGATGCATACAAAAATGAAATCAAAGTAGATAAAATTAAAGTTAGTCTTATTTGTTAATATTCCTTTGATTTAATTAAAATACCCGCAAGGTACTAATTAAATTATAATTTAGAGGAGAATTTTGTTAACATTAATAGTGCTTTAGCTTAAATAATTATTTGGATATGATGATGCACGCAGAACATATGAAATGGATATGTCCAATTTGTAAAAAAAATTGTATTAGCTTGAGAATCGATCATTATTAGTGGGAAATTTTAAGAAAACTTTAATAGTTAAATATTAAAGTTGATTAAATTACTGTTGATTAAAATGTAAAGAAATATTTTAAAGTATAAAGGGTACTTTAGATTCTAAGGATCCTTTTTATCCAATAATTTAGGATAATAAAATTTAAAGTTATGGTGATCTTATTTCATAAGGATATTATAATTTTGAAAGATGTTTTCTTTAATTCGATAATGAAAATGAAATTATTTCTAAGAACAAATATCAACCTTAAGGTGAAAATGAAGTTAATGCTATTCTAATTGATTGATAAATATATTCTTAATTGTATAATAAAACAATTATAAAAAGTTCAAAAAACTAATTTTAAAGTTTTCTAGATATTTATATATAATATGAATTCTTTTTTATTTTATTCTGATCTATTTTATTGTTTAAAATAGCATTTTAAAAAATTCATTCTTAAATATTTATTTATAATTTTGATTTATTTTTAATAAGTTCTTTAAAATTAAATTGAAATGGGGACAAAATAATTTGATTATGAATTTTGCCAAATAAAATTGTCATTTATAGTTCGTTTTTGATTTAAAATGACGTTGTTAAATTACTTATATATCAGATAAAAAATTATGAAATTATTATTCATTATAAATTTTAAGTTTTGAACTAACAAATGAGCATAGAGATGAAACCAAAATATCAAGCTTTCAATATGTCTTATGATTATAGGGCACCTATATCTTGTCCTTATGGATGTACAATAAAACTAGTAGAAGAATAATTGTTATTGCATGTAACAAAATGTTGGAAATAAGACGATTCACTTTTTGGTCATTGCAAATATAATTATCTTCATATTTATCCTTATTCATAGTTACCATTTCATGAATAAAATTGTACTAGCAATATTCCAATGACAGAAGAGGATTTTGCATATAAACCAGATCCTATCTATAATAATTAAAATTTAGATTGGATTTAAGATGAATTGTCTTTGAAATACGCTAAATATTTTGTATCTTACATCATTTATTTATTAGCAACCCTTATAAGAGTAGGTTTCTTCTTTATCGAATGAAGAAGAACACAATAAAAATTAGCAAAAATAAAAATAACAGGATAATAACAAAAATTAACAAATATAAGAAGACTACGAATAATTACCTAATCAATGTGATTAATAATAATAAACAGTTTCTGATGGGGAAACTGACAAAGAAGTCAATGAAAAAGAATAAGAAACTGAAGATATAAAAAATTTTAACTTAACTAAAATTTAGTTACAAAAATAAAATTTAGTTGATTTAAATAATAAAGTAATTAATATAAAAAATGGAAAGGAAAATTAGATAATATCTTAATCAGATAATACTGAAAACTAAGAAAAAGAAAAATCAATAACAAAATATATTCAATAATTGCTTAAAAAAATGAGAAATATTTTGTGATTTTCAAAAAATTAAAAAAATTTTTTAGTAATTATATTTAAAAAAATATGGTCTTATTCTTAAATTTTATTCCAAAATTTTGTAATTGTTTAAATTTAAAAATGTAAAATCTTAATAATGAAAAATCATTGGTTTATCAAAGTATCAAAGAATGCTAAATCAAAAATTCAATATGATATAATAGTTAACTCTACTACTCAATTTTTAATAATCATCTGTTAATAATATAAATTAAGTGATATCTGAGAGAGAAATTTAGATTATATCATAATATTGAAGTATTATATAATATTTATAAATAATTATAAAATGATAATCATTTTATAATGCATTATTATAATTATAAAATAATAATTATGATAAAAAAATTAATGAGTGACATGTTCTAAGATTTGATTTTTTTATAAAAATTTTTCCAATTTTATTTTACTAAATCGGATTTTCTGTTTTTTTTAAGATGATGAAGTATAAAAGTGATGAATTATAAAAAAGTAATAAGTAAAAAAGGAAGAAAATTAACAATAAAAACGAATAAAATAAAATAATACTTTTTTGAGAGAGTTTGAATTTAAATACATAATAATATAAAAATTATAAGAATGAAGGATTATTAAATGATTAGGAATGAACAAAAATAAAGTTTTTAATGTTAGCAAATATTGGTTGTTTTTAGTATAATACATAAATAACTTGAATGGCCACATTGAATACTAATTATAATATTTCATATTAATTGATACGCATTTACAAGTTTATAACAATAATTTACACTATTGTTTTATTCGAAATTAAATATGTGTGGAATTTTGGCAATTTTCAATATAAAAGGAACATATATAGAAGTGCGAACTCTTGCTTATAATTTATCAAAGAGATAAAGACATAGAGGACCTGATAGATCTAGAATTATAATAATAGTAAATTGATTATATAATTTATAAAGGAAGCAGGTCCAGATACATATCATATACTAGCTCATGAAAGATTGAATATAGTAGATTTAAGTGATAGAGGAAGACAACCGTTTTAATTAGTAGATGATTAAAATGTCTACTATATGTAAAATGGTGAGCTGTACAATTATTGGTCAATAAAACCAGAATTAGAAAAAAAATACAAATTTAGCAGTAATTCAGATTCAGAAATAGTTGGTATGCTTTATAAGGAAGTAAAAGATTTGGTTATCATAAAAGTATGGTGCAAGTGATTTTTGGAATCATATGGATGGAATGCATGCAACAATAGTTTTGGATATGAATAAAAAGACTTATTATGCAGGAAGAGATCATATAGGAATAATACCTTTATATTATGGATATAATAAGGATGGAGCATTGTTTTTGTCATCAGAATTAAAGGGAATTCATGATTAAGTAGTAGAAGTGAAATAATTCCCACCAGGTTAGAATTTATGATTATAAAATAAAAAGGTCATTATATAGATGAAACTAATGAAATAAAGAAATGGTATAATCCAGTTTGGCATAATTTTGATTACATTCCAACAGGAGAAATTAATTTTTAAGAAATGAGAGATAGATTTATTGATGTTGTAAGAAGAGAAGTTAAAGGTGATGCACCATTTGGTTTATTTATATCTGGAGGGTATTAATATAAAAAATAATAATTTTAGAGTAGATTCATCAATAGTGGCTGGTATAGTAGCAAAATTAATAAAAAACGGAGAAATTGATTTGAGTAAGAGAGGAATGAGAAAAGTTCATTCTTTTTGTATAGGTTTAGAAGGATCTCCAGATTTACATTTTGCGAGAAAAGTAGCAGAATTTCATGGATTCGAACATCATTCATTTACTTATACAGTAGAAGAAGGTTTAGATTATATACCTGAAGTCATTTATCATACAGAAACATTTAATAATACAACAATTAGAGCTTCAACACCAATGTATATGATGTGTAGAAGAATTAAAGCTTTAGGAATTAAAATATGTTTAACTGGAGAAGGTAGTGATGAATTATTTGGTGGTTATTTATATTTTCATAAAGCTCCTAATAGAATTGAATTTCATTAAGAATTAATAAGAAAATTGAATGATTTACATAAATATGATCTTTTAAGAGCTAATAAAGCTTGTTTAGCATGGGGTATTGAAACAAGACCACCATTTATGAATAAATAATGGATTGAATATGTAATGTCAATAGATCCAAAATATAAAATGATCAATGCATTCTAACCATAAATAGAAAAATATATTTTAAGAAAAGCATTTGAAGATTTAGAACATCCATATGTTCCATAAGAAATATTATGGAGATAAAAAGAATAATTTAGTGATGGCGTTGGTTACAGTTGGAGAGATGGACTTATAGAAAGAGCAAATCAATTGATTTCAGATTAATAATTTTAATAAGCTTCAATTACATATCCATTATCAACACCTAGAGATAAGGAATAATTTTGGTTTAGATAAGTATATTCAACAGCTTTTCCAAGTGATAGTGCTGCTTTAACTGTACCTTATGCTAAATCAATAGCCTGTTCTACTGAAAAAGTATATATTTATTATAAACTTTTAAGGCTTTAGAATGGGATGAGGCTTTCAAAAAAAATACTGATGAATCAGGAAGAGCTGTTTTATCAATACACAATGATGCTTTGAAGGAAATCTTATAAGATGAAGATAAAATAACAGATGAAAGCATCAAAGTATAGGATCACTTTTAACTGTGATAATCTATAAAAATAAGTACATTAAATAGTTTGTTAAATTTCTTATTTTATTTCTAAATTAATTAATATTAATTATTTATTTTTATTAAAAAATAAAAAAGAAGGGAGCATCAGGGTTCGCACCTGAGACCTACAGATCTGCAGTCTGCTGCTCTGCTACTGAGCTATACTCCCTAATTAACTTTTATTTCAAATTTACAATTATATAGATATTGTAATTTATTCATCCATTATTTCTTTATTCTAAATTACTCTCATTTATATTTTATCTATATTACATTTCATTATATAACTTAATATATTGATTATATTAATATATGAGTTTGACATGTAGGTATTTGTATCAAAGAAACAAATGCTCACTTCAATAATACTAATATTAAGATCCCATAAATCACTTTCATGATAATCTTCAAAAATTTAACTAATATCTTGTTCACAACAATAAACCAATTTTACCTCCTATTAAAGAATATTAAAGACATAAATCTTATTCAATTCAATATGATTCTTAATTTTATTTAAACTTACATCAAAAACATCCTTATTTAGATAAAATTAAACCAAAAATAAAAATGAGGACATAAATTTCTTAAAACTCTGAATTAGAAATCAGCTTATCTTTACAAATAAGAAAAGCTAAATTAAAAGATATTTCATTTAGTAGATAAAATTATTAATCAAATGGGATGCAAAAGAAAGAAGAAAAGATTTTCACATTAAATAATTTATCTAATTCATTCAAAAATAAAAAATAAGATAGTAATGAAAAATATCTTGAAGAACCTTAATAGACAAACAAAATTAATGAATCATAAATCTGCGGTTGGTTATAATTAAATAATGAAGATAATTATTGATTAATAGTAATTAATTCTTATTTGTCAATCATTTATTGTATTTAAAATTCATTATTATATTTACTTTATTCTTTTATTGGTAAAGGACATAATAGAAAAGTTTTATGTTAACCTAAAATATAAAATAGAAAAAAAGGATAATTACAATTCTGATATGATGATTGTTATTTTTTAAAGTACTCATTAAATGGATTTTAAAACTTCATAATATATAATGATAAATTCTTCATATGTAATATTTGTTCAATTAACTATTTCTACTTAACCTAATGGGGAACTTCAGTTTATTCAGTATTGAAATTAATAATTTAGTAAATAATGATAGTCTAATTCAAAGTAACTAAAATAATTTAAAATGTAAAAAAAAACTAATTTGATATTTTACTCAGTATTAGATATATATTTTAGATTGGGTTAGATATTCTATCAATTTATTTTTCAAGATATACTATTTAAAATATAAATAAATAATGTAAAATTTAGAATCACAAAAAAAATTAAAACCATATGTTTTAATAAAAATTCAAACTTTAAATATTAACTCAGATCTTTATGGTAATGATTTAAGAATGATAACTTAGAATTAATGAATAAATTCTCAAAAATTTATTATCAATAAATAATCATAACATAAAAATTATCACAAAAATAAAAAACAACTTTTTCCAAAATTAAATTTGATATTAAAGACATAGTCATACAATTTTAATTTTACACAGGATGTGCTTTAACATTCATAAAACTATCTATTAAGATAATTAAATTTAGATTTAACCAATATTAATAAACTAAAAATTAGTAGAATATGCTTGTAAATCATTCTAGCTGACAATTAAAACAAACCACAGGGAAGAAATAGAATTCTTTAAAATAAAGAAAGAACATCAGTTTTAAAGATTCTTTTCAAAGAAAATATTAAAATATTGTTTAAAAAATGTTTTATTAATATATTAATCTTTCATTAATTAAGCAACTTTTCTAATTCTCCCACTTTTTTTTCTAACAAATTCATATGAGATGTCGATTCTAATCTCTATTCTATAAATTTTATTTGATCTAAATTTAAAAATTCGACCAAAGGTTTCCAATTAAGATTTTACCTTCTAACTATGGGAACGAATTACTCAACAGTTTTATCAAAATCTATTTTTAATAATTCAATAATTTAGTTAAAATGTGTATCTCTTGACCTTCTATATTTTGCTAAATCAACTATAAGATTAGTATTATTTTTTTCTTATAAATCTAATATCCATTATCTTAATATGGAATTATCACTTGTATTTTGCATGATGTATTGATAAACTTTAATACCATCATTATAGTTAAAGAAAAATATGACGGTTGTTTTAAGAGCATTCAATAAACAATTTTAATACTATGCAAACTCCAAATTTATTGAAGGCTTTTAATACTTGCTCAAATATTGATTAATTTTCTCTAAAATTGCTTGCACCTAAAACCACTAGAATTGACCCTTTAATTAGTCAGCCGATTTACTTAAGCATTTAGTTACTAAGGCATAAAACTATTTAGTTTATTTGTCAGATTCTTAGACTTTTATTAATATATCTAAAAAAGCTAAATATAAATTTGATAAATCTTAATTATTTAAAATTTTAATTAAATTTGAGTTAATCAAATTGTAACAACATTTTTATGTTCCATCTTTAATATTATTTTTTACAGATTATTCTACCATTTTAAAAATAAGTAAATCAAAAATGATATAAAATTAGTTATAAGAAATACTTTTATAAAAATGGCTTGATGATAAAATATGTATTAATTTTTCTAAGAATTCATTCATTTTATCATAATATTCTTCAATTAATAGATTAATTAATAGAAAGATAATTTATTCTGCAAAAGTTTAGGAGTTTTCAATTAAATTTGTTTCTCTAAATTTGTAATACATTTATTGAAAACTTCTTAAAATTATATCAATTTCTTTATCTTTGTAATTTATAATTTAAGAGGAACTGATATTTTTATTTCCACTATTGATAACTTAAGTTTATGGTAAATTAAAATTTTTTTATTAAAGTACTTTTTTTTATGAAAGACTTTGCAATATTATTATTTTATCAGAAAGTTATTCTTGGGTAAGTTTCTGAGAACTTTAAGTTTATTCTAATTTATTTAATTTATCAATATTAGAAAGCATAATTCCTTCCATTTTTATTGAAAGCCTTTTTTAATCCAAAATCTTTTCTTATAAATCATTTTCTTTATTAATTTGTAACATTAAAGAAACTATTATTTATTTTTATTAAATTTAAGAATTGGAATTCCAATCAGAAATGCTATCTTACATTGATTGAATTATTTAATTAGCCTAAGTATTAAGTGTATCTTCAAAATCTTCAAATTTACCTAATTGATGTATTTAAGCAATTTATAATTTATAATCAGCTAATAAACTCATAAGTAAAGGCAGAGTTCTTTATGCTAATTTTGGCATTCCATTTCTAATGTATAATAATGTCATCATTTTAATATAAGATGATATAATTTATTATTCTAATAATGTAAGTTTTTGTTATGAAGTCAAAAATTAAAATAACATGATTATTTCACTTTACAAAGGTATATTTTCCTTAAACCATGAGATTAGATAACCCCATTTAAAAAAGATTTCTGCAAATTCTCCTGCTTATGTAATTTTTGATCTAATATAAGATGCTGCAGCTAAATTTAATTAAGGATTGTAACTAAAAAGTTTATCATATAAAATTTAAGGTATTTATGGTACTTTTAATTATTCTTTCAATTAATCAATTTATTGATCATTAAATTATGTTAAAGAAAATGGAATTATTGGTTTTTATTCAGATGGAACTTTTTTAATTTCAAATAAAGATTTTAATGCATTTTAACAATCTATGACAAGCTATCGTGTTTTTTAATTAGATTAATTTTAATAACCTTTTAAAAATTCAGAAATTAATTATTAATCTAATGTTTTATCACTTAAAGGAATATATTTTAATAATAGTTATAAAATTTCACTTAATTATATTTAAATAGGAGAATTCTTAAAGCTTATAATTAATTAAGAAAAATGATTAGGCTTATATGATTAAGAACATTTTTCAAATAACTAATAACAAATTTATTTTTAGTCTGGTAATTTATCTACTATATAATCCATAATGATAATTAGAATTTGTTTGGATTATTATGTAATGGTTAGTAATATATTTCCAAGTTCACTTTAATCTTTATTTTTAATTTTGTATTATTTAAGGAATACTTCAACTTGATTAGAAGTCATAGTAGATTAATATTTAACATCTTGACTTTCTTAATTGGCTTAAGAATAAAGGATAGGTTGGGACTTATTTAAAGTAATATCAGATTTAGTATTGATAATAGCTTAATTTTATATGTTTTCTTTATTAGACTATAAAGTTGACTTTTAACGATTTTAGATATCTGAAGTATTACCTTATATAGCTTTTATTCCTTCAAGATATATATTAACCTAAGTTTAATATTTTATAAATTTATCTCCTTTTAAATCTGAAGCCATAGAACCATGATACAATTAAACTGATATTTTTGCTAACATATTGAGAGCTTTTGTTCTTACTTCTGCATTACCATCTTCTGTTAATTTTTTACAAATAGGTACTAATTATTTAAAACATTAGAGTTTAATAAGCTTTTCTTTTGGACATTCATCTAAACAATATTCAATAAGTATAAAAACATTAATTTTTGGACTAGATGCTTTATCATCTAATAGTGTTTTAACTTCTTCAAATAAATCATCTAGAGTGCAACAATAAATAAACTTTTTTAATGTTGTTATTGTATCATCAATAATATTTTATTTCTTATCTTTAAGTCTAGCAAATAATGGTTATATTAATATTTTAACATATTATAAAAAGTTCTTTCTTAATCCATTTGCTAATAGTCCTGCTATTTTTATACTCATTGTACATATTGTTATATTTTATTCATTTATTAATTTCTTCAGTAATTAAACTATTGAATATACATTTGGTGATGGTATCATTTTAGCAACTGAACAAGCTTTTTATAAATTTTCTAATAATTCTTTTTTCTCTTACCATTTCTCTAATTAAAATACCTTTTCACACCATGAATCTGTAAATTTAGGAAATACTTCAACTGCTTCTGCTAAATCATATAATTATTAATTTCCTGTCTCAAAATCTCCATCTTAATTTGGAGCCTTCTATACTTATATTATTGTTTCTCCAATCTTTTTTAGTTCTTATTATAGTTTTTCATTCAATCCACCAAAAAAGGCTTCTATATTCTTCCCAAACCATTTAGTTGTTTCCTTATAAAATGATATTGCATCAGCTTTTATTGTACTCTATTATGCCTCTGTTAATTTTGATAATATTGGAAAAAAAGGTTTTAAATTATCTAATTTCTTTACACCATATTGTTAAAGTAATTCTAATATCAAACTAATAGTTGCTTATACAATCTTAGGATTTTTATGAGTTAGTTCCCCAATTATAATCTCTATCATTACCTATTTACAATAAGGAAATAGTATTTTGGCCAATTAATAACCATTTTACTTCAATTTTTATTGTATCAACACTTTCTCTATCAACACTCTTATTATCTCTTTCTATTATACTTTCTCGAGTTAATGATTTTATTCAAAATATTTTAAGGCTATCTATATTGCTTTTTCTTAACATTAAACGTGTATATCTTGTATTATTTATAAAATGCACTCATAATCAATTTCTTACTCATTTCCTAGTTCCTCATAACCTTAAAGTCTAACTTTCCAAACTTTCGATTTTATTCTTTATTTTAATGGTAAATCCACTTTATCAAATTATTAAGGATCGAAATCTTTATTATTACATTTAAATTACCAGGAGGAAATTCTTCGACTATGAAATTCTACTTTTACGATCCAACCGGTAATTCATCAATATGCATTTTAAATTTAATTTTTATAAATTTTTATTTTTAGTATTTATTGTTAAAATATAAATTTCTAAATTCAACTTTTCTAATTTATTTTTATGAGCATTTTATTCAAAATTATTTGAAGCTTATATAATTAAACATTTAGATTTAAATTTTTAATTCTTATACTTTAAAACACTTTTTCATGTTTCTAAATATCATATTAGATTATATTTAAAAATCATTTCTAAATATAATTACTATAGTATTTAAATATTAAAATAAATAACTTTAAATTATTGTCTTAACAACTTAGACTAATATTATACATGTAGTTCTTAAAAAATAATAGTAAATATATTTTTATCTTTTATTGATTAATATAATTTTGATAACTTGAAACATCAAGAAAATAAATCACAAAATATTTTAAAATAATATAAACAAATCAATAGCATATGTGTGTTTCATAAGGAAAATGATTCACTTATTACAAGGAATGTTTTTAAGATTAAAGAATAATTATTGGAGTATGTGGAAATCTCTTTTTAAAATGTTATAGTGATATTTATGAGTTCTTTTACAAATATTTAATTGTGTTATTTAAAGAGATTTTCTAGCAACATATTGAATTAGAATTTAAGATTACGGTTAAGAATCCTTTTTAATAAATTAGTATAAAAGTAAAGAATATTATCGTTGAGACTTTTAATTTGATTAATATTTTTATTATATATCTAACTGCTAATTTCATGAATGACTCTTTGAGATCTTTGTCAACTAATGATTCTTTAGAAGGGCAGACTAGAAAAAAAAAGAAAAGCAATGCTACATCTAAAAAGACTAATCGTCCTCAAAATATTAGTTATACTGAAGTCGTTGATTTACTTAATCCATAAAATTTATTCATTAACAAAAATCTAGAAGAAGAATTTAATACTATTGAATTGTATGATTATCATTTATTATAATAGAATTCCTGAGACTTCTTATTTTCCTCACTTCAAATTTATTTTAGATGAAAATTTAACTTGTACAGAAACAAAATGGAGACGTTTACCAACACTTATTAAATTAACATAATGATATTGATTTTATTATTTTTGCCATTTGCTAGTTTTAAATTATTTATATAAATATGCTCATTCATAAATAATTCATTTTTTATACTTGCTTTTTGATATTTAAACTTACTTCCATTGATAATTTTATTAGACCTTTTTACTTTAAAGAAAAAGAATACATTTTATGAATATTTTATTATATTCTACTTTTAATAATAAAATATAACAACATGTTTACAGAGTTTCTTTATTTTTTAAGATAGAAATAAATGAATTTAGAAATATATAATAATAATTTTCGTATTTTGATTAAAAAATTAATCTGAATAAATCAATTTAATTTGAAAGAAAAAATTCTTCTTTGGTTTACAATGTTTTAAGCTTTGGATTTTTCAATTTTTTGTAATTATTTTGGCTTTTAATGAAATATGATAGAAAATTAACTATTCTCTGTATTTAAAGAAGATTAGTTATCATCATTTTAAAAATAATATTGATACCATACCTTTAAATGTTTTAATAATTGATATTTTTGATCAAGAAATAAAAAATGTTACCTACAATCAATGATTAATTATGCAAAAATTATTAAAGATAAAAATCCTATTATTGCCCATCCAATATTTATTATTTATGTAGAATTCAAAATTTAACTTTACTCATTAAAGCTAAATACCAAAATTAAAATTTCTGTCAACCATAAAATAATTTCGCAAGTTATTTATTTGATAAATTCATTTTAATCTTCTAAGGGTCGTTTAAAAAATAAAAATAAAGCTTACAATAAATTTAACAATGAAACAAAGCTTATTTGTAAAACAGGAAAGTTATATAAAAAAACTAATAATGCCATAAAAAAACACTTCTTTATTACTATTAATATATTGAAATAAGAATTGAAAGAATTTTTACCCAATTTTAATCCTTCAAAAAGTGATCCATAATTTTATTTAGTTTATTGTAGTTTGTATGTAGGTACACCTTTATTCATTAATGAAAAACAATTAAATAGAAAATAGATTTCTAAAAAAAAGGCAATAATTGCACATATACTACTTAATTTTAAAATAGGATTTTTAAAGTTTAAATCCTTAAATTACAAAAAAATCGCTAAATTAAAATCGTATGTAGAAGCCATAAAAGTCCTTATTAAAGCACTTTTAAATTCATTAATAATTTGTAAGAAATATTTTGAACAGTTATTTGTAAATTTATAAAAAAGAAAAATAAAAATATTTATTTTTTCTGTCTCCTTTAAAATAATGTCCTCAGTAAAATCTTTTGTAATTTTATGAAGAAAATATAAAATTATTCTAATACTAATAAAAGTGAGAGTAGTTGTTAAAAATACAATAATGACAGAAATGATATTAACAAGAAAAACTGTAGAGTATCCTTCTTAATTAAATTTTGGATCAGTTTAGGGAGTATCTACATATTGACTAATTATTTATTGAAAATCAAAATAAGATTTAATAAAATCAAATTCAGCAAATCCAAAAGATGTAAAATAATATTAAAGATTGTAAGGATAAGTTATATTAAAATACTTTAAATAACAAATTAGTTATAATGTATCTAAGAGATTCCAAAATATTTCTAAACCTCCAAAAATAATAGCTAAGATTGCTAATCCTAGTAATATATAAAGGAAGTAGGAACTAATTTATGTTAAATTTTGGGCATTTTAAATTACTAAGTCATCTTATTGAATAAAATCAATTAATTATAAAGTTGCAGTATTAATATTAAAGGAATAACCTTAATAATTAGTAATTTATTTATAATTTTAAATTGTAACTTAAATTGATGGAGATTATGCAGATGAATCTAACTAAATATTTAAATCTAAAGCAATATTAATATAATCATTTTTGATTTGTGAATTATCAGTAATGTTGATGAGAGTCAAGTTGAGATCAGGAGTAGTTGAAATAACTTGGACAAAATTTGATATTGAACTATTAACTGCGATTTTAACGTCTTAATTAAATTTTAATTAAACAATTCTTTTGGAATCATAAATAGTTTAAAATTAATATTCTTTTAGTAATATTTATAGATAATTAATTTTTTGGCATTAATTATTACAAAAATAACCATCTTCTATTTTACAATATTAATCACAACCATCCCCATTCAATTGATTCCCATCATCACATAATTCTTAGAATGTTAAAATTCCATCTCCACAGATACTAAAACATTAATTATCAATTTAGAAAAATCCTTAATCTTAAATACAAATAAGACATTTGTTAGTATTTGAATTATTAAATTTACATGATGTACAATTATTTTATCGTGATACACATGTTTGACATTCATGTGAGCATTAAATACATGAATAATCATTATTTAAATAATATCCATCAATACATTAAATACATTAATTAAATTAACAATTTAAACAAATATTATTAATGCAATTATTATTTGAAAGAAAACATTGATTGCATCCATCCCGTTAATCTAAATTACCATCATCACATTCTTCATTCCATTAAACAATAAGATCTCCACAATAAGAATAACAATAATGTGTAATAGGAGGATTAATTAAATTAGTACAAGGTAAACATTCTAAATATCCATCATCAAAATATCCTTTTCTACATTTGCATTCAAAAGTATCAAGATTATTTGCTTATTTCTATCTTGTTTTAGGACAAAGAGTGCATTAAGACGGTAAATTTGAATTATTACATTTGCTGCATGCATAATAACATGGCAAACAAGTTATTTCATTATTATCATAATAACCTAATTAACATATACATTTTTAATTCTGCAGATCTAATCTTCTAAAATTAAATTCATTGCATGATGTACATATGGAATAATTGGTACAACTATTACAGTTGTCATTACATTCTAAATTAATTATTATTATTACTTAAACATACATCTGTCTTATTGTCATAATATCCATTTTGACATATACAGTTATTTTCTTTTGATAATATTCTATATTATTCAGGATAGCAATTAGTACAATATTCCTCTTTATATAAACAAGATTTGCATAGAGTTATACATTTTATACAACTTGCATCTAATCCAGTTTCAAAATAACCTTCTTTGCATTAACATTAATAATCTTAATATATTCTATTTTATTCAGGATAACAGGTTTAACAAGTTATTGCATCAGAACAAGTTTTACATGTTTGACTACATATTTAGCAAGTATTTGGATAATTAAATTTTTCCATGTAATATCCTAAAAAACATTCACATATATTATTATTATATACTTTATGCTCATTTTTGTCACAAAAAGAACATAATTAAATCATATAAGAAGCTTTTTCAAGTAAATTTTGATTTATTGGATGCTAACATTTTGAACAAGATGGATGACAATAATCATTTGTACAGCTTGTCAAATTAGCCAAAACTTAATTAATTTTACAAATGCATAAGTTTCCATATTAATAATAGGAATCTTTGCAAATAATACAAGAGTTTTAATCTATACAGGTTTTACAATAATGTTAACATTATACACATGATCCATCAGAAAAATAATAACCTTCACTTGGGCAATCATAAAAAACTGGAAGAATTTAATCATTCTATAAACAAATTGAATCTGATTAACATGATTAACAATTTTCAGGGCAATTTGCTTAAAGAATTATAAAATCATATAATGCACAATAGGTACTACTGGTTTATTTTATGTTACAATTGAACAATATTTCTATTTAAGTTTTTGAATGATCAAATTCTTATTCAAAATTAATTAAATAATCAGCATTTGTTTCTCCAAGATCTTCCTAAATTATGCAACTACCTGTGACTACACTACTAAAACAATATGAATTTGGAGAATTTTTATTCAAAGTAAATATTATTTCATCTATTGTTATTATTAAACTTTAATTAAGATCCACAGGGTCTATTAATATTGCTTTAAAAAATAATTTCACTTTATAATGTGGTTAATTTGTATTAATTACTAATTTTATTTACTAGTTTTACCAAATTCTATAACCTCCCATAAGATACCGTTTTTAATAAAAAACACAACTAGAAAAATTAACTCCAAAAATTTTCTAACACAAATTGTTGTTATCTATACTTTATTTTAATGGTAATGGATCTGAATATGAAATGCTTAAAAAATTGGAAAATTTATAATCTGTTTATATGCTAATACATTCATTACCAGAAGTTCTTGAAATTATTGGACATTCATCATAACATTCATTCTTAAATTTTTTTAATGGACAATTGATTGAAGGAACTGTTATTCCATTAACTTAAATTTTAGAAATTGCCCATGAAATTCCTTATATTTCTAAAGGTAAGTTTATATATAATTATAATAATGAAAGATCTGTAATATTTTCTATATTGTATCCTATAGTAAACTTTAAACATGAAGTAAATCCAATTATATTACATTATTTTTATTTAAAAGCTCCTATAACTTTTAAATTATTTAGATTATTATCTAAGACTATTAAAATTTAACCAATCAAATTATTATTATATTTAATAGAAAGAAAAAGAATCTTACTTATTTATGGAAAATTTAAAAGATAAATATCTGCTTACATTAAAATATTAAAAGTTGTTCCTGATGGTAAATTAATCTCATATTCTACAGCTTCATTTTAAATAAAGGGTCCTGCTACTTTTTTTCCTTCTAAAGTAGTTTTACTAATCTTACCTAATCTTTAAGTTGTATTATAGTCAGGTATCATTGTAAATTTAGATGCTGTATCATCATAAAGTAAATTTATTAATTGAGTATATTCCAAGCATGTAGTACCATTAAAAATATGATTAATAGGACATTAAGTTACGCATTATCCTTAGAAATATGTAAGAAATTATTATTTACAAACACAATTTCCCATAGAATTAAATTCAAAATCAGGCATGCATTCTTAACACTTTTAATTATCAATACATTTTTTACAAAATTCTTAGCATCTCTCTCCATAAATATTTAAATTTTTAATCCAAAATGTATTTGCACTATTTGAAGTAATAAAAAGAGTTGCTTATTATTCATTCATCTATGTGTCAGAAGTAAATTCAATATAAAAAACACAACCTGTTTAAGAGCAAAAATTAATTGAAATACAATGTACTTCACTTGGTAACGTATAAACAGTTATTCCACTTTCCTTAAACTATATATTTGATATTGGCAATGTTAGAGCGTATAACTCAAATGTATAGAACAACTTTGTGTAACCATAATTTGTATTGATTTTGAATTACATAACTCTTGGTGAGCCAGTAGTTGAAGATCGATAAAATGTTGAAAGAGTTTAGCAAGTCAAGTTTTGGGCTGATGTTGATGTGTCTAAATAATATGATATTTTTTCATTAAACCCTCGTGATATTACCTGATTAATACTAGATAGACTCATCATTACCAAAATTATCGATTTATAGAAGAGATCCATTTATATACTTATTTTATAAATCTAACTATTTTCTAAACTAGTAATTAAATATGTTTTAATTCTGATCATTTTTGTTCACTTGAAAAAGTGATTATAAGCATAATGTTTTTGAATATATTATTTAATTTAATTTTGTATTCTATTTCTCTGGAATGTAGAAATAATAATTCATAGAAATAAATAAGATTATTTTACTATATTTTTATAAGTTAATTAATTCTATATTCTAAGTCTAATTTATTTATTTATAATATAATCAATTTTAATTAATTAAATAGCTTCCTAGTGGTAAATAGATAGCTTATTATTGTTAAAGATGATAATGGAGATAGTTATTATAATAGTTGAAATCTTCAAAAATAATTTATTCTGAATTTTGTTTCTTTATTTAGGCTATTGCTACTTGGCCATTTAATTATCCACTTAGAATCTAATTAAAAGATTTATAATACCTTAACTATATGATGACTTTCATTATCATTTATGTTTGCTATACAAATCTCTATTTCAACTATATCATTTATAAAATGTTCTTAATTGTTTGTTAAAAGAATTATTTAATTTTTATCATTCTTATTTATAGTAAAATATGTTATATGATTAGGTTAATTAATAATTTCTTCAGATATTTTTTAAGACTAGGTATCTGCAGGAGTAAAATAATTTAAGATTCCATTATTAGCAATAATCATTTTTGAAATTTCTAAATCACTCTTTTCTGGATATTATAGTCTTTTACTTGATCTTTTTGGAACAAGCATCTCTTCAACTTAATATTTTTCTTTTAATCTATTAGGTGCCTTTTGAATTTCATATCTGTAACCTGATCCATATTTATCCATAAAATTTTAATCATATCTAACATCAAAGTGAGAAGAACGTCTTCTTTTATTATTTGATAATTACATTGAATCAATATCTTGAGATTAATCAAAACAATTCTACTTAGGAGGCTACTAAGAAGTTAAATCATATTCAAATGCAATATCTTATTGAGAATTTGCATTTGATTTTTACATTAATTTACTTATTTTACTCTTTTTTCTTTTTTCATTATGATTAGAATATTCAATTTCTTTGGATTTAAAATCCTCTTCATCCAAAAAAGAATTAATATTTTTAGAATCATTTTCACTCTTTGGTTTAAAATAATCTTCTATTGTTTTTTACTTTGAATTAATATTATTTGAAGATTATTTAATTTCAATATTTATGATATCACTTTTAACAATTTTAGATAAATTTTTTTTATTTTCATTATCTTATTATTTAGTTTCAATTTAGTCATTATCATCTGAATCTATTGTTAATTGTTCTAAATCATCTTATAAAATTTATTTAGCTTATTCATGGGCTAACTATTGCTCATAATTTTTAAATTACATTTTTTTAATCTCTTTTTATTCTTCTTATTAAATTTAATTCTTTTAAATTTCATTTGTCCATTAATTCAAACTTTATTATTAGTTAATAGAAAAATGAGGAGTTTCTCCCATTTGTTAGGATTTATGAAGTAATTAATCAGAATTTGTATTTGATTCAAAATTTATTTTTTCAAAATCTAAAATACTTATTGGTTTATCTATTTAATTGATTTTAATATCTTTAAGAAAATCTGTCATCTTATTTTCTTCTATAAAATTTTACTAATCATTTGATTATTCTTGAATTTTAATATTTTCAATTGAAGCTTAACTAATTTAATCTATACCTAAATTTTAACAACTTTCTTGAATTTCATCATCATTATCTACAATAACTGCATTATTTAATTAATCACATTATTAATTATAATCATATTATTAATTGTCTTAAAAACCCAATTATTCCATTTATGCTATCAAAGAAACTTCTACCTGATTACTTACTTAATCCATAGAATTCTTTATCATATCTTCAGTTTATGATTACTATTGAAATGATATATCTGGAATTTGAAAATCATTAAGACCAGAATTATGATAAGTTATTTCTACAAAATCACTATTTAAATCAATTGAACTATTATTTCGACCTTAATTTGATACATCTTCATTAGTTGCAGAATCTACTTGATCTTACATAAATATTATATTCTATTCTAAAAGTTAACTTCTTTCATTTAATGAATTATCTGATAATGTAGCTATATAAGATTTATCAAAACAAATTTCTTTTTAATTATTATTTGATTCTTTTTCTTCAAAGTTTTAATCATTATGTTCCTCAATAAAAAAATATTGATTAGAATAGTTAATAGTTTTTTTATTTGAATTATTCGATAATTAAGACTTTTCTCTATAAAATTTGACTTTATTAATAACTTCCTCTCTTAGTTCATAATTTAAATATTCAGTCATTTTCTTAACTATGCTTTACCAAAGATATCTTGCGTATTAATTCTTATTCTAATTCACTATATCAAAATAAAGTAATAGTAAAATCCAAATCTCTTTTCTATTCAAAATTGTAAACCCAATCAAATCTTTTTCTTCAGGTACAAATAATTAAAATGTGATGTGTTTACGAAGTAAATATTTTGGATCATTAAACATAAGATTTATACTTGTAAAACATTTCATATAATTTCCATCTTCTAAATCTGTAATATTTGCTTGAATGTCTTAAATTAATAATTATTGTTCTTATTATTATGTTTCTTTTTTTTAAGTATTTGTATGCTTAAACTAAGGATGCTCCTCATATTTCCTTAGTGAGGACATAAAATTTTTATCAACAGATGATAATCTCTTCTTCTACATAATTGTTAAATATATAAATATTGAATTTTAAATTTTGAAAAATTATTTGGCGCTTTATATAATCCTTGAAAACTTTGTTGCTATCTTAAAATTATATCTGTATAGCGAATAATTTCTTTAATTTTTCTAATCATTGTAGCTAATTGTTCTGTTAAATTTTCATAAATTTCTATATATTGTCTCCACTCCTCTAATTAATTTTTTCAAGCATGTATTTTAATCTTCATATTGTCTAATATCAGTATTCAACTTTAAAATTTTTATCTGATTTTTTATTCTAGTTTAAAAATATTTTTAATTTCTTCAAAAATTATCTTTAAGTTTTAGCAAGTCTTTATGAAATAACAAAGACCAATATAAATTTTAATCTTTTTTATTTGATTTCAGCTTTGAAAGTAATTTCTAATTCAAATTATAATAAATTCTTTTTATTAATCAATTATTGCGAAATATATTATAATTTTTTATTTTGTTTTTATGATATGTTTTTCTTTTAGTGTAAGAAGAGTATTTAAATATTCAGAGTTTTTCTTATAATTCTTAAAATTTCTTATTTTTATTGAATAATTTGCTTGTATTAGTTGTATAAAAGTGTATTTAATTTCTTATTTCTTATTTTTTATTGTTTCTTTTTTAATTTGTCCATTTATAATTCCACTTTCAAATCTCTTCGACTTTCCTAAGCATCTGAGTTTCATCTTCAACTCAATTTATTTTTTATTATTATATATATTCGGCGCTTAAGAATTCATTTTAAAAAGATGATAAAATATTATTTTTTTTAATTACAAATAATTTAATCTAATATTAAAAGTACAATAGTTTATAAAAAATTTTTAATGAATTTTTTATTTCCCAAAATAAAGGCAAGACCTATTAATCTATTGGAAAGTTAATGTCAAAGTGCTCTTAAAGAAATTAGTTCAACAAAATAAAAGCTCTAGAAATATGATTCCAAAAAAAACTTAAATAAACTCAGTTTTTCCGAAAAACTATCAAATCATTAGATAAGAAAAGTTTCACAGGCAATTAATGAACATTCTACAGATCTTAAATAATTCCCAGAATTAAATAAAAAAAATGTTTCTGTTAGCAGCGTTGGAATTAATTCAAAAACTGAGAGATATAAAATTCATCTTGATATGATTGAAAATTAAAATCCAATTTAAATACCACATTTAATCTTAAAAACCCCACAAAAATATCCTCCCATTTTATCTAATAAAATTTTGCCATCTGCAAGAAGGTTTAAAACAGAAGTTAGTGATGGTACATCATAATAAATTTATAAAATTTCGAATCATTTTACTATTCAGACAGTAAAAGATCGGCAGTAAAAATTAGTTAAAAATATTTAATCATTAATTGAAAATGTTAATTCATCAAGAGATGAGAAACTCTGTAAATTATTTGATAAGTTAAAACATGATTTAAATTTAGATGAAATATCACTTGAAAATGATTGAGTTAAGAATTATTTTTATACTTCTCATTTTTAATATGAAATTCAATATCAAATGGCATTTTTCAAAATTGTAGAGAATTGAACTTAAATTTTCTATTCTTTATTCTTGAGCTAGAGTTTATTTCAATCATTTTTTCAGGTTCATTCGAATTTGAAATGTAACTGATTATTTTCAGACTTTATTTTCCTTCAATTTATGATGAGTTACTTTAATTGGTATCTAGTTTAATTTTCTAAGAAAATTTTTTAGGTATAATTTTGTGTTAGACTAATTAAAATTAACCTAATTTGCGTTTAAATTATAAATTTTCCTGTCTTAAATTCAAAGTCAATGAGGAATGATGTTTATTTTATACTTGTACTTATTTTATTTTTGGCAATATTACTCCTATTTTTTTGTTCTTATTTTACATTTCAAACATTGCCTTCTAATAAATAGTTTTTAATANAGGCAAGACCTATTAATCTATTGGAAAGTTAATGTCAAAGTGCTCTTAAAGAAATTAGTTCAACAAAATAAAAGCTCTAGAAATATGATTCCAAAAAAAACTTAAATAAACTCAGTTTTTCCGAAAAACTATCAAATCATTAGATAAGAAAAGTTTCACAGGCAATTAATGAACATTCTACAGATCTTAAATAATTCCCAGAATTAAATAAAAAAAATGTTTCTGTTAGCAGCGTTGGAATTAATTCAAAAACTGAGAGATATAAAATTCATCTTGATATGATTGAAAATTAAAATCCAATTTAAATACCACATTTAATCTTAAAAACCCCACAAAAATATCCTCCCATTTTATCTAATAAAATTTTGCCATCTGCAAGAAGGTTTAAAACAGAAGTTAGTGATGGTACATCATAATAAATTTATAAAATTTCGAATCATTTTACTATTCAGACAGTAAAAGATCGGCAGTAAAAATTAGTTAAAAATATTTAATCATTAATTGAAAATGTTAATTCATCAAGAGATGAGAAACTCTGTAAATTATTTGATAAGTTAAAACATGATTTAAATTTAGATGAAATATCACTTGAAAATGATTGAGTTAAGAATTATTTTTATACTTCTCATTTTTAATATGAAATTCAATATCAAATGGCATTTTTCAAAATTGTAGAGAATTGAACTTAAATTTTCTATTCTTTATTCTTGAGCTAGAGTTTATTTCAATCATTTTTTCAGGTTCATTCGAATTTGAAATGTAACTGATTATTTTCAGACTTTATTTTCCTTCAATTTATGATGAGTTACTTTAATTGGTATCTAGTTTAATTTTCTAAGAAAATTTTTTAGGTATAATTTTGTGTTAGACTAATTAAAATTAACCTAATTTGCGTTTAAATTATAAATTTTCCTGTCTTAAATTCAAAGTCAATGAGGAATGATGTTTATTTTATACTTGTACTTATTTTATTTTTGGCAATATTACTCCTATTTTTTTGTTCTTATTTTACATTTCAAACATTGCCTTCTAATAAATAGTTTTTAATAAGTTAAGAGTATGAGTACTATCTTAAGGAATCATGAAAGTTTGAATAAAGTAAAAATTATATCTATTTAATAAATAATCTTTATTTTATTCTGATGAGTATAATAAAGGTATTAACTTAAAATTTTTAAGCCTCAAGATGTTAGTGTTGATTTATATAATATATAGAAATAAAATCAATATTATTAATTATGAAATAGCCATTGTTAGATAATTACTATAAAGAATTAAACTTAAACTAACTTTATTCTGTTAGATCTTTAAAAAAGACACCTTTGGAGAGATTAAGTCATTAAAATTATTTTGTTCCGAACATTTTAAGTCCGAAGAATAATATTTCGAATAGGAGTAGTTTGAAGGGAGGAGATGGATTAGTTATATAGAAGCTTCATCGTTCTTAAAATAATTCAAGAAATTTACCTGATATTTAGAATGGACAAAAAGGAATGAAGAATAACTCTCAACCTTACCTTCATCATGGATAGAAGAAGTAATATAAGATTCAAATAGAACCATTGGAAGAGGAACGTTTAGCTATTCCATATTTGAGATTGAATTTCAGATTGAAATATGGATATAAAAAATAATATTAAGATAAGAAACAAAAAAACAGCATAGAAAGTGATGATCTCAAATTTTAGAATAATAAAAGTGTTAGTCTATTTAGAGAAAAATAAAAAGATTTTATACATAAAGTTTCAATGCAAGTTTAAGAGTTATTATTAAAAGAGAATTAATAAATAAGTTTTGGTTTTGATAGATTAGAAAAAGAATTGTTATAATAAATGAAATGAAAAAGGTTTTGATTTTTTTTTAATTTTTGGTTTTGATTTGTTGTAATATTTTATCAGATTTCATTCTATAAAAAATGCTAGAATTGAAATTAATAAGATTTCATGGCCATAGCTAGAAATTGTTGTTTAATTTTAATCATTAATAATGCCATCTGTAGGAGATGAATTATTTTTTACATTAGGATTATCAATAATAGTTACATTTTATATTTTGTATGGATATGAGACACATTAAGTAACATTCCAAGTACATTATCCAAAATTACAATATTCTTTCTTTAAAAATGAACAATCAGCATTTTCGTATTCAATACATTATAATTTTTTATTTAATCCAGGTTATAAAACACCTAAAATATAATATAATAATTATACATGCCCCATAATTACAATTGTCTGCTCCAACTATAAATTTACATTCAGATTATCCATCTATTTATATACATTTTTTAGTTTCGGGATTGTAGTAACAATGATGCGAATCTAAGATACATGTTTCTTGATTTCCATCATTAACACCACATTAATCAAGAGGAATACATTCTGAATTGAAATATTAACATTAACTTGAGTATTTACAATTTTATAATGTTAATTCACTACAACTTACATCTTCTAAATTAAGACATTAACCATTTAGCCAAGCACAAATAGCTTAATTACAAGAATTTTCTCTAAAGATTTATTCACAAGGTGAATAAGCAGTAATTCTTCTGCAAATTTATTAATCGAAATCATAATAACATGATTAAGTCTAATCATCCCAACAATCTACAATTTAGATATTGTCATGACATTATTTTCTGGTTTTACACATATTTCCACTCTTATAACACTTTTCCCGATAAGTACAAAAATCTACTAATAAATCTTCACAAGCAAAGTCAAAAATTGATATGCAAAGATTTCTTGTTGTAGACCATTAACAAAGATTTTTTAATTAATTGGATTTCAATGAACATGAAATCTAACCCATTAATTCACATTTTGTAGTTGCCTAAATTACTTAACATTAATTTAGAACATAGTCATAAAAGCATGTTCCAGATTTATCACATTCTAAATATGTCATTTTTGGACAATCATATGCAAATTTCCAATAACAAATTTATAAGTTTTAATCCCAATCACATTGAGGAGGAGAAGCAGTATCAGAAATACACTCTGATTATGAATAAGATTGACAATAATAATCTAATAACTTCCCCTAACATTTACTATTATCATTATTATTATTCCATTCACAAGTTCCTAACCAATCACAGTTATTTATTCCTCTCTATTTACAAGGAATAGAAGTAGTTAATAATTTACATTAGTTCTCATAATCATCAAAATAACATTTAAATCCATGATCATTGTCACAAGATTATTTTGTCTTAAAGTCATTGCAACGTAAATAAGATTTGCAATTTGCTCCCTCCAAATAGCATTTTTCATTATTTAAACAAAGAGTTGTTCCTAAATAGCTACATGGAATATCAGGATCATTATATTCTACACATTTTATTCCTAACCATATACATGGTGCTGCACCACTCTCACACCTAGATTTCCATTTAATATCAGCACAATTAGTAGTATGACTAATAGTTATACATTTAGATTATTAGGCATCAAAATAACATCCTAATTCAGATTCATGACATTAAAATATCCCAGAACTAGCATCTATAATTTAAATTAATTCACACTGATTTTTTAATTAACATTTAGTGAAAAGATAGGTTTCTTAATCTTTTTACTGTTCCTAGACTGAAATAATTTGTCCAAATTCATAAAGCCAAGTTCCTTTTATTCTTCCATCTTTTTAATAATTATCAACATTGTTCATTAATGTAAAATTAGTAAGTAAGTCTAAAGTTTGAGTTTAATTTACTAACTCACAATTTGGATTCCATTAACAAATTGAATTTGAGTAACTTTAACAAGGTGCTTAATCCCATTCCTTCAAATAATAAAATCTAATACATAACATTCGTAATTCATAGGATCCCATAAACAACTACCTAATTTACATGATTCTTTAGTTACTAATTAATCGCATCTTGTATAAAAGTTAAGACTCTTAAATTTTATTATAAATTACCATGCATTTATCATTAACTTTATCTAAAACCACACCATCTTTTTAATTATCAGCTGATAAGTATGGGACATTTGCTTCCAAAATATAACCTGTTAAATTATATATTTGATACAAAAATTAGATGTTTTTAAACATAAACCTATATCTGCCACTTCAGAACACTAATCCCCATAAACTAACTTAATGATTGTTATCACTATGATTAAAGATTTCTTCATTCAAATATGAAAATATATTAAATAATTTAAAAATGAGAAAATGAATCAACCTTATTATTATTATTTATTATATGTAAATCTAGGAGTTCTTTATTTCCTTAATGAATGTATGTCATCAGTTTATTATGGTTATCTAATAGTATTTGTAGATGATGTGTAACATTCATTATATGGAGTTAAATTATCAGTGAATTTTATAAGTTTTTCACTTCTATGATTAGAATTTACTTCATTTAATTCTTCTTGATTTTTAGCTTTAAACTTTTCATTTATAATCATTTTATACTTAAATTCTTTATAATGGTTAAGATTAATCTTATATTGAATCTACTCTTGTAGGTCGATTCATCTTTCCATTATTTGGAGTGAGTTCTCCCATACAATTTTTTGTAAATTTTTTTGCTACTGCTTATCTCAATGATATTACTGGTACTACTTTTGTCTCTTTCTCTAACTACTCTTATAATGGTATTATAGTTTGATATTAAAGATATGTCATCCAAAATCCATACAAAGATATAACAGTTATTATTATTGAAATTATCAATAAAATTGTTCTTTTTGTCGAACTAAAAGATTTTTGCGCATCATTAAATTCTATAAAGCTTAATTCCATGAAACAAGATAATAATAATATTATTCCTGAACTTAAATCAAATAAAGAGGTCAAAACATTTATTATTACCATTATTTTCCCAATATATATTACTGATTGTCTGATAAAGAATGTCAGTTATAATATAAGCCCAAAAACAACTAAACAACCTATTTCAATATTATATTTCATTACCTATACTTAGCATACTCAAAGTTATTGTTCTTTAAAATACTAACAATTCAAATTGTTCCAAAAGACCAAATATTCCTATTAACATTAAAAGCAACCCTTAAATACCATTTGTTATCATCATTAAATAAATATAATGTTTGTAAGTAAAGAACATACAACAATAACAAACCCCTACACTTTAATCATTGTAATCCATCTTTCTAATTGATTTATTAATTATCTAATTATTTTCAAATACATTAACTTCAAAGCTTTTCATTTTTTATTCTTATAACCTTCCAATTCATTCAATTATTATAAAGTTACATTAATTTCTCTTTTAAATGTATAATTATTAACTTTCCTATATCCAATTTTTATAATCATTTCATTTTAATTTATTTTTTTATGACAATTCATTTTTTCCTTTCTTTCTTTCTCTTTTTTCTATTTCCAAATGAACGACTCAAAACTTTTATTCTTATTTCTTTAGTTTTTTTTACTTTCAATAAATTATGAGTTAATAATTAATCTCATTAACTAATTGAAACCTTTTCAAATTTTTGTTTTGATTTTCATATTTTAATCTTGAACTTATTCCAATATTTTAATAATTAATTATTAAATTCTAATCTTCTGAAAGGCTTTTATATTTTGAGTTAATTTAATCTATTTTAGTTTCAAATTTTAGGCTTATAATAGATATAATCACAATTAACAATTATAAATTCAATTTGTTAAATGGCAATTTAATATACTATAAAAACTGTAGAACTTATCATTTTCTTCTTTTTCAAAAAATTAAGATGTCAAAATTAAAATTAAATATTAAAATTTGCTTACAATTTGTTTCCTATAAATTCAAATAAATTAAGCATTCTAATATTAATAACTTATTTAAATTGTCTGAATAAACAAAAATGTTTGATCAATATAATTAAATAAAAACTAATATTAAAATTTATCAAAAAATGGGAAGAAAAAATAGAGATTTATCATATTTAAAACCATTTTGTTTTTACTGTGATAAAACATTTAAAAATGAAGTTTATCTACATTAGCACTAAAAAGCAAAACATTTTACTTGTTAAAGATGTTTTAAAAAGTTTTCATCCTGCGATTCTCTGAAAAATCATGTTGAATCTGCTCATCATGAAATTTTAACAAAGTAAAATTTGATTAAATTAGAATACCTAATGCTACTGGAGATAGAAGCGATATAAAAAATAAAATTTTTGGGATGTAAGGTGTTCCAAGAGTTGAAATAGAAAAAAGAATTAGAAAAGGAGCTGAAGAATATTGGACTAAGATTTTAAGTGCTTAGTATTAATAAAGAAGAAAAGAAATTAAATAAAGAATTAAGTAAATAAAAATAGTGACAAAATAAGATAATTTATAAGAGATTAGACAAGATGTAATTGTATTAATTATTTAATCAGAATGAATAGGAAGCTATCAATTAATATGAATATAACCCAGAAGCTAAACCAATTAGCTTTGATCTTGATTTTGATCAATTACCAAAATAATGAGGTATTTTTATAAATAAAAATAAAATATGCACTTAGACAATTAATGTAGATAATAATTCAATAGTTTGAATACAATAATAAATCTAAAATTAATTATAATTTAAGAGCAATTCTATCACATAAACTTTTATTGAAATTTAAGTCCTCTAAATTAATTATTAATTCTTTAATTAGGTTTGATTTTGTTTATTTTAACAAATTAATTACAAAAAGCAAATTACTCCTAAAATTTAAATGTTTCTAAAATAACTTTTAAATTACTAACTTTACAAATTCTTTAAAGATTTTTATAAAAAGTGTTCCAACAACATCTAATAATGAAATAATAGAATAGGTCTATTATTTATATTAGTACTCAAATAAACTAATATTTACTAAACAAATAATATTTTTTTATAACAAATGAGAAAAAACTTTTTTAAAGCTCTCTTTAATCTTCTTTCAAAAATGATGAATCTGAAGAATTTATTTAATTTTAATCTCCAGAAAAAATGTTTAATATTTTAAAATGATTCAACATCAACTAAAATAATCTAAATAAACACTTATATTTATTTAAAGAGTAAAATTTAATAACTAATTCTTAGTAATTCTATTTGCAAAAAACTAAGCAGAACTTAAATAATTTTTGAATTAATTAAGTCTATAATTTATTATTATGACCCTTTTAAGTAATGTAACAATTTATAAATTAAATCTTAATATTCTTTTCTTAATAGATTTATGATAACAATATATTTGAATGAATTGAATACAAAATATTGAATTATAGATTAAAATCGATCATCATTTGTTACAAAAATTTATAATTAAGTTAAAAAAATCAATTTTTCTCTAGAATTGCTAATTTAGCTCTAATGCTGGCAATATATAAATTATTTGCTTCTTCTTCAGCTTAAACATCTTTATTTAATAAGGCTAATTTTTCTCTCTCTTTAGCCTTTTACTCTAATTTTTATACATTATTTAAAACATTTTAAACTTTTTATTCATTTTCTAAACCTTTATTTTCTATTATTCTTAAATAATTTATATATTTACTTTTCCCATTAATCTTCGATGTTAACTTAAACTTTTCTTTATTATTTCATTTATTATAGATAATCAGTTGTTTTTGGTTTAGGTGGAAGTTCAGCAGGTTTTTCTTATTTTTCTACAACTTTTTACACTTTTTTAACAATTGGTTTAGGTGGTCTATTTTCTTAATGATTACTTTGATCATTTATTGAATCTTTTGAATCATGGCTTAAATGTCTTTATTTAGGAATAAACCGTTAAATTTTTCTGAGATTTTACTCAGTAATTTGAATTTCTTTTATTTATTTAGATTATTCTTCTTTAGGAGGTGGAGATTATTTAGGTTTTACAGGGTGTTCTTTAAAATAAATTTCTTAAGCAACATCAGCATATTTTAATTATTTTAATCTGGCCAATTTTTTTTATTCCATTTCTTATTCTCTTATCAACTTTTGCATTTTTGACTCTTCTTCAACTCTTATTTATGCTTAACTCTTTGGAAATCTGAGAGATTTTTGTTTTATCTCATGTTCAAGTTCTTATTTATGATGTTCCCTTTCATATTCTTTAATTTTTCTATCCTCTTCATATTTCTTTTAGTGTTCTGTTAATTCGCTTAATTTTATTGGTTAACTCAGTTCTCTTTTTTGAGCTAAAACAGCCTTAATAAAAATAATAAATACTTTACGCTTTTCTAATTCTGACATCTATAAAGCTTCATCTTTTTATTTGAGTAATTATTCTTTTTGCTTCATCTTTTCTTAAATCTACTTAATTACTCTATTAGCTTCTTATTATTATCTTGAAATTCTTTCTTTCTCTGCTTTATCTTCTTCCATTCTCTATAAGATCTGTTATCTTTTATTAGGTCTAGGAATATTTGCTATTTCTTCTGCATAAGCAAAAGCTTAATCTTTAGTTGTTTGTGACTATTATTTAATTTAATTAATTTTTTGTCTCTTTTTTTATTCTTGAGAATTATGTTGCTTTTTTTCTGATTCTACTTGTAATTCATTTAATAACTATCTATCAGATTATTTTTCATCTAATATCATTGCTGAATCTTATTAGAGAATACCAGATAATTCACATTTTTAAATATTTTATTCATCTACAGATTAATTATTAGTATTTATTTATTAACCATAGTGTTCTTGAGTTTAAATTTTAGGGCCTTCATTTTCATTTAAAGATTTCTATTTATGTATTTAATTTAATTTTTAAAGAGAGAATCCATTGGTCATTGTTTTGGATTTAATAATTGAACCTGCAATTGAAAAGAATGATTTAAATTTCTTTAAATGCGCCTTTTCATTTTAAACTTTTTAGATTATAATTTACATTCCTTCTTAAATCTCAGTCAATGTCTGATTGTCAGTTGTAAGTAATTCAAAATGAAAAGCTAACTATTTTTTAAAGTATAAGATTTACATTAAATTGATTTTAAATAGCAATCATTAAAGCTTCGATAGTACACTCTTACAATTAAATTTCATGTTGTTGGGAATCAAGAGTAACAAAAATTTACATAATAAAAAATATTAATATAATTTAATATTCATAATTAAACAAGAGAACCATCTTATAAAAATTTAATAACATCTGATTTCTTTACTAATTATTATGTTCCTTCTTCTAAATCAAGTTCGTCTCCATCTTAAGTAATGATATTTCCAATTTATTTGATCACTCTAACTTCAATAAAAACTTCTGATGGTGGAATTATATTCTAATTAAAGGAGAGAATTGATGATTACTTAACTAACTTTTGTGTCAGTGTCATTTTCATACTTCTTAACCAATTAATCAAAAAATTTATAGTATTCTTTTTCATTTTTAGAAAGCTAATCTAAGTGATCACTACTTAATTATCCTGAATCAATAAAATATTAGGATTGTATTTTATTAATCTAGATGATGATTAAAAAGTACTCTATGCATTAAATATGCTAATTAAACTCTTTTTGTTCTTTCGACATCTTTTATTTTAAGTTAGATAATAGGTTTAATTTTATCTGCCAATTCAGGATCATTACGAAGTCTAAGTTTGATAAAATGAGATCACTTATAAATTTCTTAGATTTCTTTAATCGATTTTTGATGATCGGTTGTGCAAGTTTCATACAATTCTTCATTAAAAGGAGGTAGAAATAGACTCGTTTTAAGATCTAACAACAATTTATTCCTATTATGTATATCCATAATTATAAATAAAATATTAAAATTTTTCATTTCAAATACTTTATTTTATTGAAATTTATCTACGACATAAACAATATATATTTCATATATAAGATAAATATAACAATGGATTTAGGAATAAAATGTGTATTTATTCTTAATCTTGAATGATTTAAAAGTTTTAATTAGTGTGGTTGTGATATAGTAGTCAACGGCAAAATATTTGTAATAAATAAAATGAAAAAAATCGTTATTTTATGGATCAGTGTTGTTGTAGTTTTTTGTAAATTTTCAGAAATGAACCTTGAATCAAGTCTTCATGAAAATGGATCAGTATATGGATGGAGAGAAGAGGAATAGAAGATGTTTTAAAATTGGGTAAAAGATAATTAGAGAACATATAATAACGAATTTGAAATGATCTATAGAATGGAAGTATTTGTGAAGAACTATAGAGCAATGAAAGTATTATAAAATAGTAATAAATCAAATAGCATCATAATGAATAATTACCAAAAGATGTTTGGGGATTAAACAATTTTGCAGATGAAACAAATGAAGAATTAGTTGATAAATTATTTATGAAGAGAGATTTTGAAAGTCATTATGAATTATTCAATGAAGATGATATAAATGAAATAAGATCAGATGCTTTGAGTCATAATTCATTTTTATAATCTGATAAAAAAGTTGTTGTTGTTAAGAAAGCAGTAAAATAAGTAGAAAAAGTAGTTGAACAAGTTAAGAATCCTCCTAGTTTAGATTGGTTGAAATAGGTAAAGATAATATTAATAATATTAAGATTACTGAAGTTCAATAATAAGGAAGATGTGGTAGTTGTTGGGCATTTGCAGTATCTGATGTTACAATTAGTAGATTATCTATAGCTAATAAAAATAAGTTAGATTAATTATCTAAAACTCATTTAATTGATTGTGCAGATGGAAATACTGCAGGATGTGATGGAGGATCTGTTGGTGATGCTTTTGAATTTATAAATAATTATGGAACTGTTTATGAAAAAGATTATAGAGAATATGATTAAAAAGAAGATGAATGTACAAAACCTAAAGGAAGTATAGGATATAAACAATTTTAATCAATTGAAGGATTAAGTAAATTTACAAATGATGACATTGAAACTGCTATGTAAGATGGACCTGTTGCTGCTCTTATGTATGCAGATGAAAGTTGGTTAAGATATAAATCTGGGATTATTAATACTTGTAATTATCCTAAAGTTTCTAATTATTAACATGTTGTTGTTATTGTCGCATATGATACTTAAACATGGTTTGTTAAAAACTCTTGGGGACAATAATGGGGTATGGAAGGCTTTTTTTAAGTTTAAAAGAATGGAGATGATAACTGTCTTGATAAAATTAAGAAAATTACCTTCCCAGAGATTTGATTTATTATAATCAATAATAATAAAAATCGATTTTAATTTATTCAATTTTATAATTACTTTTATTCATAATTTAAACTATATATTATATTTTAATAAAATAATTACATACAATATGGCAGATATCTCCTTCAGAGGATTTATTTCATTAAAAAATATTAAAAATCCAGAATATGAAATGGAATATCTATTAGATCCAGAAAATAATAAATATGTAAGAGATAAATTACCAATTAAAATTTAAAATTTTGAAATCAAAAAATTAGAATGGATTGATTTTATAGGTAAACCAAATTTAGAAATGCCTTATATTGCTCATTGTTATTGGAATATTATATACGATTATTAAATGATTGAAGAAAAAGAAGAACCATAAATTAAAAAATAACAATCGCCAATATTACCTATATTAAAAACTAATGAATCTTAAGAAAAAGATCATCCTTTAGATTTAAAATAATCACCTCAAATACCTTTTAGTAAAATTAATGAACCATAAGAATAATAAGGTATTAAATAATAATCACCTAAATTACCACCTAAATAACCTTTATAATACAATAATCAATTACCTAGAATTAATAATAGACTCTTTAATAAACCTCCAACACCTTCTACAAGAGTTTCAAGTGTTTAAAAAATTACTCGCTTATAAACTCCTAAGAATTCTTCTCCTTAAAATAAAGTTGCTAGAAGTAATTCTAGTTACAGTCTAAAAAGATAATCCCCTGCAAATCAAAAAATTAAATTATAAGTTTCTTGTAAATTCTCAGAAAAATCTTGGGCTAAATCAACTACTGATAATGAACTATTAGAACATGAAACTGGACATTATTTAATTGGATGTTTATGTGCTTTAGAATTCAAAAGATAAATTGAATAATTAGGAATTTTAAAATCAGATAATCATAAATCTGAAATCAATTCGATCTTTCAAACCAATTTAAGAAGTTTTCTTAAAATTGAAAAAGATTATGATGATGAGACTAATCATTACTTTGATACTAATTTATAAAAAAAATGGAATCACAAATTAAAAGAATAATTGTTATTATATGAAATGTATTTTAACAATTGATTAAGTGTAATAATACTATTTCATTAATTTATATCATATTCTTAATCTAGTCTTATCGAATTAATGTTTAGTTTTAATAATAATAAGTAATCTTTAAATTCATACAAGTGATTATTATATTGATCTTATAAAGATTCAATATATTATACTATTTATATTAATAACTATTTTTCTTTCATTTAATTTAATTACATTTTACAAGTTATTTCTTTAGTCCTGTTTATATTTTAATTTTTAATCTATAATATCGAATCTTTAACGAATTATAATTGTTCTTTCAAAACCTCTAATTCCTTTTGGTTTTCCTATAAATTCATTTCACTATTCAATAAACTTTATTTTTATTGATCCATCTCATTTTGACAGCTTAGTTTATAAATTATATGAATACAATCTTAATTTTTCACTAAGAATAACTTTCTGTGTTTCTAATTTTTTATTTTATTCTTATTAGTATTCTTTATAGAGATCGTTTGATGACTTTGTTTTCGATTTCATAATTACATTTTACAGACGAATGTTCTATAACTTTTGTAAAATTTGCATTCTTTCTTAATTTTCGACAATGATTTTGTCATTAAATAATTCTGTTTCAGTTGACATTTAAGTAGAACGTTCAGAAGTAAGATTTATAGATTTCTTATGACCAAAAAGTATTTATTTTTTTGCATTATTTCTTGGTGTTTATATGTTATCTTATTAACAAATGATCTTTTATTTTTATATATTCTAACTTTTCCAAGTTTAAATTATAAATTGTCTCTCTTTTTAAATATCTTAAGTTATTGTGCCTTTTTCAGACTTTTAACCTTATTATTAAGCCTAACAATTCATATCAAAATTTAAAATCATTATTTATAAATATAGTCAATTTTAATAATATATATTCAGATTTATTCTTCAAGTGTTATTAGCATTTACATATAGATGTTATTAAATTTGCTTATATAATGTGCAAATTCACAATCTTCAGTCAACAATTAATCTTTTAAATACTTTTTGATGAATTAATCTACCTTCATTATAATTTATTTATGTTTAATAATACTCTGTCTATTATTAACTATTTCATTCTTTAAAGATCTATTAGTTGTAATGATTTCTAAAAGGTTATGATCTTCATTCAATTAATCTAGTTCAAATTTCAATTATTGTAATAATTATTTATTAGATTAATATTATTACTTTGCATATTTAAGTAATTATCTCTTCTCCTATAAGATTTATTTAGTTCTATATTTATATTACATAATACTTAATGATTTTCTTTTCAAAATTTTCTATTTATCCTTCTTATATAGGGATTATGGGTTAAGAATTTGAAATACTTTATGGTGATTTATTAATCTAGTGACAGATTTTCTAAAGTTTTTGATCAGTTTCATTAACAAAGTTTTCGAAGTTGCTCATAAGTAATCTATCACTGAATGTATTATCTTCTTTAATAATTTCAGTCTTATTTGTTTGTAATTTAGCTGTTAATAGATTCATTTTCTTTTTTAAAATATCCCTTCTTATCATATTTTGAAATTATTAGGTACTATTTTAAGTTTTATTAAATTTGTCTGTTGAATCTAATTTATTTGTTGGACTTAATATTCTTAATCTTGAATTAGGAGAAGTATTTGGGGTTAACATACTTTTAGGTGTATAAGAATTCTATTTTGAAGGAAATCTTTGTGAAAGTATTTTATCTAAACTTTTTATGCTAATAAATTCATTCATAAAATGAAATAAAAAGAAATTAAACTTGTATATGAAAAAAGTAATGAGACATATTATTGGCAAATGATGCCTTTAGAATAATTCATTTTAGAAGTTAGTCATGTTTTCAATATTCAAATAGGCACATTTTAAGTTGTATCATATGATAAAAAAATTGAAATTAGAAATACTGAAGAATTATATTGGTATGGTTAAAGTAGCGGAATATTAATTACAGATAAATCGATCAATTAAAATAGAGTTTATTCTCCAGTCCCTAATTTAAATTTAAGCTAGATGCAAAATTAAAAACAATATTCAATAGTTAGAAAAACTTAAGAAATTAAAAAAAGACTCAATTAAACAATTAAATTCATGAAGGAAACTTAATCTACTGTTACTTATAGAAGTTTATCTCCTAAAGAAAGTTGGAAATGTTTATAAGAAAAGACCAAATAGTTATAAGAACAAACTTAATAATTTAATAGTAGACAAGAAGAATTGTAACATGAATCTGAAATGTATTTAATAAATCATTATCTAAGATTATTAAAGGAGATTTTAGTTGTTTAAAATGAAAATGTAATGTATAGCAAACGAAATGAAGGATTATAGAAATCTATTAATTAACTTTAAATGTTATTGAAACTTTAGAAAAAATAAATAAACTAAATTAAAATGAGGTATCCTGCAATAGATTTAGATTCTTATATCGATTCTATTAAGTATTAAAGTAATCTTAAAGATACTTTATTGAATTATCTTTAAGAATTGTTGCAAATGATTATAAAAAGTGAAAATAAAACTCAATTCAAAACAACTTTTAATCAAAATGAAACATTACTATATCTATAATAGATTATCAAAGAAATAAAGAAAATTTGAAAATAATACTTTATAATAAACATCATTAATCATACAACAATTTTAGACTTATCTATCATGAATTTTATTAGAAACTAAGAAGAATAATTACTTTCTAATCTATCAAAACATTTTGATGTCAAATATTTTAATTATTACAACAATTTTTTCACTAACTCTCTTTTTTCATCCTTAAATTCATTTACATTTATCAGTTTAATTGAATAAAAAAATAAATGTTAAGCTGCTTAATATGTTTTTTTGCTTTAATTTAATGTTATCAATAATTATAAGAATTTTAATAGATCTTCTTTTGCTATTTTTTAGGATAATAGAGATATAACATTATCATAATCTTCTTGTCTTAAATATAAATAATATATACTTATAAATTTGAGTAACAGCTTATATAAAATGTTTTATATAATTATTCTAAAATGCTAGAAAAGCTGCATCTAAAAATAGTTTATCTCTCATTAGATCTTGAAAAGTTTGTAATTTTATTTTAATTTCATGTTATTGTAATTATTATTATTAAGTTACTTATTCTGTTTTATCTTTCCATAGGATTAAATTTGAATCATTAGCTCCAGTAACGATATAAACATCTTAATTTTCTCTTTTAATATCTAAAGCATATATTTTACCAGTATGTTAAGAGAAAGTATTAATGCATATTTATTTTTTTACATTCCATAATTTTATATTTCCAATTGAATCAGTGCTTATTAATTCTGATCCTCTAGCCAGCCAAGCTACTTTTAATTGAGGAGCAATTCCTTAAAATGATTTTATTATTGAACCATCGCTGAGATTCCAAAGCTTAATAGTATTATCTCCACTAGCTGAAGCTAATATTTTTTCTATTGGAGAAAATTATAAGTCCCATACTCCTCTTTTATGACCTTTAAGAATCATTTTATTCATTAAATTTTCATCCCATAATTTAATCAATCTATCTTAAGAGGATGTAGCAATTAATTTATTATTAGGTGAGAATCGAACACAATTCATCTCTTTTTCATGAGCAACAACAGTTTTAATTGATTATTCAGATTAATAATTCTTTAAATCCCATAATTTAAGAGTTTTATCTTTTGAAACAGAGGCAATATATTTAGAATTCACATCTATACATATAACATCATCAGAATGTCCACTATATTTATGTAATTCCTTAGGTTATTTAAATCCTTTATATTTGAATATAATAACACAATTATCTTTAGAAGCTGTTACTATTAAATCATCTATAAATTCACAACACATAATAACACTGTAATGAGCTTTCCAAACTATAACATCCATATTATCTAAATTTAATATCCTAATTTATAAATTTATTATCATACTTCATAAATGGTGAATTCGTAGCCAATAGTAACTAATTATTTTTTATAAACTTTGCATGAAGAATCTCATCATTATATCCTAACAATAGTTTTTATTATTATATTTGACCAGATACTAATTCAGTAATGTAGATATGTAGTTCACTTGTGACAATATACAATTTTTCATTACAAGTCATAAACTTCAATATTTATTATCCATTTAATTGTGAATCTATTATAATTTTTTTATTTTGTTATTTAGTATGTAAATCTCCAGATTCAGTACCAATTATTAATGTATTTTTGAAATAAATGAAGGTTTCAATTTCTATATCAAATTCTATTGTTTCTGTCAACTTTTATACACTTGTATCCCAAAATTTAATGTATTTATTACAACTTGATATCAATATATGTTAATTAAATTAGATATGAGTAATTCTACTGTTGAAATCTACAAAAGCACATAGTATTCTATTAGCTACTAAATCAAATAATGAAATGCGTCTATCATCTGTAGCAATTGCAACTTATAATTTTCTCATAATAGGAATCCATTATAATTTAAGAACACTTCCACTTACTCTAAATTCTGTACTCTATTAGTTTTTTTTCACATTTATTATTTTAACCATACAATTTGTACCACCTAAAGCTAAATATACATCTTCAGGACTAAATTACATGTCAATAGCAAATAATGGATCTGTTTTAATTGTAAATTAAGTAATATGATCATTTAATCTAACATATCTGAGCATATAATTCTTTGTGAATGTTGCAATATAATCATTTAAGTTACTTACACAAAAATTTGCTATTTCTTCCTAATTATGTTAGATTTTTTTATCTAGGTATTAAACACAAAAATTAAAGCAAGTATATATCACATTATTTACTATTTATATTTTGCCACCTTAATAAAATGGTAGTAATTATTTAATTGGTTCAATATGAGTGATGAATTAATCTTCATTTATAATTTACACTTATTTAGTTTCTTATTATTTATTATCCACACTAATTTATTTGGATTAAAACGATAATTTGCTTAATTTTAATCTTTATAGACGTCTTGATTTGAGCAATTTAGTAGCCTATATGATTTTAACCATATATTATTATATAATTAATTATTAATACTAAATTGGTAAACACTAAAAAAAATAAGTTAAATTATATGATATCACTTGGTTTTAACTATAGATTTGATGTCTTTCCAAATATCATTAACAGGTCTTTCAGCATTAACTTCAAATAAAATTCCTTTTCTAAAATTAATATTTGATTTTAATTACTTTCTGTAATAATCTATAATAGGTGATGTTTTATTCTAATAAACATTTAGTCTATTTCTAATAGTAGCCTCTTTATCATCTTCTCTTTAAACAAGTGGTTCTCCAGTAATATCATCTACTCCATGAACTTTAGGTGGATTGAATTTATAATGATAAGTTCTTCCTGAATTTAAATGAGTCCATCTTCCTCCTAGACGATCAACAACTACTTATTCACGAACATTCATAAATATTGCTTAATCAATTGATTATCCACTTTATTTAAGAATTTAATCAAGTTTTTCAGCTTAAGGAATAGTACGAGGAAATCCATCTAAAATTGCACCATTAGCACAAGCAGGTCTTATTAAATAACAAATTAATATACTTAGCTAATTATTATTTTATCAAATTGCACATCACTTCATCCTCTATTAATTCTCCTCTCTCCATTATACCTTTTAATTTCTTTCCAAATTCACTTCCTGATCTTACTTCTTCTCTTAATAAATCTCCTGTTGATAAATGGCACATACAAAAACGAGCCAACATTTTTGCTGAATGTGTTCCTTTACCTATATTTTAATATTTCTATTCAATACCAGCTCCAGGCATTCCTAACAATACTATTCTTTTTCGTAATGCTTCTTCTTGACATCTATACCTTCTATAAAGTTCTTATATTAATGCAGCATTTGAAATCTTAGAGTAGGCTTGTGTATCCATTTTATTTTTTATTATAATTAATTAAGCATATTTTTAATATATTTTAAGATATATATCCTAAAATAATTATTATAAAAATTTATATTAAAAATTTAATATCTCGTCATCTCTATTATTATTCATATATTTTATAATTAAATAGTTCAAATTATGCCATATTATTCCCATTTCTCTCATTATTACCCTCATTTCATTAACATTCTATTTTTTAGTTGACCCTTCATCTAAGACTCAAAAACATTCTAATTTCATACAATTATTTTCAACAATTAAAACATCCTATTATTCAACATTTTACGAAATCTGTTTCAGTTAGAAGAATTGATTTCAATTATTAATATAGATTATAATTTGCTCATATTACTTTACTAAAAAGAGGGTAACCAAATATTGTTAGATAAAACTTATACATTTCTTTTAATTAATTATTAAGGTTAATTTTGGAAATCACATTATGAATATAAATGTATAATAGAAGAAATATTTTTATATAATAATCCAATACATATTATAAATAAATTGTGATTTAATTAATATTTATTAATAATACGCTTTTAAATTGCACACTTTAAGAATATTAGCATAAGATATAATTTAAAAATAGGGTTGTAAATAATGAAAAATTGATAATAAATGTAATATATTTTGAAATAATTGAACAGCAAAAGCATTTTTCATTCCTCTAACCTCTTAAAAGATAGATTAAGAGAGCTTATTCCAGTTAAATAAGCTTTATTAAGAGATATTAGAAAATAGTATGGTTAGAAGGAGATTTGTAAAGTGACTGTTGATTAAGCTATAGGAGGAATGAGAAATGTATTTGGTTTATTTTATGATATCTCACTGTTGGATTCAAAAACTGTAGTTTATATTAATTACTTGATAGGGTATTACATTCAGAGATTACAACATTCCAGAGATATAGGAATACCTTTAAAAGGCAAAGAATGGAAATGAGCCATTACCAGAGGCTTTATTTTGGTTGTTATTAACAGGTGATTTTCCATCAGATTAAGAATTTAAATTTGTTTAAGAAGAATGGAGAAGAAGAGGAGAATTAGATTAAGAGACAATCAAATTCATAACAAGTCTTCCAAAATAATTACATCCTATGACTATGTTATCCTTGAGTATTTTACATTTACAAAAGGACTCAACATTTTAAAAGGTTTATGAAAGTGGAAAGGCTACAAAACCATAATATTGGGAATATTATTATGAAGATGCAATGGACTTGGTTGCTAAAATTCCAAGAGTTGCAGCATTAATTTATAGACATAAATATAAAGTAAATAAATAATTATATATAAAAAGAATGGAGATTTAATAAGTAGTGATAATTCATTAGATTGGGCAGCAAATTATTCACATATGATGGGTTTCGATTAATTTGATGCATATGAATTATTTAGAATGTATTTAAGTATTCATGCAGATCATGAAGGAGGAAATGTAAGTGCTCATGCTACTCATCTTGTTGGATCTGCTTTGGCTGATTAATATTTATCATATTCAGCTGGTATTAATGGATTAGCTGGACCACTTCATGGTTTAGCAAATTAAGAAGTTCTGAAATGGTTGATTGAAATTAGAGTAATATATATATATTAATAAAATAGGAAAAATTAGGTGATAAAGTATCAAATGAAAAAATTTAAGAATATGTTCTAAATACTATTAGAGAAGGAAGAGTTGTACCAGGATATGGACATGCTGTCTTAAGATATACTGATCCAAGATATATTCATTAAAAGAATTTTGCTGAAAGATTGATTAAGGATGATCCACTAGTTGAACTTGTTAAATAATGTTATCATGTTATTCCACCAGTTCTTAAGACTATTGGTAAGATATAGAATCCATGGCCTAATGTTGATGCTCATTCAGGAGTGTTATTAAATCATTATGGATTAAAGGAATTTGAATATTACACAGTAGTTTTTGCTGTCTCAAGAGCACTTGGATGCACTGCAAATTTAGTTTGGGCTAGAGCATTTGGATTACCAATTGAAAGACCAGGATCTATTACAATGAGATGGATTGAAGAAAGGTTTGGAGAAAATTAATCTGTTAAATGAAAATGTATTTTATGTTAAATTTAAAATAAAATTATGCAATCAAAAGGTCCTTCTGCTTAATATCTATCCAAACTAATAATTGAAGATCCAAATAGAGCTCCTGAACGTGTATTTAAGACTAATCAAAAATATGCTGAATATATTGCTTATTTAGGTTCTTAAAAATAACCAATAACTGCATATTCTAAATTAGCATAATGGAAATAATACTAATTTGAGAATGTAAATTTATTAATTGATCCTGCTAAAATATCTCCTTTGTTATCTGCACTTACAGATGAAAATAAATTATTAAAACAAGAATGTTTTAAATAATCTAATGATATTGTTGAATTAACTACTATGGTTGAAAGATTGATTGATGATAATATAGTAATCAAAAAACATCTAGATTTAAAAACTAATGAGATGCAACACTTTCTTTAAACATAAAAAACATAAAGTAATGAAGAAATTTAAGATCTCAAATTTCAAATTTAATCATTGTAAGATGAGAATAATCTACTTATAACACATTTAGAAGATTTGAGAAGAAATCAAAATGATGATGTTATAAATAATCTAGAAACTGAATTAAGCAATGCTAGAGATTTGTATGAATAATAGCAATAGAATTTTAAATAATGTTAAGATCGAGAATATGACATAAGTAGAGAACTTGTTAAAATCAATTCTTAATATAAGGATTCCTTAGAAAAAATTGTTGAATTATCCTCCTAATTAAGTATTTATGAAGATAACAATCATGAACTAAGAAATTAAATTATGTTAATTTCTAACAAAATTAATATTGTATAAAAGAATGCTTTTGATTAAGTTAATGAAAAAGAAATTGAACTTGAAAGTATGTAAATTAAATTCAATGCTATAATTAAAGACAAAGAATCTATTAAAAATTAATTAAATTAATATGAGTTAAAGATTTCAGAATTAATTAAAGATAATACTAAATTAAGTGAAGAAATGAAAATGTATTAATTAATGAATAATGAACTATTAAATTAAGAAAAAGATATTAAAAATCAATTAGAAATAGAGAAAATGAAAAAACCAACCAACAACTTTGATGAATAAATACCAAAGGAACAACTTATTAAAGAATGTAGAAGATTAGGAGAATAGTTAGAAAGAGCTTAATTAGAATATATCAAACTAGATGACTTTTTGACTAAACAAATCGATTTATAAAAGAAATAATCTGAATAAATTCTTGAAAATATGAAAATTAGATATTAAACTTCTTTAGACAGTAGATAAGAATAAATTAATTAATTAGAGAAATAAATAGCAATATAAATTGAATAGATTAATATTTAAAAGAAAGAATTGGAAATCATTAATTTGGAATATTAAGAAATTAAATAAAAATAAGTATATTTATTAATATCCAAAATAGGAAGATTAATCTTAGTTAAAGAAATTAGTTGATTAATAAGTTATGGAAATTAGAGTGTTAAAAAGTTAACTATAAGATAAGAAAATGTTGATAAATGAAATGTTAGAAGAAAAAGATAAGATGAGCAAATTATTTAAAAGTGAATAAATAGCAAAATAATAAAATGTTCATATTTTAGAAGAAGAAATAAAATAATTATAAAACTAACAAATAAAATATTAATCCTAGAAGGAAGATTTAGAAAAATTATTAGAAATTAATGATAATTTAAAATAAGAGATTCATCATATTTAATAATAATATAAGGACATTTAAGTTCTGTGTAGAGAGGAAATAGAAAAAAGATAAAATGTATAATTTTGATTAATAAAGTTATAAGTAGAAGCAGGTATTTAGGCTAATCAGATTGGAACACTTAAAGAATAGATAAGATACTTTTAAGATTAATAGTAGAGAAAGGATAAATTAGATTAAGTGTTATAAGAAAATCAGATTTTAAGAGCTCAACTTAAATAATGATTATAAATTATATAAATACGAAAAAAACATAAAACAAAACTATTAATCAAAATAAACTAAGATTATTGTCTATATGAAATGAATGTTTAAAAAAGCTATTAGGTCTTTTGTTTTGAGTGCTGAAAAAATGTGATGAAATTTATGGTTTTTAAATTCCATATGTTTACTAATATTTCTCATGTGTGGTTCTAACATGAATATTTTTACTCCAAAGAGTAGTAAATATTTATTCTTTTTTTTTATGAGTTTATTAGTCATAATGGGTAAGATCAATATCAATAACATCTGAAATTAAATTAATTAATTTCGAAACTGGTTAATTATTGTTTCGTTTAGTTGCCACTTAAGGTGTTTTACGAATGCTGTAATTACTAATACTTCTTGTTTTGTTTATGATACATGAAGTAGGTCTATTTATTGGCATTTTATTTACTCTAGGTGAAAATAACTCTTCTTTTGGTTTGTTAACAATTTGTCTCTAAATAATTATAATAAATAATTAAATACATAGTTGGATTTCATAAGAGTGATGGTTTCATAAAGAGAAGAGAACAATTTATTAAATTATGATCTGCAATATTCATGTAACCACTTCATAAGTAAAGGCATAAAGGGAATCTAAATATAATCATCCCTCTATTACTTTATCATACAGATTATTTTTCTTAATCGCTTATATTTATTGTAATCTATGGTTCATTCCCGATGCAATAAAAAATTGACCATAAAGTTCTGCTATATCTAAAAATTCACCAGACAAGTTCACCTTCACTTGGAATTAAGGTAACCACTATGTTATTAGTTTTAGTGATAAATGATAGAAAGACCTTCATCATACAAACCTTTATACATCAAATGTGTTTTCGATTTGTTAGGCACTAACATTTCTATAAGTGCAAATTCTTATTCAACTCTTTATTTCTCTTATTTTAAAGATTAAGATAGGCATTTCTCATTAACATTAACAAATGATAAGAAATCGGTTGGAGTTTTAATATGCTCTGTTTGATTAAGTCTTTGTTAAATTGTCTTAGTATTGTTAGCTCTATCAAGCCCTATTTATAAAAGCATCGAGAATATTTCAAATGTATTTGCTTCATGAATTACAGGATATAAAGAATATGTCGACATAGCTTTTATAATTTAATATATATTTTGATTATAATATGTCTTATTTCATCAGCAAGCCTTAAATTGTCTTACTCCTATCTATTATATATTCCTAATATTTATACTGCTTGACTACAAGCTGGACAAACATGTGTAACATCCTAGCAATCTTTCATATAAAATGGTAAAAATGCTAAAAATGCTCCTAAAATGCAAAGAGTAAAACAGCACAACCAAGTATGTGTCCCTGGCTTATGCTATAAGATAGATATTGCTTCAACTTAACAACTACTACATTTGAACATTACTGGCTAAGCAAACCCTTTCTATAATCATTTGTTAGTACCATCAAGTTATTAAGGCAATTAATATTACTCTATTGGTATATTCAACCTTATCTATTCATCATTTTATTATTACATATTTTAATTTTAATATAAAACGAATTATGCTAATAATATTTTTTTCACTTCTCCTAAAATTAAGAGTTGGATTTATTACTAAACCAAATCTATCTAATCATCTACTTCTTCTCATTTTCTGAAATCATTCTTATTAATTATTTCTAAAAATTTTGTCAATTTTTATTATTCTTTGTTTTTACAAAATATACTATTCATCTTTTCTTCCTTAAATATTATAAGTTTATTTTATCTAATTTGGTATTTAAATATATCAAAATCAAAAATAAAAAAAATTATTTTTATACAAATATAAATCCAAAGGGAGTTTCTTTTATAATATAAAAGAGGTTATTTCTTTTTGATCTAATAATTATATTATTAGATTGGAAATTTAGTAGATGAAATAATTATTTTGAATCAAACACAATAAAGCTCTTAGATTTAAAAAAAGTAATTTTTAAAATTATAACTTTTAAAAAACAAATATTTATATATAGAAGAAGAAATTCAATAAAAATTTTTCCTCATCATCGAATTAAGCATCAAGAATTTTAAGTTTATTCGTCATGTAAAAAACTGTTAAGAAAATTAGTAAAAATATAAACTAATTACTCTTGGATTATGAAAGATTATTATAAAAATAAATAGTTGAAATTTTCTAGCAAATCAAAAAATTAAAAATATTAATTAAAAAATTTGTTGAAAATACTTTTTTATTTTTTTTATTTACTAATGAACAAGTCAATCATATTGTAATTTGATATTTAGAAGAATCTTAATTTGAAAATAAATCCTCTGGAAGATTAATCATATATTTAGAAATTGATTAGATATTAATGATTTAACATTTCTGCTTTCATAAATTTTGGGTTACATTTTATATTAATCATCAAATATATAAAAGCGCTTTTTAGCTGTACTAATTTAAGTTTTGAAATTTTTTAATCAACGCTTAAAATGAATCTAAGTCAAATTTACTATTTTAGTTTAAAAGATTATAATATTTTTAATAGAATTTTTTATTTTTATTATTGATTAATATAGAAATCAACTACTAAGTTTAGCTGTAAGGTCTTCTGATTTTTTTACTGAATCTACATGATCGAAAACTAGATTGTAGGCTTTTTAGACAACTTCAATTTCAGAGAGTCTTTATTTAAATAATAATAATACCTTTAAGTTTATCGGCTAATATAAGCTTAATGATATTGTTCTTATTATTCTTTTGTTAATTGAAGCAATTCTTCTGTAATTGGAATATCAATTAATAATTATTCTTTTTAAGCCAAAACAATTTTCTATTAATAATTCTTAAGGATCTTACTTGTTAATTAAATTTATCATTAAATTATTGATTTAAGTTTTCAAGATCAGTTGATAATCTTTTTCTTAAAGTTTCAATTNTATTATAAGTTTATTTTATCTAATTTGGTATTTAAATATATCAAAATCAAAAATAAAAAAAATTATTTTTATACAAATATAAATCCAAAGGGAGTTTCTTTTATAATATAAAAGAGGTTATTTCTTTTTGATCTAATAATTATATTATTAGATTGGAAATTTAGTAGATGAAATAATTATTTTGAATCAAACACAATAAAGCTCTTAGATTTAAAAAAAGTAATTTTTAAAATTATAACTTTTAAAAAACAAATATTTATATATAGAAGAAGAAATTCAATAAAAATTTTTCCTCATCATCGAATTAAGCATCAAGAATTTTAAGTTTATTCGTCATGTAAAAAACTGTTAAGAAAATTAGTAAAAATATAAACTAATTACTCTTGGATTATGAAAGATTATTATAAAAATAAATAGTTGAAATTTTCTAGCAAATCAAAAAATTAAAAATATTAATTAAAAAATTTGTTGAAAATACTTTTTTATTTTTTTTATTTACTAATGAACAAGTCAATCATATTGTAATTTGATATTTAGAAGAATCTTAATTTGAAAATAAATCCTCTGGAAGATTAATCATATATTTAGAAATTGATTAGATATTAATGATTTAACATTTCTGCTTTCATAAATTTTGGGTTACATTTTATATTAATCATCAAATATATAAAAGCGCTTTTTAGCTGTACTAATTTAAGTTTTGAAATTTTTTAATCAACGCTTAAAATGAATCTAAGTCAAATTTACTATTTTAGTTTAAAAGATTATAATATTTTTAATAGAATTTTTTATTTTTATTATTGATTAATATAGAAATCAACTACTAAGTTTAGCTGTAAGGTCTTCTGATTTTTTTACTGAATCTACATGATCGAAAACTAGATTGTAGGCTTTTTAGACAACTTCAATTTCAGAGAGTCTTTATTTAAATAATAATAATACCTTTAAGTTTATCGGCTAATATAAGCTTAATGATATTGTTCTTATTATTCTTTTGTTAATTGAAGCAATTCTTCTGTAATTGGAATATCAATTAATAATTATTCTTTTTAAGCCAAAACAATTTTCTATTAATAATTCTTAAGGATCTTACTTGTTAATTAAATTTATCATTAAATTATTGATTTAAGTTTTCAAGATCAGTTGATAATCTTTTTCTTAAAGTTTCAATTTCATTCATAGAATTGTTAAAATTTGTAGATGCTACTTCTTCAGCTGCAATATCTTCATTTAAACTTTTTTTAGCAGCATCTCTAATTTATACTAATTTTTCTAAAATTCTTTAAACAGTCGGAACATCAAATCTCGTAGTTAATTTAACCAAAATAGTAATTGGATGATTTGGTCCGAATTGTTCATGACACTCAGAATGAATTTAGGCTAATATAGCTTATCTATTTTCATCAGTAGTTTATTCATCAACAGCTTTACTTAATTTATCAATAATGAGATTTAATGCATTAATAACTTTATTTGCTGATTCAACTCTTCTATTATAAGCTTTAACATCAGCAGCTCTGGCATTTCTGATGAATTATTCTTGTTCATTTAGAATTGACAATTACTTTTCATATGTTATAATAGTTTCTCTTAAAATCACCAACAATTCAGCTAAAGTTTAAATGAGAATATTTGCATTTGCTAAATCAGTATTTAATTTAGAGAGATCATCTTCTAATTCATTAATATTTTAATCAAAAACTGCCATTTATCTTGAGTGTTCAACATCGTCATCAACTTAATCTTATTTTAATGAATCTAATAATTCTTTAATGAGTTTTAAAACTTCATCAACTTAAGCTCCTGTTTCCAATTTAATTTGCACTAATTCCTTTAATTAATCACTATATGGACTTTAGCTGAACTACAGCACTAAATACTTGTTAATACTTAATGAAATGATTTCATCAATAATGAGGCTTAAGGTGTCATGGCTGATAAACATACTCCTATAGTTAAAATCAATAAATTAAAACGGATTAAGCTCATTTTATATAATAAATTAATTATTGGAATGTGTTACGTTATTAAATTGAATTGATAAATCATTCATGTTAGACTTATTTTCTAACAGCATCACTTAATGAATATTCTGATCTCTCATATGATTGTACTTACTAACATATAATAAATTATATACTCTGTCATTTACGTAGTCATCAACTCTTTGTTTAAATTTGTCTTCAGATGTTCCAACTTAAGTAGAATAGATTCTGTAGACATCAGTGAATAAATTAAGCTCTTCTTGTAATCTTGCTTTATTTTTATTATATTAGACTTCTTCAATTTTTAAATCCTTTTTAGATTATATAAAATATTACTTCAATTGCTCTTTATTATTATTATTATATAGCTACACCCCTTTCTCTACAATTAACTGCAGCTAATCTAGCTTAGACTAATTATTCCTATAGTTTAATGAGATTCTTTTCTTCAGATGAAAGGTCATAATTGATTTATTCATTTTCTATATCAATTGCTCCCTTGAAATCAGCTAATGTGACTCCAGTAGTAATTTCTAAATTTTAAGAATTCTTTATTTATTCTCTAATGTATCTCTCCATATCATTAAGCATTTCAATCAATTATCCTTTAACTGTATTAATATTTCCTTATGAGGATGGTGTTACTTAAGTCCAATCTATGAACATTGTATCAGCAAACTCATGAGCCAATTCTACAAGCTCTGAAATTTTTGCTTATTTATACATTGTTAAGAATTTCTCAACATATGCTCCATATCTATTTAATTAATTGTTATCTAAATTTTATAGGGAATTTCTCAAAAATATTATAAGTCTTAATGTCATATTATCATTTTTAACTCTTTCAATATAATTGGATGAATGTGTGCATCTATTTTATATTTCTATCTACTACCTGTTATTGTCAAGCGTTTAAACTCTTTTTGCATTTTCAACTAATCTTCTTTGTAAATAACCAATGAATTTATTTGTTTTATCAATGTCAGATTCCCTATCAGAAACTGATTTATCTCGACTTGCGCATAAAAAGTTTTATTCTTATATTGCTTTGCCTAAATTAAAAATGATATTCTCTTTCAGCTATAAAGTTGTATAACATTCAATACATTTTTAGAAACTGTATAATCTGTATTGAGTGCAGTAAGTTCAACTGCTGATGCTCCTTTTAGGTCAGCCAACAATTTTTCTACTGTGTCAACCTCATTCTGGCATAATACACCAACAAATAACAATAACAATAGGCTCTTCATGCCGTTTTTTAATTTTTTTATATTAAATGAGTTTATATAACAATCAAAATAATTATACAATCAACCTCAAATACCTATCCTCCACTTTTACCTCTTTTTAGACAAATAAACATAATCATCATTCAATATATATTTAAGAAAATATAGTACCTTTATTGAATCAAATCTCAAATCTTTTCTTACCTCTATAATAATTTTAATAAAATCTTAAAAAAACTCTACAATTTATTAAATACTTTACTATATTAAAATATAAGTAAGAGGAAATTTAAAAAAAAATAACTATACTTTATAGCCAATTTTCTCTTATTATTATTCAAATACCTTATATATTTGTGTAATAATATTCGATATTATGATCAAACCATTATTTAAAAAATCTACATCTATTCTTAGTGAAAATTTTAGGATAATATTAGAATATATAGATTTCTATGAATTTTATGAATGTAGAAAACTAAAATATAACAATAATTATTCTTGTTTTATGCTTATTAAAAATGAAGATCATTTTTTAGCTTATTAAGCTGCTTACTTCTTTTTCTCAGCCTCAAGTCTTTCTTTCTCTTTTTGATCTAACCATTCTTTTTTTGCTGCTTCAAAGTTTCTATCATATTTGATATCCTATTGATTTGCAATATTTTATAAAGTAGTTCTTCCTTAAGGACCTTCAGCATTTTTTCTACCATTTTGAGGTCCCTTTTTATCTGTTCCATTTTTAAGATCTTCTAATAACTTTAACTATATCTATATATAATATGAATTACAGTATTTTCTGGTGTTAAATCTTCATAAACCCATTCATTATTAACTTGCATCATTGGTGCATTTGCACATGCTCCTAAACATTCAACTTCTTAAAGTGTAAATAAACCATCAGCAGTTGTCTCTCCATTTTTTATATTCAATTTTTATTCGATTGTTTTAATTATATCTTTAGATCCGCATAATTAACATGGAGTAGTTCCACATACTTAAAGATGAAATTTTCCAACTCTTTCTCTATTAAACATTGAATAAAATGATGCTGTTTCATAAACATCCATTTCTGGGATTTCCAAAATTTTAGCTATCTAAGAAATAATAATCTATTTTGAACCTTTTTCATTGCTGATAAACTCAAAAAGTTATTATTTTATTTTTATGCAAGCATAAGTAAAGGTATGGTACCTGATTTTTTCTCATTTGATGGGAATTTAGCTAAAATAGCTTCAATTTTTTTGTAATTTTCATCTGTAAAATCAAATGGTACTGAATCGCTATTATCTTCTCTATTTTTATGAGCTACAAAGATGTTTGAAAATCTTTGAATAGATTTTAGTTAAGCTAATTATGCAAACCTTTATATCATAATTTAATTAATAATAAATATTTAATATATTATTAAATAGAAAAGCAAAAGAATAATATTATTGAGTATTTGACTTTGAATAAACTAAAAATAATTTTAGATATTTATATATATACAATATGACATGACCATCTAAAAAAGAAAAAATAAATACTTAGAACTATATATTTTAATGAAAAAATTAATATTAATCACCGTTTTTATTGTATTAGGTTTTGCTCAGTAAGATTTAGCAGAAGCATTTACGTAGTTGTCTTCTACAGATCCTGATAGAACAAAGTTAAATTGGCCTAATTTATCATCAGCAATTTCAGACTTATTATGTGATGTGTAAAATGTAAGATCAATTGAAAGCGATACTAATTAATAGAAATCTGCCTTACTCTAAAAAGTAAAAGGTATATTAAGATGATAGCTTATTATTTTACATGATAGAACTATCAGTTAAATAAAGGTAGACTTAGCAAAACATAAAACAAAATTAAATGATCAATTGACTCCTTATAAGAATGAACTTGATGAAGCATTAAAATATAGAGCAGGAATATTAGATTAATAAAAATAAGATTTAAAGATTAATGAAGCAGATTTTATAAAAATGAAAGAGTCTGCTAAATAAGAGATGGATGATGTTAGCTTTGCATTACAATCAGTAGATTAAGTATCAAAATAAGTATATATATTTAGATGAGAAAATAAGTTAAAGAATTATTGCAAGGAGGTTCAGGAGGAAATTCATTTGTAGAGATTAAATCTTCTCTTTAAGAATTTCATACTAAAATCACTAATTTAATTAAATCTGACTCTCCTTTATTAACTTTAGCTAGTTCTTTAATGGAATTACTTTAATTAGATTTTAAAGATAGAAAAGTCTTGAAAGATTTAGAATAACTTTTAGATTAATTTTGGATGAATACTATTGATTATAGAATTGAATTAATTAGTCAAGCTAATAGAAATCAGCAATTATATGAAGATAGAAGATAAGCAATTCTTTAAGACAGAGATACAACAATCGAATTATATAATTCAAAAATTGAAGAATATAATACAGTTTTTGATGAAATATAGAATATTCAAACATATGTTGAAAATAGATAAAAGGATCTTGATGACAGTGCTAATTCATAAGACTTTTTCAAGAATATTTGGGGATTGAATGAAGGAATTACAAATACAGTTGATAAATCCTTAATTAGTAAAGCTAATGCAATATAGGAAGCCTTAAAGTAAATAGGAAATGGAGTGAGTTTTTAAGATAAATGATCATATTTACAAATCTTAAAAAATTTAAAATTAAATTTCTTTTTTTAATTAAAAATGAGTAGTGTATAATTCGTCAACTCTAAAGCTGAAGTGCTTCGTAAATATTAAGCATTAGCAATGAATATAAATGCTGCAGCTGGTTTAATGGAAGTCATGAAATCAAATTTAGGACCTAAAGGTACATTAAAAATGCTTGTGGGTGGGGCTGGATAAATAAAACTTACAAAGGATGGTGCTGTTCTATTATCAGAAATGTAGATTTAGCATCCAACTGCAGCTATGATAGCTAGAAGTGCTACAGCTTAAGATGATATAATTGGTGATGGTACAACTAGCAACGTTTTACTAATTGGTGCATTAATGAAACAAGCTGAAAGATTATTAGCAGAAGGAATTCATCCAAGAGTAATTACAGAAGGATATGAACTTGCAAGAAAGGAGGCTTTATAATTTTTAGATAGTTTCAAATATTAATAATTTGATAAAGCTGTATTAATAAATGTGGCTAGAACTTCATTAAATAGTAAATTAACACCTGATGTTGCGAATTAGTATTATAATATGTTAAGAAATTATTTAGAATTATTGAGATAGTAGTTGATGCAGTATAAATAGTATAAGTGCCTGAAAAGCCAATAGATTTGTTTATGGTTGAGATTATGCATATGTAACATAAAATGGGAGCAGAGACAGAATTGATTAGAGGATTGGTTTTGGATCATGGAGCAAGACATCCAGATATGCCAAAATTTGTGAAGAAATGTTATATTTTAAATTTGAATGTCTCATTAGAATATGAGAAAACAGAAGTAAATAATAAATAAATAAATAGGTTCATAGTGGATTCTTTTATAATACAGCAGTAGATAGAGAGAAATTAGCAAATTCTGAACGAAAATTAACAGATGATAAATGTTAATAAATTATTGATTTTAAGAGAAAGGTTTGTGAAAAGAATGGATATGGATTTGCAGTTATTAATTAAAAAGGAATTGATCCAGTTTGTTTAGAAATGTTTGCTAAAGAAGGAATTGTTGGTATAAGAAGAGCCAAAAAAAGAAATATGGAGAGAATTGCAAAAGCTTGTGGTGGTAATTCTGTAAATGCAGTTGAGGATTTAACAGAAAATGATCTTGGATATTGTGAAGTGGTAATAATTTAATATAACATTAAAATAGTTAAGAGAATACACTTTAGGAGAAGATAAATATACATTTATAGAAGGTGTTTAAAATCCCACTTCATGTACAATTTTAATTAGAGGACCAAATGAACATACTATTGCATAAATTAAAGATGCTATTAGAGATGGATTAAGAGCTGTTAAGAATGCTATTGAAGATAAATGTGTTATTCCTGGAGCTGGTGCATTTGAAATTGCTACTAGTGTTCATCTTTAAAAATTTAAAGATTCTGTTGCTGGAAAAGCAAAATTAGGAGTTTAAGCTTTTGCTGAATCTTTATTAGTTATTCCTAAAGCTCTTGCTGAAAATTGTGGATATGATGTTTAAGAAACTATAATTTAAGTTACTGATGAATACATTAAAAATAATATTCCTGTTGGTGTTAATGTTAGCGAATAAGGTTTTATTGCTCCTATTGCTAATGGCATTTTTGATAATTATTGCTCTAAAAGATCTTGGTTGAATATTGCCCCTACTTTAGCTTAATAATTATTATTAGTTGATGAAGTAACCTTTAATATAATTTATTTAGATTATGAGAGCTGGTAAATAGGCAGGAGGTGCCCCACAATGATAAGAATGATATAATTATATTTCAGTTTATACATTAATCAATTATTTTAATTCTAATAATTACAAGATATAATTAAATTTTCTTTTCATAATTATTTTCTTAAAATAAAATTTAGATTTAAAAAAATTTAAAAATACAAAATTAAAATATCTTAAATTTAAATGATCCTTTTCTTTATTTACTTTTTGATAAAAATGGAAATATTATCATTTGCAAATATCCTAGATATGTTAGGCATCATTTTAGTAAAAAAAAGATACAATTTAAAACAAAATTTACATGCTATATTTTTATTTTGTTTCAGATTGAATTCCTGAATTATGATAAAAATCATCAGGTAATTCTGTAATTATTTATATATTTAATGCATGTTTATAAAGATTTGTTCTCCATTTAAAAAACTAATAATTATTACAACTTTTGATTACAAGATGTCTTCTTCTTTGACCATCTAAAAGGCAATAAATAAGGAAAAAACAGTAGAGTTGTATAAACAAATATAAAAGAAAAAGCGCAGAAATTAATACACTGTAGAGTTCAACTTCGGTAGTAATATAGATGTTACTAAACTTAAAGAGATTGTAGTTATAAATTAAAATATACCTCATTGTATTCCTCAAAACATCATCTTCAGATTAAACTCTAACATATAGTTTCCTGTTACAGTTGAATCTCAATATTAGTTAGGATATTTGAATATAGATCCTCACTCCTATAATTATAAAATTGCTAGGTATGACAAACAAAATAGCTATCATATTTTTAACTTAGAACCCATCCACAGACCATTCACATCTTTTGAAATAATCAAGGAAGTATTAATGAAAGAAGGAGCATAATTGTTTGAAGGTTTTGAATAATTTCATAAAAAAAATTCTGACATCACCAAATATAAAATCGTTAATGAAACTTAACTTCTTGATTTTGAGCATAAAATTCAAGGCCCAGTTACTCTATACATTTAAAAGAATAAAAATGGAATTATAACCACTATAGCAAGAATAATGAATGATGACTATCTATAAATGTTAGGGATAGATGAAGAAATGCTAAAGGATTATATATTTCAGACAGGAATGTTACCTTAATCCTTTGCTGGTGATGGAAATATAAGATGGAGTTAAACATTAGCCCAAATATTTTAATGTAATGCTTCCATGACCTTTGGATAATTAATGCTCATCAATTATCAAGGTTAAAAGTTTCCTGTCTATTTGAGATCTCAAAATTTTCATTTGTTCAATCAAGATGATAATTCTTATACTGAATACCTTTACTATTTTTATGATGTTGAATCCAAGTGGATTAATAAGAGATTGATAGAATAAAATAGTATAGACTACTTCAATAAAAAGACACTTATTATCAATGAAGACACTGATCAGCTTGAGTGTTAGAGGAGATGCAGATTTAGAAAATTATGATTTACTATGAAATATTTAATATTATTGATTTCATAATTACGATGAAAAAACATCATCACAAGCTCTTTCATAAGACAACCTAGTAGATGATTTAAATTTTTTATTCTATTTGTTCTTAGTTATTTATTACCAAAATTATTATTCAGACCTTTGTAAAATATTTTTGAAATATTTATAAACCCAATCAAATAATATAAATATATTCTAAAGCAATAATTCTTAAATTCTGTTAAAACTACAATTGGTAATATAAACAATTTAGAGTAAAAAATAGCATAAATATTAAATTTTTACATATATTTTTGTACATTTAAAACATTTTATATGTTATGAGAGTATTTCCATAAGAATTTTTATAAATTAAAAATTAACTTAATAATTATTCTTGAAAATTTAGTGGTTTTGATCTCATTAATATTAAACCTTTTCTGAATCAGAATTTAATATTAGCAAATAAATACAATCATCGTACATACTCTATTTCAGATTTGAAATAAATATTAGATAGCATTATTTTTAATAAAAAAAAATAGAGCATTATTTTGTTAAAATGAATTTGTATGTAAGATGTGGTAACAAAGTTTATACAATTAAAAGAAATGTAATTGATGAGAGTGAATATGAGAATAAAATTCAATAAATTATACATCCAATCAAGATAATAACCATAAAACATAAATTACATATAAATAATAATGTAATGAACTTTTAAGGTATTAAGGAGTTCTTCATATTCCCCACTTTCTTGAATAAAATACTTTTATATACTGCATAACATATCGAAATTATTAATATCATCTCTCTTACTATTGTAACAATTGATAATTAATATTTGATTTCATCATCTATTGATAAGAAGATTAAAGTTTAGAATGTAGTTTATGTTGATTTAAGAAATTTCTATAAATAAAGCATAAATTTCAATAGCGATTTCAGAAAATCAATTAATTGGAGTATTTTTAAATTCTAGATAAATTAATGTTTTGATGTATCATTAAATAATTCTTAATAAATTGCAAAAGCAAAATAAAAAGTTGAAGTTAATTTTCATTCAAATCTTTCTATTAAATTAGAACAAATAGACTTAAAAATGGAAGAGAAAAGGATATGAAGGATTACTTATTAATGATTAATCTAATAATAAGGATTTAATTAGTTTCACAAATTTAGAAGAAGGAAGGTGGGTTTCTATTTAAAATATAGCTTAAATTAGAGAAAGTAATAGGGTTAAGCTAGCTGATGTTAAAATGCCCTTTTTTTTAGATTTTAGGAATACTGATGTTGAAAAATAAAATATTTGAAATGACATCAATGAATAAGTAAAAGAATAAACTAAAATAAAAAAATAAAAAAAAATACATTTTTTAGCTGAATTGAAATCAGAATTTGAAAATTTAGTTGAATAAGAAGATGTTAAATTAATTAATATGATAAAAACTTTGAGTCCATCATCTTATAATTATGAATTAAGATGCTTTTTGATTGGTAAACCATAAAATTAGATTTAAATTTTTAGAATATTGGAAGAAAGACTTCAAAATACAACTGATTTAGATTTAAAAGTCACATATTTGATGAGATTTAAGAAGTAGTTTAAAATCTAGGTATCTAGAGAGGATATAGATTCACAATGTATTAAGAATTAAAAAAACATTTAAAAACATTATTGAGAACTTAGAATAATAATGGTAAAGTTTAGATGATATAAAATCATATATTGAATGTGTTATTGATTATTATAAAACTATAATCTGATATATAATTTATTTAGTATATTTAGTCCATTAATTGTCTATTGCCTTCAATAATTAAAATTTTTATTATTCTCTATTGTTTAAATCGATGACCTTTCAAGAAAGAGATAAAAAATGAAACAAATAAATATTCTTGATGTAGAATTTGTAGTTGAGAAATATATTTTTATAAGAAAAATACAATTTAGTCTTTAATACTAAGAATTATTAAAAAAATTGTTCAAGCTTGCAAAAACTAAAAATCTCTATTATTTAAAAATAACAAAAGGTCTGAGATTAGAGAATAAGAGAAAAAATAATATTTAAAATTAAAAAAAATTAAAACATATAATATTGAAAGACTTGTATTAAAATAATTGTTTAAAATTGGAATAAATTCAACTTTAAGAACTCATCTGATAATAGAAATTCAGTTATTTATTTTTATTCTTATGTAATGTATTATAATTAAATTTTATTTATTAAAGCTTTGAATTAATTATTTATAAATAAATATCTTAGCATTTGGTAATATTTTTAATTTAAAATATTATCATCATAAATATTGTTTTTTATAACATAAAAAACAAGTAATTGAATAAAAAGCTTAGTATTGCTTAATAAAAAAAAGGAAAAGTTTAAGCTTCTTCAGAATATCAATCAGATATGCAAAATGGAGCACGATAGTGAGTATTAATTAATTAATAAACACAAAGAGGCTATCAGATTAAGTTTTTTTACAATAATCACAGGTTCATTAAGTTCATTTGAATAGATATTGAAAAATAAATATATATAATATTGATGATTGATAAGAATCAAGGTTGTATCTAATAATTAACTCAATATTTTTATAAATTAAGTTAAATTAGATGTCGATATTAAATATGTTAACTTGTTGATTTAATATTCGAATTATAGACATATCCTATGGCTTCTTTCTTTAGAAACCTGTTTGATAGGATTCTGAATAATTTTTATTGCTTTTCATCATTAGTATACCTAATTAAATGTTTAACATTTTTAATGTTATTTTTAAGTTAACTAAGTAATTTTAAAAATTCTATGCCTTGTTTTTCCCCCAAGTAATTTAATATTTCTATTCTTTATCTCAAGATATATTGTACAATAGCTTTGGCGTAATTTTTTTATATATTTGTTGATTTTTATGAGAGGCTTGTGGCTTGTGAATAATTTTTATTTTTATTATTCAAAACCACCGATTCAAGGTTTTCTATAGATTCTTAAACTTATTTTTCATAAAAAGAAGAACTAGAAGGTTAAAAAGGTGATTCTTATGGTGCAATTGAAGGAGTTTATTAGGTTAGTTAGGTTGATAAAGAATTGTTTAAATTTCCATCCATATATCCATAATTAGTATTGATTACAGGTACAATGTAGATAGGATAAAAGAAAGGTTATTAAGGTTATGCATAAAGATTATAAGCTGGCTGGAATTATTGATTCCACATTAGATTTAATAAATATTAACATCGATTAGTATGTTTCTTTATGAACAAATTATTTCGGTTTATTTGCTATATTTATTCAATTAATGTTTGGAGGAAATTAGTAATTTTTCATTAAAATTCTAAATAACAAAAAAATTTTACATTATTTTTAAGAAATTCCATTATAATTAGGTTTATATTGATTTTTTGAATAAAAGTGAGGTATGTTTTATGTACTTATTAGCATTTTTTTTTCACTGAATTTAATTTCATTTACTAGATTTTCGGTTTTATTAGGAAATAAATTAAACAATAACACTTCTAGTCACTTATGCTTTTTAGATATTTTACAAATAAATCTAAAGTATAGTAATCATTATCGATTTGGAGCTATGCTTAATTAACTAATTATCTTTGATTCTATTAATCTTTATAATAATATCAAGGAACAAAACAACTTTCTTTCATATATCTTTCATAATTGTCAAATTCCTCTAATTAACGTAAATTCTTAATTAAAGTTAAACCAATTTTTCATAATTATTATGTTAAATATTCGAAAATTAAAGCTTTTACTAAGTTGAAGGCTTCTCTCAGATGAAATCATTCTAAAGTTTAGGTAGATTTTATTCACAGATATCGTTTATATTAGTTTTTTTGTTTAGTTTTCATTGTATTTAGCGATTTCTTTAACTAAGTTTCGATTTTTAAGGTTACTTAAAGAAAATATTAATATTTCTCTAATTTTCGTTTATTTGTTGTTTTCATGTTATTTAAAATTTAAATATTAATTTTAAAGTCTATAATTAGATTAAGAAAAATCCCAAAACAATTTATTGATTGTTTTAATAATCCATTTTAGTTCTGTTTGATTTAAACATAAAAATGTACAAAAATTTTATTATTAAAATATGAAAAAAGAAACCCTAAACACTTTAAGATTTTTATGAATTTTTTGTTTGTATCTGAATTCAGATCAGCAATAGATTATAACTAAAATAAATATTTAAAAATTCAATATTTGTACTAAAATATATTATATAATTATGTTTGAAATATTTATTTTTTATTAATATTATTTATTGAATATCAACATCTTAGAAGGCTATGGTGGATAAGTTTTTTATGTCTAAGATGGCTATTCTTTTTTTATATTCTTGAGTTGAATATATATGAATTACTTTTGGTTTTTAAGAAATAATTTCTAAATAATATTTACATAATTTATATATACCCTAAAATTCTAAAAGCCTTAATAAAATCCTCTTTGTTTGTATATTAGGAAATATGACTAACATTTTAGATTTAGTTTTTTATTAACTTTGTCAATTAAATAAATTCATCAACTTCTGTAGGGTTTAAGATTTTAGAAGCTAATGACTTATTTTTATAGACAAAGCTAGCAATGGCTTTAGCGTAATTCTTTTATATATTCTTGGACTCTTTCTCAAATTAAACTTAATTTTTAAGGGGATTAGAAGATTTAAATATTTTTTCATTTTCTTATATTGGTTTATCTTCTGTGATTTTGACATTTTTAATAGCAAGTGCTTCAGATGTATATGAAGAATTTTCTGTTTCCTTTTGTTGGGGTTATTCAATTCTTTTCTAGTTGTGCTCTTAATTTTCGACTTGAGGAGGCTTTTGGATTGATTCCATTTGAGGCACAAATGTTTAAAATTGTTAGAGTTGTAGCTAACAGTGGAATTGAGGATAAGATTAAAAGAATGGGACATAAACAAAAGCTGTTTATTAAATAGGGTATGTAGGAATAAAGCAAGGGAGGTTAAAGTTCATGAGTTTTTAGAGACTCTAGTTTGATGTTTAGATTAAAAAGAAGATTTAATTAATCCAAATACTAGACTTTTTTTTTGTTAATTATCCAAGTATAATTTTCAGTATTTAATTCCCTTCTCTAGCTAGTAGTTATATTGATACAGTAAACTGAAAATGAAACTTGTACATGTTGAATTGCGTAATATAATTTATAATATGGACAGTAATATATCATTATCAAATAAAAGACATCTTCATTATCCTAATCTATGTTTTAAATTCAAAATTATATCGATTTTAAATAAATAATTAACTTCTTTTTTTTTCATTTAATCGCTAACCAACTTTAAAAAAACAGCTCAAAAATTGCTTTTAACAAGAATTTATTATATACTTAAACTTTTCCTTATTTCTAAAAAGACTTCAGCAAATTTTTTTTATTTTCTGACAAACTTTAAATTTTTTATACAATTTTAATCATCAAAATACTACTCAGATATTGAAGAACTAGCTTTTAGATTCATTTTAATCAGAATCTTAAATACTTTTTTAATTTTTAAGCTCTCTAGATTCTTAAAAGAAAAATAAATATCAAACTTTCTCATTTAATTTTGTTTTTGAATAAAAATATTTTGAAAGTATGTCATTTTTGGATGCTTTTTAGTATATATATTATGTATTTATAGTATCAAAATAATTAAGTAGTTTAGTGTAATTATTTTGAACTCAAAAACAAATGAAAATGCATTTATTGTTATATATATAAATAAATATGAAAAGATTTTACTATGAATATTATTAGCAAATAAACAATAGAAGAAAAAAACTCAATAATAAAAGTGAGTTATTTGTTGGAAGAAGAGAAAATGAAGGGTCAGCAATACATTCAATTGAATAATTAAAATCTAAAAATTTTTCTATTTCTAGGCCAATAAGTTCCATTAGTCTTAAAAGAAATAGCACATCATAAATTGATAGCAGTTTTAATTTAATAAGTTTGAATGAATTTGCATTGATTTAATAATACAAAACAGTGAATTTGTTATAAAATAAGCTATCATCAAGTAAATAATTTAGAAAAAGGATATTGAGTTCAGATAAAAATTAATAGTTCCGTCATTATTCAAATAAATCAATGATTATAACAAATTTTACAGTAGAATGATTGATTATATTTTGTATAATCAACATTATTATTAAAAAAATGATCACTTTAAATTTATTGGTAAGAATGAGCTTCAAAATAATCAGAAATAGTAATTATATAATTTAATTCTTTTGATGTGATAATTCTAGTGTTTATTTATTATATTTTTAATAAATGATTTAAAAGATTAAGAAGAATAAACTTTTAAACAAAAACAGAAACCATATATAAAGTTTTTAAAAAGAAAAAACAAACCTGTTATAAAGTTTTCATTTAAAATTATGCTTATTTTCTTTAACTATAATCCTAATATTCATGAAAGTCTAAACTAATTTAAGAATATATAATCATTATTGATGCTTAAGAATTAATAATATTCAAACTCGTCTTTTAGAAGTAGTGCAAACATTATTAGCCAATGTTATATTGAGTGCTATAAATTTATCTATGATATTTTTCACTATATTAATATGCATAACTATATTAATTAATTATATCATAAGAATTGTAAGAAACAACTACTGATATTTTAATATTTAATAGGAATATTTATGATTTAAGTTTATAATACTAACGATTATTATAGTTCTGATAGATTTAGCTCAAAGATATTTTAAAGTCTAAAAGTAAGAATATTTTTAAAAAAGATATTTTTTAATAGATATTATGTTAAATAAATGATTGAATCATACGGATAACATATTATGTAATCAGTGTTAGCATGTTAATCTTAATATATTATATTTTATATATGATTCTTGATATTAATTTTATTTTTAGTTTTAGGATGATCATTTAAATATTTGTAGTTAGCCCATATGTATTTGGCTTATGTAGTCTTTAAATTTTTGAGAGCTAAAAATAATATTGTAGAAACGAAGAAACTAAGAAAATTAAATTATTTAGAGATATTTAAGGAAAAAGAGTAAAAGAAGGGGAAATATAAAATTAAAAATATAATGATCTTAAATTATGAAAATTATAAGCATAAATTTACAATGCTTTATTAAAAATATAAGCTTATAATCAATATTATTTTTTATAAGAACAACTAATTTATTTATTTTTTCAGGAAACAAATAATAAAAGAATTTTATTAATAATTATATTAGATGGCTCTCTAACCATGCAAAATATTATCCTTAATATCCCCTAATCAATTTCTAATTCAAACTTAATAACTAAAGACTATAATAGTTGGTAATGGAATTCCTAATTTTCTAACTAGAAGCAAATTAAATGTTAATCAAAAGGCTCTAGATACTTATTTTTCATAATTATAATTATTAAATAAGGAAGCAGTATACAATATTAAAACTAATTAATTACAAATAAATGGAGCAGACTTATTTTAAGAAATATCAGATGATGCAGAAATTCATTTAAAATTTATTGGCGTTTAAAATGAGGAACCGAAACAAACACAATCTGTTTTAGATTTTCTAAAATAACATAGAAATAAAACTTTAGATGCTATTTTAGTATCTTTTGAAGGAAATATTTTGAATTTCTTTTATAATAAAAATACATTGATAAGTTTAATTCCAAGTGCTATATATATTGACGGTAATAAATGTAATTATTAAAGAGTTTACAATTTAAGATTAAGGATATGCTAAAATTATGCAAAAAGAATGGCTTAATAAAGAATTTAGAATAACTTTTAAAGGAACTTAAATAATGACATTAAATTATTAGAAAAATTTCATAAATTTTCCAATTTTAAAAGCAGACTTATAACTAACAAGCTAAAAAAATAATGAGTTAAGCAATGAATTTTATATTTCATTAGTTTCAAGTGGATATGCATATTTAACTGATTGGGGGTAATAAATTTGAGTAATAATAGTAAATTGAATTTATAGTAAAATTCTTTTAAATTATTGTTTCAACTTTAGGAAGAAGCCAAAAAAAACTAATTAGGACTTTGGAAAAATGGAGAATTAGATAGAAGAATTCTAAATTCAGTTAGTTCATAAATATTAGGTTAGATTGTAGAGGTTATTGAGGCTAATCAATATTTAGTTAAAACAGATAAATAGATTGTGAATATAAAATTAGATAGAATTTTTATAGAAGGATTAGAGGCAAAAGAATTTGCTCGAAAATTGTTAATAGGAAAGCAAGTTCATATCCTATAAGTTGGAGATAATTTGCCACTATAAACTATATAATTATGTGAAAATAATTTAGATATAGAAGAAGAACTTATAGCTAATGGATGGGCAACAGCTAAAGAGAATCATCCACAATTATCTAAATTTAAATTCTAATAATTTTAATAAATGAATTAATTAGCTAAACAAAAGAAAATTGGATAGTATAGTTCAGAACTTACTTGGAGAATTGAAGATTAAACAGATTAAAAATAAGGAAAAAGTGTAAATGAAATAATATGGTCTAGCATTTAGAGAGATAAATAAAGTTAAAAATAATCAGTTATGAATACTGGTCTTACATAAAAAGAAGATTGTTAATATGAAGTTTTGGTTGATAAAATCATGCCAGATGGATAATATATTATTACTATTCTTAAATATCATTCTATGATTAATTTTACTATTTCTGGAATAGCCAAATTATCAGAATTTGCAACAAGTTTTCCAAATGTTACAAAATATGAAGAATTAAGATAATAATATTGTTATAATATTTTGATGTAAAGAAATGTTTGGGTAAATTTTGAAAGTTTCAATATTTCAGAGAATATGTTTTATGGAAAAATTTATGAAAAAAAAAATAATAAAGATTCTGATTTTACACTATAATTACTTAAAGAAGGCCTCACATTTATTAAAAATAATAATGATTTTTATAGTAAATATGAAGAGGCCTAAAAAGAGGCAGAATAACTCAAAAAAGGTTTCTGGAAAGAATCTTATGCTTAATTTATTATAGATCTTTCATATAATAAACAGACTTTAAAAAGATAAGTGAGTAATTAAGGAAACATATAAAAAAATGAAAATTAATAGATTTAAAAAGTTATAGTTACTGCTTTTAATGATTGCAATGAATTTTATATTCGTAAATAAATTAATCCTGAATTTGATGAATTAGAAATTTAAGTTGAAAAAGCTACACTAACAGTAATAATATTATCTATATATTAAGCCACTAAAAAAACCAGTTAAGAAAGGAACCTTATGTTTAGCTAGATTTTCTGAAGATAATAGAATATATAGAGCATAAGTATTATAAGCATTTAAAAATGATAAATTCTTAATAAAGTTTATAGATTATGGAAATAATGATGGAGTTAATTATTAAGATATGGGAGTATTACCAGCTTAATTTACAAATATTCCTTAATAGGCTAAAATGTGTTCATTAGCTTATTTGAGGGTTCCTCCATCATCACATGAATTTGCAGAAGAAGCATCTGATATTTTAAGAGAATTAATTCTTGATTAATAATTTGATTATAAAGTTGCTTACACAGAGAAATCCTCAAATAGATAATTAGTCACTCTTTAACCATAAGATTAACCAGATAAATTGGAATTTACAATTAACAAAATTGTATTAGAAAAAGGGTATAAATCCTTTTTATATTTTTACTAGATTAGGAAGAATTGAGAATAGAGTATCATATAATCCTTTGAAAGAGTTCAAAAATTTAGAAGAAGAAGCAAAAGCTAATGGAATTGGTATTTGGGGTTTTGATGATTGTTTGGAGGATGAAAAATAATTTGAAGATGAATATGATTATTATGAATGATCCATTGATTTAATTTATATTGTTCAATTTTTATAAATAAAATATGTTTTACAAATGATAAATCATTATATATTTATATTCTCAAGATTTGATCTCAAATTTTTTGAAATTTTAAATATCATCAAAAATATTTGAATCTTTTATTCTTGTTACATTTATTAATGATAATCATTGAAATTTGAGATTTGATAACTTGTAATGAAAAAAGTGTCTTAAAATAGTCTTTACATAATGTTTGAATCATTTATTCCATGAATATGAGAGAGATTATTATAAAATTAAATATGATCAATAAATTTTGATTTTAATATGTTGTAATCCATTTATTTTATAACAAATATTTGATTTATTTATAAAAATATCTAACTGATTTTTATTAAGTTATGGATATCAATTATCAATTTTTAATCAAATAATTAATGTTTATAATAAAATTTATAACTTAATAATCATTTCTAAATAATCGAAACTCTTGTTTCAAATAATAAATGATTTTTGCAATACTCTAGATTTGTTAAATTATTTTAAAAACTTGTTTATATTAAATAGGCATATATTTTTTTGTTATTTAATGAAATGATATAATAATAATTTATTAGAGTAATATTAGATTATTAGTAATTATAGAGTAAATGATAACATAAATTAAAATATATATAAAATTTTTGTAAATAAAAACATAAATATAGATACAACAAACAATATTTTCATGTGCATTTGTAGTTCTCTCTAATTGTGTACATATTAAGAGACATAATATAAGCAGTTGAATAGGATAAGACTACAAAGATATGCCAAATGGTATGACTATTGATCTAGAATAAAGAACAATTATACAAAGATATCAAATTTTCTTGGAAAACATCTTTCAGGAAACCTTGAAGCATATGTTGTTATACCTGATATTAAGAAAAAGAGCATAATCATAAAATAGTTTTCAGTGTCATAAAAATGGAAATGACCTCCCAATAAATTTTACCTGCTGAATATCATTAAATGAAAGATTGGAATAAAAATCAATGTAAAAAAGATGGCATAAATAAGTGCTTTATATACTACAAAACTTTCTTTGTGCATATAATCAAATAGACTTGATATAAAGGTCAAAAAACAAAGTAGAATAATCATGATAGTGTAAACATCTTTAATTTATTGATTACAATAGAATCCATATTGTATTACTGGTATTATTCCTCCACTTGCAACTAAACAAATTCCCCCATAATCTAATCTTAAAAGTACACAACTTAAAGTTTTATTCACACAAAAGAAAGTATGATAAATGGTGGAAATAGTGAATAAAATGATTGCACATAACAAACAATATTATAGTGGCCATAATTATATATCAGAATAATGATTTTCTTATTCTTTCATAAAAGATATAAATGGGGCAATCTATTTAATCTAAGAATAAATAAGTAAACCTAAAAAAAAGAATAAAGGCAACAAATGTGACCATATATTACAAGTTTCATTATGTTAATGAAATATACTTTCTAGATTAGATTATTATTTGATATTTACTTAATGCAAGTTAGAAAGTATTATAGTTAATACGATATCCAGTTAATAAGTATTTATTATCTAATGTATAAGATGGTGCTTCATAATACTCTCCAATGTATGGATCTTGTTAACGATTTTCTATATTTTTTTTAGTTTTATGAATTTTGTTTAGTTTTCTTCTTTTGATTAAATTCATATATTTTATATAAAATCACATATTATTATTATGATCATCATCACTATCTTCTTATTGAACATATTCAGTCATTCTTAGTATAGCTAATCTATTACTAATTATTTCTAAACGGCTATGAAGAGTTGGAGCATTTTATTATGATTAATACATTTCATTTGGTGTTAAAGTAACAGGAACCTAAAAAAGCATTTATTATTATTAATTGTTATTCACTCTTTATGTTTTTTAACCCATTAAAGCTAAATGTGGAGCTAAATCTGTCATCATTCTACCCATTCTATCAAATACAGGTGCTAATTATGAACCAATCAAACTAGATTTAATTTCATATTCATATAATTCTTTTTCTTTTTTTTTTATTTCCAAATTACTTTCATCAATATTTATTTCCTTATTTTTATTAATTAACATTTATTAGTATTATTATTGTAATTATAACTATTTTTCAGCTATTCTTTTATTATTTTCAAACCTTCCAAATTCAATTAATAATTAAGTAACTTAATTCATCATATGTCCTACATCAAAAATAAATTTATGCATATCAATTTCTTATTTCTCTACTTCACAATCAGGATCACTAACAGGATTTGGAGATAAGAAATCTTAATTAATACTACCTACAGTATATGTTCTAAAAGTAGCAATTCTAGGTGATTATGTATCAATCCATTCATCCCATCTATTTCCCCATCCATTATAATGAACAAATATTCTATTCTATTCAACTATTTATACTTATGCTTCTAACTAATATAGAAATTAAAAACAAAACATAAATACCCATTAATCAATTGTATCTTTAACATCTATCCACTATCCAACTTAGAACTTTCTTTTTTTTGGATCAAATGGATTCACATATTCTCCTAAATCAATAATTTAATATATATGCCTTAAATATCCTCTTGTTTCAATTCCTCAGGTTTCACTTAACAATCTAACAACTACTTAACAGTTTAGTAATTTTATCTTATACACTCTAATGACTATTGCTTATCTATAGTGAAACCTAATCGTAAAAATCATTTAGTTTTATACCATTGCTTCTCTATTATTGAACCATTCTCCTTACATTCTATCTATTATATTAGTGTTATCCTATAATACCAAACATCTTTTACTTAATGTTCTCAGAATGTTACTTAAGATATCTATTTCAGCAAATTCATTTAAACCTTATCCTTATTACTATTGTTATTATTATTGAGTTTAATTCTAGACTATTTAATCCTCCTATATTGGCTATCCTGGCAATAAAATAACATGATCATTTTATAACTATGTCAATTCATTCACTTAATACTTTATAATCTTATAAAGTTTTGTTGTTCTCTAAAACTCTCCCTTAGTAAATCAGTCTTTATTTATCCAAAGGTATGTTTAGTTTTGTTTAAATTTCGTTTTTCAATTATTAAACAGTATTATTTGGATCAATCGCAAATGAAGTGATTTGATTATCTAAGGTTTTTATCTTTAATATGATTTAAGTTTCCATTATTATATATATTAATTATTCTTCGCGCTTCTATTAAATCAATAACTAAAATAAACAACTAAATTTCAAAAACCACTCTTTTCTATTCATACTTATTCCATTATCAATTAAAATACTATCCAGAATTCTCTGATTACTTTTTTTAATTTAAGAACAATTTTAACCATTACAATTTTTTTATTTTGTTTGATTTACTATTACTTAGGTTTTTAAATAAAATAAGAAAATAGTAGTATACAAATTTTATGTAATCAATTACATTGAGTTTTTTTTAGAATAATAACTTAAAGATTTCATGTCTTAATGTTTTTATTTCTATTTTATAAGATTAAAACTAATCTATTAAGATATTTGAAGATAAAGTCAAAATTTGTGATAATTAATAAAAAAGAAATTAATTTGAAAATTTTAGGAGATCGATGAATTTAATATGAAATAAAATAAGAAAATAAATAGATATAAATTATTGATATAAAGAATAAATACATAGTTACTAATATTATATAATTCAATCAATAATTTGGTTGTAATATGGTTTAAATTTGTAATAACTTTTTATTGCAATCATTTATTTAGGAATTGATTTATAAATTATACTTACTTCTCTAAAACAAAATTTATTTTTATAATGCTTTAATTTGTCTTTAATTATAATCATATATATCAATTTCTTTATTTAATTTTTGAAGTTAAATTGAATTTTTGATCAACATTTCTTTAATGTCATTTAAATGAGTTTCTTGATCAATAACATTAATTTCCTTAAAGATAGAAATTTAAATTACTTCTAATAAATTATCCGAAGATGATTTGATAAATGCTTAATCAATATCAATAGATTTGGAATGTAATCTTTTAGTGGTAGGTTTTTAATGTGAAATATTGGTACTTTATGTAATAGTTTTGGCATGTCTTCCTTTAAGTTAAGTGAGAATTCTATTATCAATAGAATCTTAATTAGATTCTTAAAGAGACACATTTCTAGATGGTGACATTAATGCTCTCCAAGTTGTCATATTTTATAAATAAAAAATAATTTGATTAAACTCATATTTTTTAAATGTTGTGGTGCTCCATTAACAATATTATTAATACACCCAACCAATTTTTGTTATTAAATGGTATTTTTAAACAATCATTATAATATAATATTATTGATAATTTTTCGTAATTTCTGGTCTTAATATACTTTCAGCATTTTAAACAGAACGAGCTCTGTTTGCTCCTTTATAGCAAATTAAGATTTCCAGAATTTATTATTGAGATATACTTCAAAAGGATTATCCAATACTTGATAAGTACTTTAATGAAAAGGAAACTTTTAATTAATCGTTCTTAAATATTAAATATTTAAAAGTTGTTTTTTCTCCATAGATATATCATTATCCAGATATTATAATTTAAAAATTATCAACAAATTCACCTATTTTAGGATAATCAATTCAATCCAATAATTATCTAAATATTCTAAATTAAGATGAGACTAATCAAAATTACATCATCCAAATGAACTCATTCATTCATAATAATCCTATTAAGTTATTGTTGACCAAAATTATTCATACTTACCACACAATCTTAATCCAAGCATACTATTAAATCAACATTTCCAATTCTATCTTAATTTATTCAAAAATTGTTTTATATGATGTGATCCACTTTTTTAATCACTTTCAAAAATCATTATGATTCTAGCATATTTTTAATCCTAATTTTTCTTATTACTATAATTGATCTTAAAACTAAAATATAAATCATCAGCTCCAACTCTTGCTAATAATTTATCATTAATTTATTTTTAGATCATATGCAAATAATCTTACTCTCCTATCTGTAAATGGAAGCTATTTATCCATCTATAAAATAAAACTGATTCATCATTTAAATCTTCTTCTTACAAAAATAAAAATGATTATAATCCTACAAATGTAAACAATCCAATTATTACAATTAATTTATTATTATTTATTTCTATCTGTAATAATAATCCATTTGTAAAGTATTCAAGATCGAACTCTTTTAATTGAATTGACACCATAATGAAATCCATAAACAAAGGTAATGAATCAACAAAATGTTTTTCAACTATTTCTTTGAACTTAACTCTTTTATTTCCTTACATTTAACTTTATTACATAATTAACTTTAATTTATTAATCTCTTGATTTTCTCATTTTATTTAGTAATCCAACTCAATCATTTTCTTTAATTATTACATATTATATTATAATATATTATTATCTTTCTATAAATACATAATTTAATGTCTAATTTGTAATTATAAACTGAAGAAAATTGTGATATTAGTTTATCCTAAATCGAAAATATGCTAGACTAAAGTGAAATTGAACCTTAGACTAAATGTAAAAATGTCGAAACAAAATATTGTAAATATTAATAACTATATTAGGTGTTAATACAACCGTGATAAGCATAAGTAACTAAATTAAACTCTTAGGAGATGATTTTAGTGAATTCAATGTACCAAGTCATTATCTTCCTCCTAATATTCAAGTTGGAAATGTATTTACAATAACTTTTCAAAGAAATAGATCAGAAGAAAATAAATTTAAAAATTAGATTGAATAAATCTCAAAGAGTGCATTAAATGATATATGATTTATTAAACTCTAAGTATTTAAACTATCATCAATTGTTCTATTTATAATAAAAATTCATAAATACTTTTTTTATACTTTTGAGAGATAATATTATAATAATTTATAACATTCAATTTTAATATAATTATCAATGTCCTCTACCTCTACCACGACCTCTTCCACGACCACCTCTTTAATTTTATTTATTTTATCCTCGTTTATTTCCATATTTCTTTACTTTCTATTTTTTAGGGAATGTCAACTTAACTTAATGATGCAACAATTATTATTTTGGCAATTCTTTTATTTAATATTCTTTTGGTAATGATTCAGAAATCAATTTGATATATTAATGAACAACTTCTTCATTTCCTAAATATAATTAAGGAAATTTCTTCCATTTTTAATTTGAAGATTAAATAATCTATTCAATATTCTATCCTTTTAAAATCTCAGATCTCACATATTAATGAAAACCTTAAGGAACCTTTCTACCCCAAGTCTAAACATGTCTCTTAAAATCTAAGCCATTTACTATTAAATAAAATGGACATTATTTTGCCAAACAACAATTACTACTTAATCCAGATTTTTAATTATAAGCTATAGTATTAACATCTATTCCTTTTTATTAACATTCAATTTGCAATTATTCATACGTTAATGGTTCAACCATCATATGATTCTTTATAAACCATTTAGTATATTCTTTTTCTAAAGCTGATTTAATTGCAGATGTACCTTTTGTTAAGTTTCCTTTATTTTCTTAAATTAATGCTTATTAAATTTCTTTTAAATTATTATAACTAATTCTCTTTAAAAAAACATCTTTCTCCTACTATTTAAGAGCATGATATATTATATGAACATATCTTGTTCTTTCAAATTTTACACCTTTGCATTATTCATAGAATGATTCAATAGCATCCAAAGTTAATTTTAAATCTTAATTAAAAACCTTCTCCTCATTTAAATCTATTATAGTTGAATCCTTTTCATATTTATCTAATAACACCTTCTCAATTTCTTTAGTAATTGAATTTCTAAAGTTTTTAATGCTTAAATGCTTTTCAAAAGATGATTTCAACTATTCTTAAACAAAATTTTCATCTTATTTCTCTAATTTCAATTTCAAATAATAAGATAATTATTGTAAATGTTTATATTATTCTCTAATAAAATAATAAAGAATTAATCTTTCTATTTCCTATTCAAAATCTTTGACATAATTATTACCTAATTTAGTTAAATAAAATAAATGAATAAATGGTTTTGCTGTTGATACATAATCTTCATATTCTGCTTCTTTTTCTAAATAAGCCTAATTTGGATTATTTAATAACTTTTATAAATAATTTTCAAAATTTATAGTACCTGAATATACTAATTTTGTAGTTTAAAAAATTTATTCAATTATTTCACTTTACCATTATGATTTTTATTTTTTCAATACATTAATCAATGAGTTTGATAATAATGCTAAATAAGTTTCTTCGTAAAGAGTGTCTACATTTTATTAAACCATAAAAGTTAAAAGCAACTTAATTATTCTGGATCTAAGTACTGATTATAAATCATTATCAGATTGTGGAAACAAAGGTAATATACAATTGATCTCCTCTGTTTAATTATCTCCAATTTATAATTAAATATTAAAGTTATTTTTGATAAGATATGCAGAATCTATAACTTTATTATGTTTAGCAAATGACTAAACTTAAATTAACCATGGATTTACAAAAGATCCATCATTTCTCTTAACCTTTAATCCATGACCTACTAATGGGAAAGTTTCAGCAAAATCATATTATGTTTTTATAAATTTCAATCCCTCTAAAATTTCCTATTTTTACGATAGAATATCTCTAAAATTTTCTAAAGATATGACTGATCTTTCTTGACCTTATTCATTCTAAGGATTAATTTTACAATTTTAAATAATTTAATAAAATTCTTCTTTTATTTATTTAAATTCTTATACTGTAATTCCCTTCAATTACAAAGCCTTTTAATAATGCTTTCCAACAATAGTTCCAATATTCAATCTTTTTGCAGCTTCAAAATCATCTACTTCATTTGGATTTGATCCTTCTGATAATTAATTTAATTCTTTAACAAAAAATAATAATTTATTTCCATATTTATATGCATAATTTCTTTTTGCTCTAATTTTAAAAGGTTGATTTGGATCATTAATTTCTTCCATTTTGAAATTGAGTACATCCATCTAAAAGAATTCAGTTAATCTATCTACAATTTAATTTACAATATTTAAACATTTCTTAGCCTTTTCTCTACTATCTTCATTCTTTCCCATAATTCTGATTTAAATATTTTAAACCCATGATCTAAAGAGATCAACAACATCATCAATTTCAAGTTTATTCTATTCAATTGGAATAATCTATATATCTGGATAATTAACAAATTTCAATTCTGGTTTTACACTATAAACCCATTATCCTTCATAAACTTCATCAGTAACTTCTTCATCATATGGAAATAATTATACAACATTATTTACTCGTATCATTTATGTTGAATAAAAATATCTTTTCATTGTTTCAAATTTATTATGAAAAGCTTATTCAGATGCATGTTCAATTAAATACAATGCAGGAATCTAAGGATCTCCTTTGTGATATAATTATCTTAATTGCATAGCTAAAAATGTAGGAAATTCATCTTCAATTCCCAAACAAATAAAATTGATATTTCTTTTTTAGACATTCCCCTTCAATTTTTGTTTCATTCTTTATTCTATTGTTTTTACATTATTATCTTGACCATCACTAATAAATATTACTGTAATATTATGATTTTATGGAACCTTTACAATCTCCTTCTCTAAAAGCTCAAATGCAGGCACTATTTCAGTAGTTCCTTCGCCATGATCTTCAATATTTTAAGAAAGAACATTATTAAGAACTTTTTTTGCTCTATGATCAAATGTCAATGTTATTAAATTATCTTTTGGTATTGATTTATTCCAAAAATTAGCTACCCATTCCCATCTAGTATACATTGAAGCTGAAACATCAATCAAACCTATAATTGTTAGCTTTATATCTTCCTTTTTCTATTGTTAATTGTTAACAAAAGGGATATGAAAGTGATACTTTTATTCTTATTCCATTTAAAATTAAAATTAAATTAATTCTTTCTTATTTCTTATAAATTGTTCCCTGATCAGTTTCCAACAGTAGATAAATAATAAAAACTATTTTTTCTTTTTTCATAATCCAAATTATTGTTATTATAACTTGTTTGGTAAATTACATTCGTTAATTTAAATTTTTCTTAGAATTATTTAAGTTTTCTTTAAAATGGAATTAATCTAGATTTTAATAATTGATATCAATGATAACAATTGCATCCGCATTTTTAATTAAAAAATAACTTGAATTTTAATGAATAAATTAAGATGAATTATTTTAGACAATATTTTTTTTTTCAAATAATAGTTTGTATTTAGAAATCAAAAATTAATTCACAGTTATTATATACAAAATAATTTTGATCAATCATTTTCAGTTTAAAGTTTTATTGACATTATTAAAAATTTTTTAATGGTTACTCTATTTTATTTATTTTGCAGGGAAATTAGATTTTGTCGATTTTTGATGAATTATTTGATTTAAAAGAATCTTCTATATGGATGTTTTGATGCTATATATCAAGTGAGTAATTTAATTTTAATTATTATTCTTAAGAAAATGATTAATGATTATATGATTAATAAATCAATTGTAATTGATAAATGGTTTTACAATATATTTGAATTAATATTATTGAATGAGATCTTGTAAAAAATAATATAGATTTTATTTTGATTTAATATCTAAAAGGTTTATTATTATTATTAATATAATTAATAAAAATGGCACTTGTGCTTAAATAATTTTGTGGATTCAGTAGAATGAATGCTCAATGCCCAACTTATAAATAGTAAATAATATATATGCTAGATTTTAAGCATTTGTGCTGGTTTGAGTGGTGGATCATTGTTGTATGCATTTTATGCTTAGGTGCAAAAGTAATGGAAAGAATAGGAAATTTAATTCAGAAAGGAATAACTAAAGAAACCAATTTATGAGCTTAGAGATGAAGAGCTTGTAAGTCCTCCATGGAATAGTTCCAATTTGAATGAATGGTTATATAGAAGAGTAAGAGTAAAGGGAAGACCTCTTCATTACAAATAAATGATGGTGCCAAGAACAGAATTTTATAAGCCAGGATTCGAATGTGTAGTTCCACTTGTTACAAAGGAAGATGCAGATTAAACAGTATAGGAAGGAGTATGAATATATATATAATAAATAGCTTCTTGTATCTTTAGGATTTGTGCCTTATGAATATAAGGAAATTCCAGATAGATTTAAATTGGAAGATGCTTCAGTCTAATAATTTGATTGCTTCTTATCCCAGTTACCTGAACTATAAGATAATACATATGGAAATGTAGCAAATTTGAGAAATCCATCATGGAGTTACGCAGATTTATAATTGATGGCTTAAGCTACTGGATTCAAAAATGCAGATAAAATTGGTAAAGTTGTATTAGAGAGAGCATGTTTTGATACTCCATTAGATGAAAGAAATATGAGGTATTTAAATGATTTATATTCTAATTAGAACTTATGATTTAGATGCTGATCATCATATGGATTATCCATATTTGAAGAGCAATTCTGGTATTTTATATCATAAAAACCATATGCCATGGGATTGGTAGAGAGCTAAACAATAAGCATTAGGCTCAACTGTTTTATTTGGTGCTTTGGGTGCAGTATTACATTTAGCCAAATGAAATTTATATTAATAAAGATAAGAATTATAATTGAAAGAATTACTCCTATAATATAGAAGTTTTAAATGAATGAGGATTATCCTTAAATAGAATATCATTTCCTTGTAATTGGTTTATTCATAATTCTAGTGATATCACTTCTTATATGTCTGAATTAACCAGGATCAGTATATTTCGGATGTAAAGTGTATACACCATCTTTTATATATATTAATCATTTTACCTTCAAGTGGTAAACTAGTAGCTATATCATATGGATGAACTTAATAAGCACTTTTCTTATAATTCTAAATACTACTAGATCTTAAAATATTTTAAGCAGTTTTCAATCCACAGTCACCAGAATGAACCCATTATCTTTATACTTCTGTATTCTCTTTTGGTTCAACAGCTATTTAATATTATTATATATGATACAATCTCTATATTTTTCACCTGTTATTACAGATGTCATTTTTAATCCTTAATCAAATGGATCTCTTTCTCTGCATCCAGCAGCTAAAGGTTTTATCTTTTTATCCGTAAGAATCTCTTTAACATTATTTTCAGGAGGTTAAAATGATTATTAGTATGTAGTAATTGAATATAATTTATTATGTTACTCTGGATGATTTCTAAATGTTGATCCAAAATCTGTATAGTTTTAATGAACAGCTCTATCAACTAATATTTATTGCATATTTGTTTAATCTAATTATTTTATTGATCTAGATCCTGTTGTTTATGCAATTGTTGGATTGCATTCAGGAAAATTTACTTTCTATCCATTCCTTTTTATCAAAGATCTGCAATCACCTAATTTCATATTCTAAATATTCTTTGCATCAAATTTTGTTTAGAATTCTGTTCTAAATTCTCTCTATTTTATACATCTCATCATACATATCCATCATCTGGAACTATTATTTCCTTTGTTATGTAAGGAGGATTACGATTCACTCTTGGCAAAGGAAGTAAACATCCATTATCTCCAGGTATTGATATTCCTTCCTCTACTTATCTTAACTATATATATTCTCATTTTATACAGATTTCTAAGCATTTGGATCTCTCTATAATTAATGAGGAGCTAACCTATCTTCATACCAATTCGCTTAAATTAATTTTATAAATACCCATCATAGCTGTTTTGCTATACTCAACTTCATTTGGTCTTCTCATTTAATTTTATTAATTGATTTATTTAGAATAATTAATTATTATTCTCTTTCATCTTTAATCATCATCACATCTATAAATCTACTTTAGATTTTTATTTATACATCTTTTTCAATAAAGTTATTTACATTAACATTTATTGTAATAGAAAAATTTTTATTGAATGGATGATTGCTAATCCTATTATTAAACTCTATTAGAAGTTATCAGATGATCAAATTTTACTTAAAAAATTAAACTTAAATTAGGAATCATTAAGAAGTTTTAATAAAAAAGAAATTTAAAAACTAAAAATTGTAAATGATAACTATATTTTAAAGAATGAAATATAACCAATAAGTGAGTTTTAAAATGAAGAATATTATTTTAAAAATAATAGATTTTTCACTTCTTCTTCTTTTTCTTTTTTTTACCTATTTCAATTTTATGAATTTCTCTCATCTATGTCTTAAATTCAAGTAAATCATTAGATGGTATAAATTTGGGTTAAGGCAGCAAAGTCAAAATTTCATTAAATTTATTGACTTGAGCCCAATAAGATGCATTGAATCCATTTTCATCTCTTAAATTAATATCTACTCCATAATTAAGTAATAACACAACTATTTATTTAAATCCTTATCTAGCTGCATAATGCAAACAAGTTAGACCTCTTTTATCTTGTAAACTTGGATTTGCTCCATAATCTAAAAGTAACTAACATAATTTAAATTAATTTTTTTCAACTGCATAATGTAAAGCAGTCTTTTCACCAACATCATAATATTCCTTTAAGTTTGGATTCGCTTTAAATTTCAATAAAAGTTCTGTTATTTAAGGATGATTAGCTTAAACAGCAAAAATCAAAGGAGTTGCACCATTTATATTACGAGCATCTACATTAGCTTCTTTGTCTTCAATTAATGAAATGACTTCCTAAACATTACCATGTGCAACTGCATGAAACAATAGTGGATCTCCTTTAAATTAGGGCATAGATATTGGATTCATTTTTAAAATTATATAATAATAATAATAAATTTTCACAAAACAACTAATTCTTATGTAAACTATTCATTTAATGTTCCCTCATAGAATGTTCCAATTAATAATTATTTCTCCTCTTAATTACTAAAATCAGATTTCTTGAGTATATTATCTTAAATCCAAAACTTAAAATAATGAATTTAAAAATACTGTTATTGCATTCATAATAAAAGGAATGATTATCATAACAAATACCAAAAGGAATTCAGGATTTGTTATAGGAGATAAAAGAAAAGAACCTGTTTCATTTAATTAGTCTGCAATTAATTCTTAGAATCCAAACAAAATAAATTTAGAAACAATTACAACTGAATTCCATACAAATAATTGACATGCATACATCTTCCAATCAATTCTTACTTTCTCTTAGATTTTGAAATAATTACCACTTTGTAATCTCTGAATAATTAATATTTCTATATACTCTCATATCAAAGTAAGTAAAAATCATATTTAATGATTTCATGAGCAAAAAGATTAATAGCACACNTAGAAAAATTTTTATTGAATGGATGATTGCTAATCCTATTATTAAACTCTATTAGAAGTTATCAGATGATCAAATTTTACTTAAAAAATTAAACTTAAATTAGGAATCATTAAGAAGTTTTAATAAAAAAGAAATTTAAAAACTAAAAATTGTAAATGATAACTATATTTTAAAGAATGAAATATAACCAATAAGTGAGTTTTAAAATGAAGAATATTATTTTAAAAATAATAGATTTTTCACTTCTTCTTCTTTTTCTTTTTTTTACCTATTTCAATTTTATGAATTTCTCTCATCTATGTCTTAAATTCAAGTAAATCATTAGATGGTATAAATTTGGGTTAAGGCAGCAAAGTCAAAATTTCATTAAATTTATTGACTTGAGCCCAATAAGATGCATTGAATCCATTTTCATCTCTTAAATTAATATCTACTCCATAATTAAGTAATAACACAACTATTTATTTAAATCCTTATCTAGCTGCATAATGCAAACAAGTTAGACCTCTTTTATCTTGTAAACTTGGATTTGCTCCATAATCTAAAAGTAACTAACATAATTTAAATTAATTTTTTTCAACTGCATAATGTAAAGCAGTCTTTTCACCAACATCATAATATTCCTTTAAGTTTGGATTCGCTTTAAATTTCAATAAAAGTTCTGTTATTTAAGGATGATTAGCTTAAACAGCAAAAATCAAAGGAGTTGCACCATTTATATTACGAGCATCTACATTAGCTTCTTTGTCTTCAATTAATGAAATGACTTCCTAAACATTACCATGTGCAACTGCATGAAACAATAGTGGATCTCCTTTAAATTAGGGCATAGATATTGGATTCATTTTTAAAATTATATAATAATAATAATAAATTTTCACAAAACAACTAATTCTTATGTAAACTATTCATTTAATGTTCCCTCATAGAATGTTCCAATTAATAATTATTTCTCCTCTTAATTACTAAAATCAGATTTCTTGAGTATATTATCTTAAATCCAAAACTTAAAATAATGAATTTAAAAATACTGTTATTGCATTCATAATAAAAGGAATGATTATCATAACAAATACCAAAAGGAATTCAGGATTTGTTATAGGAGATAAAAGAAAAGAACCTGTTTCATTTAATTAGTCTGCAATTAATTCTTAGAATCCAAACAAAATAAATTTAGAAACAATTACAACTGAATTCCATACAAATAATTGACATGCATACATCTTCCAATCAATTCTTACTTTCTCTTAGATTTTGAAATAATTACCACTTTGTAATCTCTGAATAATTAATATTTCTATATACTCTCATATCAAAGTAAGTAAAAATCATATTTAATGATTTCATGAGCAAAAAGATTAATAGCACACCAATTGTTGAATCCAACATAAAAGTAATAAAATACCAGATACATGCATTCTCATCTGTTTCTGCAGATAATTCCATTGCCAATATTACATTTAAAATATGAGCTAACAATGCTGATAACAATTGCTTTGAAGAGTCCTTATTATTTAATTTTCATCTTAATACCATTAAAAATATTTTCCAAACTCTTTTTGGTCGTTCAAAATATCTTTTTACTATTACTCACTTACAATAATACTTATTAATACTGTAAATGATAGAACTCCTAAGCTTGCCTAAACCAAATAACCTTTCCAATCTAAAATTTCACATTACATAATTATATTTGAAATAATAAATAAAAATATTTTTATCAGATTTCATCATATTTTATTTCTTCGAAAGTTGTTTGTCATTGTTAT